CGTTAATGCCGACAAGTTGATCTCCAACTCTAATTTGGCTATACGCGGTATTACGTAGTAGGTCTAATATTTCACGATTGACGGGTTGGCTGACGACGATTGTTGGGTTTTTGATCATATCGCCTGGACCATCAATGAACTGAAAAGAAATTCCCGTGGTAACTAAAAAGCAACTATACGGACCAGCTAATGTCATGGTAGTATGTGCGTCGCGAGCTCGAGCAAATGTATTCAATAACCCAAGCTGGAACTGTTTATCAGTAAGGATTTCGATATTGTTTCGGATATGCTTGAGAGCAGGAAAGGGATTTGATTTTTGGCCGTGATGCTTTATTTTTGATTCAAGATTGACCCATGCCTGGACATGTTGAATCATTGGAATTCGATTGTAATGTGTTGGTCAGTTAATAATATGCTGCAATATATTGTGTTGGTTATGGTATCAGATTGTGATGGAAATGACAACTTGCCTTGAATACATTTTCGGCATTCGACATTAGAATTTTTCGCTGTTCAAGATTATATGGCAAAAAAGCCAACAATCCAGCATCGCGATCGAGTTTGATGGGTCTATAGTCAGACCAAGTATCTTTAATAGCAGCATGTGGTGTTGATGTTGATGTTGCATCAGGTTGTGTTGTAAGAGTTTGAGCATTGATGCAAGATATTGCAGCTAAAACTGTTACCAAAAAAAGAACCATTTAAAGCAGTATGCAATGCGAGGTATGATCAGTCAGTTTGTATAACTCGCAATCGATGACGCAGCTGGTATTATATTGATGAAAAACTATTGTATAAAGTATGTGTTTTTGATTCTCAATATCTTTATAGTTGTCTTCCAGTTTATCCTCCCTTTCATCCAGACTGTTTTCAGTCGTGCTTTAGCTTGGTTCATCACCCTATTCCAATATCACGTCACAAGCACTTGGTACTGTTTCCACAATATTACGCTGGCTTGTGTCAAAATAAATATACACAAACTACCCAGACTTGGCAGCTGTCCCTTAACAATGATTGCTTGTAACCATATAGTTTTAACGACTTGGTGATAGTCTGTTGTAGGTAGCATGAATAAGGCGATATTCAGGCAAATGGAACATTAAACTGCCAAAATACATGATAAACAGTCTCATGTTGAATGTGTGCTAATATTACGTGAATATAACTTGAAAACCTTCAAGCCAATAACAAGATAAAGAATCGAATTTTCCGTGACAGTCAAGCGTGACTTGACCATGCAGTTGCTTGTCGAATGACGTGGTCGACCCGCAACCAGCAAAGTGTCGAATCTTATAAAAACACATCGTTTTCAACTTTACTCGTACAACAAAAACAGTATGTTAGTCTTGCGTTTTATGTTAATCATATAGTAGTCTACTGTACTCACCCTTTAGCAATGGTCTGTAATTATAAATAAAGAGTGAATCCATCAAGTAATTGTTAGATAATCATGTGTAACAACGGTCCACTCCAGTCAGGTTCATCTACTTCTCGTGAAGTACTTCCTACCAATGTAAAACCTTCTCATTATTCTTTAAGCATCACTCCCAACTTTGAATCATTTGAATTCGCTGGTCATGTTCAAATCAGGTAAATTCCTTGAGCCAACCATTCGTCTGGGTTTGTACTATGCACTCATAATATCATTGTATTTGCTATATCAGTCTCGATGTCAAGGAAGAAACATCCACAATTGTTGCCAATGCCAATGAGCTCAACATCAAATCTGCTAGTATTGTTGTTGTTCATGTCAAGACCGAAACAACGTAAGTTGCGACTCTATCCTGTTTGGCATACAGATCTGTATCAACCCATCTAAAACGTTTAATAATCCATATTCCAGTCAGACTGCCAAAGCCATCACTCTTGACAAGAAAAAGGAAACTGTTACTTTTGAATTCGAGACTCCATTGCCTGCTGGTGCAAAGGTCGAGCTTACAGTCGATTACACTGGCATTCACAATGATCAGATGGCTGGTTTCTACCGCAGCAGTTACACTGGCAAGGACGATGTCAAGAAGCATCTTGTTGTCACCCAATTTGAAGCTACAGACTGTCGTCGTGCCATTCCATGTTGGGATGAACCGAATCTGAAGGCTACTTTTGATGTCAAGCTTATTGTCGATCCCGTATTTTGTGCTCTGTCCAATATGAATCAGACTGAAGAGCGTACTGTTCAGCACGAGAACAAGTCGCTCAAAGAAATCACTTTTGCTCGCACTCCTATTATGAGCACGTATCTGCTTGCTATGGCTGTTGGTGATTTTGAATATATCGAAACTATGGCTCAGCCCAAGATGCCTGCTAATGCCAAACCCATCACTGTTCGTGTCTATACTCTCAAGGGTCAGTCGCACCTTGGCAAATTCGCACTCGACGTTGGTGCCAGGACGCTTGAATACTTTTCCGAGTATTTTGATCTGGCTTACCCTCTTCCAAAGGTAACAATCCATTTTAGTGTGTTTTTTAGTTTATTGATTGCTAATACGATGGTTTTGGACACAATAGATGGATATGATTGCCATTCCTGATTTTGGTGCAGGTGCCATGGAGAACTGGGGATTGGTAACCTACCGTGAAGTTATGTTGTTGGTGGATGAAAACACTAGCGCTCCTGCCAAGCAGGGTGTTGCATATGGTATGATTTAGTAACTGAACGAATGCATTACAACTACAGCTCTACCCTGCATACTGACATTTTACCGGTTTTGCTAATTTAGTTGTTGGACACGAACTTGCCCATCAGTGGTTTGGTAACCTTGTTACAATGGGTGCGTTTCTCAATCTTGCATACTTTTTATATTCAACTAAATCTAACCAACATGCATCATCATTTAGACTGGTGGAGTGAGCTCTGGCTTAATGAAGGTTTTGCTACATTTGTTGGATGGTTAGCAACCGACAACATATTCCCCGAATGGAAAGTTTGGACACAGTTTGTCACTGGCGATTACTCTAAGGGTATGGGTCTTGACAGCATGCGTAGCAGTCATCCCATTGAAGTTGATGTCCAAAGCCCTGCTGAGATCAATCAAATTTTTGATGCCATCTCATACTCCAAGGGTGCGTCTGTTATTCGTATGCTTTCATCATTTCTTACCACAGAAATCTTTTCTGCTGGAGTACGTATATATCTCAAGAAATTTGCATACTCTAATGCCACTACTTTGGACCTGTGGGCTGCGCTTTCCGAAGTATCTGGCCACGATGTTGCCAAGCTGATGTACTCGTGGACTCGTACCATGGGATATCCTATACTGAGTGTTACCAATGAAGAGTTTGATGAGTCCAAGCAGGAGCTTACTCTGACAGTCCGTCAATCTCGCTTCTTGTCTTCTGGTGATCTCACACCTGATGAAGATGCTTCCAGTCTTTGGACTGTTCCATTGACCATTGTCACTCATGTCAATCCCCACAGTCCAACTCGCCATGTTTTGACTGAAAAGGAAACCAAGATTACATTTCCATATTCGCACGAGAATAATTTCTTTTGGAAGTTCAATTACCGCTCCAATGGTTTCTACCGCACCAATTTGGATACCAAACAGCAGGCCCATCTTGGTGCTGCACTTGCAGCCAATCTCAGTCTGTTTACTACCGAGGATCGTATTGGCATTATCTCTGATGCCTTTGCTACTGCCAAGTCTGGCAATAGTTCGACTGCTGGTGCTCTCGACATTTCCAGGGGATTTGTTGCTGAAGAAGACTTTATTGTACTATCAGAACTCTCGGCTAATGTTGCAAGCGTTTCTGTTATTTTACTCAATGAGTCTGAGGAGGTTCGTAACGGAATCGACATGCTTAAGCGGTATTTGTTTTCACCCAAGGCCAAGGCATCTGGATTTGAATACTCCAAAACAGAAGGACATCTTGCTGCCATGAAGCGTACGCTAGTCATTGCAGCTGCAGCAGATGCTAAAGACCCTGTTGTGATCAAGGAGCTCATAGATCGTTTCCACAAGTTTGTTGGTGGTGATGAATCTGCACTTGATACCAATCTTCGATCCATTGCCTACCGCACTGCTTGCAAAAACACGGACGACGAATCTGTTTTTGAAGCACTTTTGAACATCTACAAGACTTCTACCAATGTTGAAGCTCGTTTGACGGCTCTGAGTACTCTTGGTGCGTCGCCCAACATCAATGTTGTCAATCGTGTTCTGAATGAGGTTTTGATGGATGGCAATCTTGTCCGACTCCAAGATATGATGTATCCTCTCAACTCACTCCGCTCATCCCCAGCACTCAAGGAAGTACTGCCAATTATGTGGAACTTCCTCAAGTCCAACTGGCCAGTTCTGTATGAGCGCCTTAAGCCATCGCTTGGTCTTCTTGGGGCATCTGTTCAATTGTGTGTCAGTGGTCAAATTGGCAATGCGTTTGCTGATGAAGTCGAGGCTTGGTCTCGTGGTGATGAGCTAGCAACCGATGAAGAAAAGGCAACCCGTGTAGAGCAACTCAAGGCTGCTCAGCGTCCTCTAAATCAGTCCATCGAGCGTGTTCGTAGCTCTACCAAATGGCTCGAGCGTGATCGTGAAACCATCCAGAAATGGATCGAATCAAACAAGACAGTCTTGAGCAATAGTTGTTGAATCTTTCTGGCAAACCTATAAAAAATTGGTAATTGCTAGCTTCTGTTTAACAAGAGCATGTAACTGAATTGACAATGAATTTTATTTGAAGGAATGTGATCAAAAAATCGGTTTTTGTAAAAGTAGTCGAATGGCTTTATATTTGTTGATATAGGTTGTGGGTATTAGTATCTTGAGTTGTAGATATTGTCAAAACTTGATTGAATAGCGAGTTTTCAATAGATGAAGCAGCTCAAGAGCGGGATTTAAAGTCATCCAATGCATTGTACATGGATAATTTTCAGCGTTTTAGTATGAACAAACCATTTAAAACCATTTGTATTTCAGGATTTTTACTTTTACGTGGATTAATTATTGTATTCAGATCGACACTATCTCAAATATTGCAGCCTAATCTTACTAATCAAAATGTGCTACGCCGCTCAGCTCATGCTAGAACAGATTTTTTTAGAAAATCCTAAACCAGATGTAAAAAAAGATGACCACCAAGGTAAGCTGATGTTGATGAAATGGATATAGCTTTATTGAAAATCACGCAAATCAGTTGCCAGCTGATAAGCATGATGGATATACTTGTTGATATCTACAACATGATTATGCATTTGATGGCTGTGAATCATGTAGAGTTTGTAGCTACTGAGCGACAGTGTTTAAAAAGCATACTACCAAATAGTTGTTCCCAATGTACTGGACATGGCTAATGTTTTTGTATACTTTTAATAGATGCTGTGATTCAGATATACGATTTCCACGCATTTGATCACATTATGGTGACATTGCCAAACGGCGTCTGCATTCCAAAGCTTCTTCAGATTATTGGAGATATTATCTATCATAGTGGTAAGTATATAGATTTGGGCTTGGGAACAATGCCTGTTGGCCTGGTTTGATTTTATATCCACTCTAATGACTGACATGTGCGTTTACAGACATCATGGCATGTGCGAATTCTTATACTGCACATCTTGTATACGGCAATGCCTCTGATTGTTACTCGAGACAGCAGACTGAAAAGAGTCTTGATAAAATTATGAAAAGCTTCATCTCCAATCCCACTGATTTCTCCATGTAAGTAATTTGGAAAGACTAGTTGTAAGAAACTATCAAGAATGGCATGATAATAACATGTGAATTTTATTTTGACGTGTTGTATAGTCTTGATCAAACTTTGGAATGTTCTCACGATGAGCTCTGGAGATTTATCAGTCAATACTTTGGCCATATATCTCAAAGTATGGTTTCACCTGCTATTATTTGTAAACTTCGAAGCTTTTCTGGTAATTCAAATGCTGGTTTTTACATATTATTTATGATTAGATGGAGAATATCATTTGTTACATGGAATGGATGGTCAGATGGCTTACTATTTTTTCATTGAATTCTACAGTAAAACAATGGACTGCTGCAGACCTTAAAAAAGTCCGCAAGATTATTGCGTCTTTTTCTCAGCAGGACCAAAACGTATTCCGGTACACGACACAGTTGCTGTACGACTGCTTCTACTTCAACGAGCTCTACAAGATGAAGTACTACAACATCTTGGATCTAAACAGCGATCAGCTCGAGGAATACATGGAGCACTTGCATGCTCGCACAGTTTACACCCAGCTTGACACACATCACCCAGGATACAGGGGTGTGTCAAGAAACTGTGTCAGCAACTTCCGCAACAACGTCTATCGGGCGGTCGAGCTTGGGCTTTATTCCTTTGAGCCTAAATCAAAGGGTGCGTTGTCATGGAAAACCCTCTGCAACAGAGTGCGTTTTCTGGTGACCCAGACCAGTCGTAGATCTTCTCGGGTTGATTCTACGACTGCTTCTGGTCCCACCGATGCCTTTGCGCATCATATTCCAAGTCCATTGGAATCAAAAACAGCATACATCTTTAAAAAGATATATGCTGTTTTTGCCAAAATATGGGATTGAATCCCAAATAAACACCAGCTGTGGTACTGTGCTTCAGTATTGTTGGCACAATACCGCAGTTATTTTATTTATATATCTAGGTCATTTCAACTACACTGGAATGATTCTGGATTGACTATCTATTGTATTGTATTTTAACCACTCTGATATACATAATAACTAATAAGATGTGTGAGTGCATTATTAAAGAATTAAAGATAGTTGAGAAAAAGACGTGTGAAAATAAAATAGTTTAATTAGCTTCAGAGTAAATTTAATTCAAAAGTCCAACTGCTTAGTCGTTCTAACCGATTACCAACAGATCCAAGATTGCAAAACTATTTCTGTGCAGGTATGATTAAATAATAACATATACGGATAGCAACTTTCTTGACGTATAGGACGGATGGCCGAGCGGTCTAAGGCGCCACGTTAAGGCCGTGGTCTCTCCGGAGGCGTGGGTTCGAATCCCACTTCGTTCACTTTTTACTTTTTGTACTGATATTTGTCTAAATTCCATTTTACCTTGTATGCATTCATTTACTTTATACTTGAACTCAACTTTTCATCCAGTTCAAGTTGCAAGCATGAGCGTATTCTACAAGATATTTATTTTTCATAAACAGTCTAGACAATTTATTTCTTTTGATTTGTATGATCAAACATTTCAACAATAACACGCTCAAGGTTTGGAATGATACATATGCCATGATAGTTATACGACAATTCCGCCAATAAAATCAACAAGACGAGATGCATATCGACCAGGTTCTTCGACACTGTTTTCCGGCATGGTGGTCAAAGTAGTAACAGCCGGGAATGTAATATGTCGATTTTGAAACATGGGTATAGTCTCTTCGTTTAAAGCAGCCGGCCGTGAGGATAAAGTGTGATCATCAATGGATTGTGATGTCGAGTTTTTTTCTTCGATATGACCTGCATCATCACTTTCTGGTTGTTCAGGCACGTCTTTAAGTGAAATCGAATGCCGTTTTTTGGCTGGAAATGCAGCAAGGTGTTGTGTATCCAATTGGGGTGGACTGAGCGGAAACTCATGGTTTTTAATTTTTGTTGGTGATGTCAGTGCTTCATAATATCCAGTATTTGAAGACGACTTTCCTGGAACTGTGAGTGATCCTGGATTTACACTGGCATCAGTTTTACTTTTTAGGTAGGGCGACACATGTCGGCTCAACATGGTAGCACTACGAGATCGCGTATGACCAGATGATTTGTAGACTCTATCCAGTGGTGGAGCAAGGGATCCATTCTGTGAAGTGCCAGTCAATGGTGAAGGCGACGTGGGTGGTGTAGTCATGACATTTAATGACGGCCCTTTAAAGTTTCCTCCATTCATAGAGGACGATCCAGAAAACATTGATGTCAAGGCAGTTGGACCATGAATGATTTGGCTAGTCTGTTTTTTAAGATTACGCTCCACCCATTTGAAATAATTGTATTTTTGCAATGCATCAATAAGCCCAAAGTAATAGACTTCATCTTGCCCAACAGATCTCATACCTCCGTGGAAATCTGTATGTGTTATAGTGTTGCAATGAGTTTGCGGTGGCTTGCATGAATGCGTTGCATATGGGTATGGCTCATTCATGGATGTAAATGGCTGCTCATATTTTGAATGCACATGCTCATTAAATTTTTGACTCGGATGTTCATCATCATCATCTGTATCGCCAATAGAAATACTGCACTGACCAGATGGAGATGCAGACATGCTTGAAATTTCAGGTGAAGTGCCTCGAACTAAGTTTGCAATGGTTTGAAATGCTGAAAGATACGGTTGGGTTGGTTTGGATCCTGCTTTTGAACCATTCAATTGAGATACTGTACTGCTTAGTATTGAAACTGCAGGTGATATGGACATGCCTGCTGCCGCACTATTGGAATCGGAAAGAATAGGAACGCCCGTAGCACAGGCATGGGGGATAGGATCGTTTAAATAGACATGAACACCAATTAACAGACTATAATCCATAAATTCGTGTCGCTTCAATAATGCAGTGTCCTTGGTTAAACGATCCACAAGCCAGTCGCGACGCTCAGCCCCCAAATGAATCAGATTGACAATTCCTTCTCCAAGCAATCTACTGAAATCAAGTTCTTTGAATGTAATTTCCTTTGATTGCACCAATTTCTTTGAATGAACACCAGTGTTGGGATTTAAGCCATAATTTTGCTGGTCATGATGGATGGATTTTTCATGATTGAACAATTCCAACAGCTCATCACGTCTAAGAGTTTGACGTCCAACAGTTGATCCCTTGAAGTCGTATTTGAAATCAATAGGCAGCATTGTGTCAAACACGTTGGGCATCATCACAAACGTGCATTTTCCTTGTAGAGCCGTAGGAAGCAAAACAGTATTGCTTGAAATAGAGCCTATACTGCTTCGATCACTGTTGGTGGCATGATGTGTAGAGTTTGTATAGGATATGGTACTGGGTCGACGACTTGGTGGATCAAACGTATACATTCCTAGATACCGAGGAAGAAGTGTATCGGGATTATCAATAATAAATGAAACATAGCTTGGAAGAAACGCTTTCAGATTGTCGGCTTCTGAACCTCGAAGTGATTTGAACAAAAATCGGCCAGACTTGCTTCGTAGAAACACAGCATCTGACTTTCCTGTAGACGAACTCATAGAAAGTGGAGCAGTCAGATCCATTTCAAGCTCAGCAAGGGAATACCCAAAGTAGTCGCGAATAGCAGAAAACACCATTGGAGAGTGATCTGTGAATTTAACCTGTCCATAGTGTGGAATAGTCCATTCATGGGAACTGTCAAATGCATAGTGGTAGCGTTTGAGACCATCGATTTTTTGACGATCGCCTGTAAAAGGTCGATGTAGTGTAGATTTTGGTGCGCCGTGTCTACCAGGATCAAATGGTTTAAATCGGTGACTTCTAGAATATGCTTTGGGTGCAGATTTGATAGATCCTCGATCAATAGCCAATCTACGTCTGGAAGGCTGGATAGGAACAACTTTTAATGGTAAATGCGTTGGTGATAAAGCTGTAGGAGAGATTGGCTGGTTGGAGATGGTGTCCGTTGCAGCGTTGCAGAAAGTAAGCTGGTTGCTCGTGGCATTGAGAATAGGTGTGGCTGCTACAGATGTCAAAGGTGCCAGGTTGGATAGATTATCAGAAGATATTTTCCGATTGGAATGTTTTTGAGAACTCAATTTGGGGATACCGACCGAAAGAGAATTTAACCGATGCTTTCCAATAAGAATATGCTTACTGGGACTTTCACTATGAATAGGCGAGTTTAATGGGGTCTGAGGTGAAGATTCAACATTTTCTTCAAATAATACAGAAGCAACAGATGATGAATTGTGGGTGGTTTTATACGACGAAATAGTGCCATAGTTGTGAGAAGCTGCCATGGATGAAGAGATGGAAGTAAGTAGAGTTGGAGTTCGTGATGGCGAGATGCCTGCCTTTACCTTTCCATGATCGTTTGAGAGAGATCGGGTATGCGAGCAATTTGGGTGTGACTGAGATGGAATGAGTTGATGCTGTAAAGACTGCTTTTGCATCTGGACAGCAAGAGCCTCAATTGCCCCTGTAGAAAATAGGGCTGGCCAGGCTGAGGGCCAAGCTGGAAGGGTTTCGGGGTTGAAGGCTTGAATATGCAGCACAGAATACACGCATTGACGGAAGGCAGTGACAATAGGGTCTTCAGATATGGGTGGAGTGGGTGACGATGGATCGTCAGCATGTCGATGTTGATATGGATGAGCAGAATAAAAATATTTGTTGGGATCGGCAGAATGGTTGCGTGCACAGCACTGGTCTTCAGATTTGATATGAATGGCTGGATGCTGACATGCAGAGCATTGCAAAGGATGAATAGTGGCTGCGTGTGGGGTAACTTGCTCCAAGGGCTTGTACTCTTGCTCGGTAGTTAAACCCTGCAGCCACCTAAAGCAATTTAGATGGAATCAGAAATTTGAATGGTTAACAAGTGTCAAGGACAGCCATGTACAAGATCCTCATCAAAGAACTGCAAAGCAATCATGTATGCGTTGGAGTGTCTGAGCGTGTCCAATGACAGCAGATGCTGCACTGGAGTTAAATCGCTGATGGTGACTTTGCAATCCAATATGATGATCGATGGTCTGAAAACATACACAACAGTTCTTACCTGTAAAGCAAGAATGCAAGTGGAAGAGCTACAATACCCAGAACTAAACCCAGCAAAAACAGCGGAATGGATTCAAGCATAATCTTGTATAAATAGTTGTCAAGCTATTGATACAAATGGTATAAAGGCGATTCACTAGTAGCTCAGAAAAGTATAAATCACTGATAAATATACTTTATCAATGCTAATCCTCCCTGTTGCAATCAGGACGGCCTGGATGCAAAAGTTTAGCTGTAAATCTTGACAGCTGTTTGCATTCTATTTATAGCCGTATTCACGTAAAACATTTTTCTGTATTCATTTAAACCGTCATTTTGGTTGCGAATAAACAGTGCTCAACTGTGTGTTGTGTTTTCTTACTGAATATTCTCAGTTCTTTAGTGTTGGGATCGATTGGTACACAAACCCATTCTTTATTATACTCGAATCATTTTAGTAGAATTCAAGAATGTGTAATAATAAAGTTCCAATCCTCGCGCTGTTTATTAAATGGTTGATACATCATGTCTAACCAAACAGTTGTTTTGTGGAATAGAATGCTGTCTAGAATAACATGCGTGTATGGAAATGTTACATGCCATGGTTTAAAAGGTCTTGAAATATTACAACATTCACAACTCCTTTGATCAGTCAATAAACACACTGACCATCATATGAATCACACAATCTTGACATTGCTGATCAAAATGTTTGTACTTGACAAGGTCCACAAGTGCACTATTTCATGCGTAAAAGGACATGTTTTGAAGGCTAAAATCACCAGAAACTATTTTGAACAATGATTCGAAAGGACACACTGTTGTCCAGTAAGATTGACACCAGTCAAACATGAGATTGGCTGTTTATCATGTATTTGGTACCCTTATTTACTGTTCCATTTTACGTGAACACTGCTGTATATTTGACTGCCTGTCAACTTTTTGACTAAAGTTCAAGACAAAGGGGATGAAAGTATTATATTTCAAAAATCCAATTTTGGCATGTTGAAACCGTTCTGACAGCACCAATCAGGCTGTCGTTGCAGCCTTTTGGATACGAGAGTTTTCTGTTGGTAAATTGCACGATTGGTTAAATGAATAGACTAAATGAAACCCTTGCGCAGAGCATCAAGATGAGCGATTGCAGACAATTTCTCATTTTATTTTCATCCTTGTTCCCATTATCGATAGCTGCAAGCGTGAGTACTGTCCTGACACTACAGAGTATATTTTATTCAATAGAACCAATGCCAAGAAACTGCAAGTATTCATATGGTCTGCATATAGCCACATTGACCGCATTCTCATTCATGTTCTGTGTAGATTATTGCCATTACTGCTCTGTTCATATCCCAAACACTCGAGATTCCAGATCATCCCATAACTTGGGCTCAGCAGTAACGTATTGATTGTTGTAGCTATACCTAATTTGCAGTAGCTCTTTACTGATATGACTGTAACTGGATATAGCATCGATCAAATGTCAAGAGATATTACGAATTGATTCAGCTTGATCAGGCAGGCATCGTATCTCACATTCCAGCTCAGATTGGTACATTTTGTTATGCTTTGGCAGTTGATGAGCTATTGACTGATATTGCATGTGTAATGGTCATGCTTTAGATCCTGTTTGGGGTAAATACAAGAAACCCAAGCAGTTGCCAGATCATGGAAAGCTACCACCAAGCCTATTGCCACCGCCTGCTACATCTAATCTAACCCCAACGTATCAATGGGGAGATCAGCATGAATACATACACAAAGTGCAGTCCCGCTTATACAATTGACGTTTGATCAAAGCAACTGCATTCACGTCAATGAAGCATTATCTTGCAGTCGGGACCTTGGAACAAACAAGGATTGGATCTTCGTTGGTTTGGTAAACATTCAATCAACACAACAATCATAATTCAAACTGTGGTTTTGATCCGAAACTCGCTTGTTTTGGTAGTTGTACGATTGCCAGATATTGATTCAACTGGTATCAAAAACTCGTGTTCTAGTTCAATTGTTTCATGTCACAAGAAACTAGCAAACCAACACACCAAAAGATAACAATGTCCAGTCAATATGATGTGAACTATCAATCATTTCGCAAGACTAGCTGTTTATTATATATATTGTCCCCTTATTTAGTCTCATTTTACGTGAATACGGTTGTAAATATCAATATATTATTTGGTACAGTAATAAAATAGTCGATAGATTTTACTTTTTGCCAAGCAACATTGACCATATTGATGATCGTTTTGCTTGTTGGCTTTGATTTGATGCATGTGTATTGGATCCGTATCCTTGTACATTCGGTGTATACCCTTGAGTTGCACCTCCATATGAATATCCTGCAGAACCATGTCCACTAGCAGGTTTCTTTTTGCTTCCAAAGAACCGATTCCATCCACTCGATCGTTTACTAGAGTTGCTGTTGTATTCTGCGTGGTATTGGCTCTCCATATGTGATACAGATGCCCTCCGATCAAGTACAACCGCTGATGCAGGCATAGCCAAGGGTTGTATAGCTGCGTCACCGTGATCTCTACCGTCTCCAGTCACTGTCATGTCTGAAAGTAGGGCACCTTTGGTAGGTACAGGCATGGCTGATTTGGGTGTGGAGAGCGAATTGGCCAGTCCTCTATCATCATAGTTGAATACATCACTTTCAAGAAAGTCCAGATCGAGTTTGTGTATATTTGCATGTCGTTTGGATTTACTTGATATGTCTGCAAGTCGTTCGTTCTTGGGTGGTGGCAGGGGAGCAGATGTCACGCTAAGCTTGGATATGACTGTGGATCCTGACGATACTCTTGATGATACCAACGATGCTGATTTTTGTCGATACCCTCCATATGTTTTGCTGGATGCATAGGGCGCTTTAGGTAAATGTGCGGTTGAACCATTCAGGACAGTGTCTCCCTCGTCCTCAGTAATCGTGTCAAGCAGTGCTGTATTCAGCATCATTTGCTCTGACTCGATCAAAAGATCTGAAAGCGACAGAGCAGGAGATGATTTTGATTGGCCATCATCCAAAGAGCTGAGACTGCCTCCAATGGGTGACTTGATGTAGAGATGTCTTTGTAAATTTGCTGCTTGCTTGGGTATTTGAATGGCAGTGTTCTTGGTAAGATCAAACTGTGACTGGGTTGGAGTTGTTGATATCAATGTATTTGTCGTGGTAATGTCTGGTGCAGACGAAGCTGCTGTGGGTGTGATGTCGAGTTGGTCTACAAAAGTTGAATAGTTTAGTTTTACAATCAAGTCCTACAATAGTCCTACAATAGTCCAGGAATGGCAATAAAACATACCACTCATTGTAAAATCTGTGCCAGAATCAACATGATTTCGAAACGATGATTCTGATTTGCAAGCATCTTGGTTTCGAGACAATGCCAATTCATGTGCATTTTCATCAACGGGAGAATCTACAATCAAAGCCGTCGTGTACGACGCTTCGGAAGAGGTTGATGAAGCAAAAGACATGACAGATCGCATAGAATCTGCATCAGTATCACGGGCACGCGCAGTCAACGAGATACGTCCAATCTTGCGTGGGGTATGTGCAAGAATAGCTTGAAAGAACCCCATAACATTGTCGTCTAGCTTTGCACTACATTCGTAGTAGGCATCTGCATGAATAGAAGCAGCCAGTTGACGACCTTGTTCTGTCGTAACAGGAGCAAGTCCAAGATTTGCAAGACGAGAAATAACCGTTTCATCTGCTCGTAAATCACTCTTTGTTGCCAGCAACGAAAGAGGACAATCCGCACACAGAAATCGAACTTCAGGGACCCACTAAACAAAAACTTGGGGTGAATACAATAATAACAACCAGACACGAAAGATCGCTTTACCTTTTCCAATACTTGGTCAAAGGACTGATGAGAATCTACGGCGTAGCATACGACGACGTCTGTGGCACCTTCATACGAAAATGGACGCAATCTGTCAAAGGCAGAGGCACCTGCTGTGTCAATAATAGCAACATTCGGATAGTTGTCTAACGAATATCTGTCTTCAATCGTTGCAAGATGGTACTGAATGACATTCAATGGTCGTGTTAGCAATCGAAATTCATAATATTTTAAAAAATAAAAATCAGCAAAAAATGACAATCAGCATTGTCCACTACAGCCAAATAAGCATTTCAAGCCATCATTGATGGGCTGGAGTAGTGTTGTGGATTGCACTCGTACATCCAATAGGAACACAGCGCGATGCAAGCTGTCAAGAACAAGACACGGAAAAGTGAAACATTTCAATACCACAATATGTTGGTACAGAAAATGAACAATGGACTAGACCCAAAAATACGTGCACAGAAAAATGCTGGATTGCATCGTAACCATTTACAAGGTCCAGTCAGATGAATACAGTCACCCTATTAACCCTGAATGTCATTGCCCAACTACGCAGACAAATCATAGCATGATCAAGAATCATCCCTTATATAAAGTAGCTGTGATAGTTTAATTCAAGACTAAACGAAATTCCTTTTAAACAACCCTACTCCTGCAACCATGTGATTTTTGAAGCAGGTAGAGTCAAAATCATCTTGTATAGTGCGATTCCATTCAGTATAGGCTAGAAATGAGAATACAGACACTGGCCAACTGAGGGTTTGATTATACAAGCATGGCTGGATACAAAAAGCCTCCTTTCAGAATTTTCAAGGTAACACTTGAGCAGCTCAACAATGCAATCAGTAGTATAGCGATTCATGCTGGCTGAAAGGGTGTTGCAGTAGTGTACAGCAGAGCAAATCGTGGAGATTGTGCTGATAAATCCATTCAAGTATACATGAATGCAGTAATACTTACAGTTGGACATGGAAGTTGTCGTAGAACATTGATGATGGCGCTCTTGCCAACTTCTTCATCGCCAACAAAGACTATTCGTCTCTGGGTTTGCATGTGGTTCATGACCTGAACTAGTTCAGATACGGGCATTTTTAGATTGCAGTGATTGTATGTGTATATGTCAAAGTATGCGGTTGGTTGTAGTGTGTTGCAAGTAATAATCTGTCGAGTAACGGACAAGCGGGCGGAATTCGAAAGCTTTGGAAAGTTTTTTGGGCAGTTTTTGGCTATTTGGGCATATTTAAACATTTGTGTTTTGGCTAAATTCACGGTTGATTTTATCTTCATTTTCACCAACTCGATGATTCTGTCGATCCCGCAACTGATACTGCCTTTATCAACCACTACCAACAGTGAAGAACCCATTCATCATCCACAGCAGAATTCTCATCTTTGTTCAACTCCACAAGTACATGCGTATCTCTTTACCAATGTTATAGATACTCAGCAACTTCTCACTCATCTACGGCATGTTCCTCCAATTCTTCCAACTGCAGTCTACTTGGATGCATCCAAGATATTCTCCTTGTTTCAACTGTCATTGGCTGTCACAAAAACACACTTGAATAAATGTACCAACAAAATGCGGACCCATTCTGATCAGTCGGAAATCTTGCTTTCCTTGTCTGGCGATACATCTATATCACAGGCATTTAAGCAGTTTGGAATATCAAAACACACTTGCAATGTATTGGTTGTAGACTATTCTGGAAATGATCAAATAGAAAATCATAATCAGGTGCGTTGATTATCACTGTATTGGCATGTGTATATCTGGTTGAATACTGATCGTTTTGAACAGGAAATATTGCAAGACTTGACTCGACACATTCACGGGACTCACATTGCAGAATTTACGGATCTGGACAATATTCGAGACATGAAAGCTATTCGCAAGGTGGGTTGAATTCGTTTGGAGTGGAGTTCATTGGCTTGTCAAGATCGATCATGTATTCATTTAGCTTGATTGTGCAGATTTATTCCATTCCCACTGCGGTAGAAGACTTGCAAGAAATCGAATCGTTGATTGTAGGAACAATGGCACTACAAGGAAACACTAAATAAAATACTGTAATGTAAAATGACTATTGTTGGATGTGGTCATGCATGTGTGCTAGAAATGCTGATTTGGATTGAACATTGATTTTACCCAGTTGTTAACCCAGCAGTTGACCCATCAGATACAAACGTAAAACTTGATTGCTTTGATGCTCACTCAGTGCTCATTTCCTGACACTTTGACCGACAAGCCCAGTGACAGTATAAATAATACACTGGATACCCTCATCACATCAACCTTTTCGGACAGAATCCAACTCCTGCGTGAACTCGTTTCTGTTCATGCTGCAGCAACGTCATCCCAGCCCACTGCCTTATCTCATATCCTTTCTGACCTCTCACATCAAATATCCACTCTTGAATCTCAAGCAGCAGATCTTCAACAAGCTCTTGATACAGAAACTACCCTATTAGGTCATGGCAGATCCAATATCCTACCAAAATTGAAGCAGCAAGAGTCTGTGCTCATTCAAATGCTGGACAAGGTAAACGCTGGGGGTACACATGCCACTTCTACTGAGCATACTGCAGATGTGTCTGATACCTTGACATTCATGAAAGTGGCATCTGCAAGCGACACGAATGGAGAGCCAGATGCAGATCCAACAAGCCATGCCCCCAAAAAAGAAAAACCGTCTGCTAAACCTTGTAGATCCATCCGACTACTCACCGACGATGAATACAATCACATTCCTCAATATATTGGTACGTTTAGTTGGATATATTTCAACCCCAACTTGCTTGTGAAGAGTCATGGGTTACTGATATTCAATTGTTTTGTGGACATGTCGATTTAAACCATTAGTGGGTCGGATTACATTAGAAAAAATCAATCAGGCCATCACTGATCTCAATCTTCTTATAAGTGACAAGTACAAGATTTTTAAACTGCCTCAGCAGAAAATGTCTAAATTGCAGCGATCCATCTATTGGGAACACAAGCAGCTCGCGACTGCCGAGACAAAGTCTCGTGTGTTTGTTACAGAAAAGGATTTGAAGGATAAAAGTGGAGGGTGGACGGAGAGCGGATTCAAGTTTGATGCTGTGGGCAGAAACGTTGTTGCTATTCTGAGACATTTGGGGAGAATCAAGGAAGTGCGAGGTGGTGGTCATACACGAATCGTGTTGCAATAAAACGGTATAAAAGACTCGAGCATAACTTGAAGAAACTACATATTATCAGTATCATCTCTTGGTAACTACTGAGCAAGATTGAAAATAGATTGATTAGGCTCAAACTCATGCATATTTATTCATCGACAAAATTCAAATCGCTCTTGCGGTCTGGAGCATAAGTGTCTTTATGCGTGTTGTATAGTTCCTGAAGCCCTTCCATATAAAGCTTGTGGAATGTTTGTGTTTCTTCCAGAGTAGGATTGTCAATCTTTGGGCACTGAATCGGTTTTCCAACTAAATCATTGTTTTTAAAGATTGGCAAGTTTAAAAAATCATAAAAAACAGCTCAATAATTGGACGAGAACGAGTAGGACCAAAGCTGAACTTACCAACCGATACAATACGACGACGATAGGGTAGAATTCCCATGTTATAAGTAAAAATACCACGACCATGCAGGAGAGGAGGTGAGAAGCTTGCGATTTTTTGAAACCATTTCTGGTATTTTCGAATAAACGAGTCTTTTGGGGTTGAAACTTGATCCCATATATCGTTTTCACCAAAAGAAAAGACAGGCACAAGACATGCGCCAGCTCGAAGAGCTACTTTAACAAATCCAAATCGCTTTACGAGAACAAGATCGCATGTGCCTGGATGAGCATTAAGAGCTTCTGCAGCACCGCCAACCACAATCATGATGGCGTTTCCTTGACCTTGTTTAAGAACATAGTCGCATGATTCGCGACTTGCTGAGCAAATGCCAAGATCTATAAGATATGAAACCATTGGTAAACAAGGACAATTCATAGATACAAAGCAACAGAATCTTACGCAGAATGATTTCCCTAAAGAATGGCATTCTAAAATTGGCAGCGAGAGTCATGAGTCGCAGATCGATGCCTTTAAACTCTTGGGAGAAGTGAGTAGCTTCTGTAGCAAAGTTGGACCATGCGCCAAGCGAGATGATTCCTAACAGTCGATGAGATTTAAGAATGGAATTAGCTTGTTGCAGTGTGCAGTCAGCATTGCATAGTCAAACCCACAGCAGCACAAGGGGGTTCAGCATGCAATCTAAACCGCCGCAATATGCTTTGAAGCTCATTGCAGTATTAAGCATATTAGGGTGGGTTCCCAACTAGCAGATCCATGAAGAATATGAACCAACAAGCTCACCATGAGGATGGTACCCAAAGACATAGTTTTTTTTGGGGTCCAAATCCACAGTCTTGACGAGAGAAATAGGAAAGAAGTCAGCCAGCCATTTCCAAAGCGACAGTCTTCTCAACCACATAACCTTGCGACCTCCCTGTTGTGGAGTAGAGTCGAGCATGATGTATACGATATAACCAAGAGCAAAGGGCAAGAGTGGTGGAGTGATCAGCATGAAAATGAACAAGGCTAGACAGCATGGCAATAGAAGAAGCCAGAGAACAACAGCAGCAGTCTGTCGTCTGCGCGAGAAGGGAACATTCAATGGAGCCATTTGCATTCCTGACATGATGCAGTCAGATTACTAAAAATAAATAAGATTGAGATGCTGCTGTACATCCATGTAAAATAATAAATAAGGGAGTCGACAGTTTTATGATTCAAATTCTTATTCTAAACTCGACGATTACCAACAAGAATTGTATAAAACTATACTCGAACAGTACGAATGGTTTCTTGAATAATTCTTGTCATTGATGATCATGTCGAGTCCACAACAATAATCTTGATGTTCCAAATCAACTGTTTCATTCGCTCCATATCCTCGGTTAGTCCACACCATCTACAGCACTCTCTTGCAATCTGTTCCATGTCTTGTAAAAACACTGTCAGATCCCCTCGAGTCAGTAACAGCTTGTTCGTTCTTACACTACGTCGAATATCTTTTGCAGTTCGTTGATTGAGTCCTAATTGTTTGAATAGATTTCGATCCAGCACGGAACAAAATACTTGTTCCCACAACTTATCTATGAGTTGAATCACTTGTTCCATCTCCTTTGGGGGTGTGACTTGGGAAATGACTGCCCATTCATCTCCATATTTCTTATAAAGTATTACAGGGATGCATGCCATCATACACGCCATCCAATCCGTCTCTAACTGAGCTAATGCCAAGAGTGTTTTTTGCTCAGTGTGAATGAGTGCTGAAGATATAGACGCAGGAACCGGATAAGTTTTAAGATCTGCTACATGTGATGATACAACAATGGGTTCTGTTTCCATATCATCCATGTCCATCATTACATCTTCATCCATCATGTGTGTTTGATCCTGTTGCATGTGGTTTGAAGGTTCGATCGAGAATGCATGGAGATGAGTCGAGTGTATAGATGTGGTATGCTGTTGAATGGATGTTTGATTCAAAGATGAATGAGAGTTGTGATTTGAAAGATTAGTTTTAGACTGTTGCTTGTATTTCGATGCCTGATGCTGAATCTCGTTTACCAATGCTTGCGAGTTTCCTTTAAAATCAGAAATTGTAGGAATGCCATGTATCAATGCCTTGACACATAAATTCTTATCTACAGGATTTGATTGTAGTCAGTTTTATGGCTTTAATAAACTTGAATCAAACAAGTTCAAGACATTTACCATTGGACAACAAAACTACTTTGGATGCAGTTTCTGGAACGCATTGCAAGCAACATTGTAAGATAAGATCGTCATTGACAATCTAAACCATGAATAGACACGCAAGATTTACCAGTAGAAACTTTAATAACCTTGACCAAAGTCAGTATTCTGGCGTGAAACTTACATCAGAACCATACAAAGTCGAGACATTCGACTTGACTTGACCACGAACTTTATTGTTTGAAAAGTCAGAGAGAGAGTTGAATAAAAACTGAATAGCTTGTCTAGCACAATCACCAAGCGATAGTTTAATCCGTTCAAGCGCATCGTCATGTATTAAAGTGTCCTTGGAATGATTAAACTAAAACATTCTAGATTAAAACATGAATCCAGCACTGTAACACAACAAGACATACTTTGAGACCATCCAATTCTTGAACCACCACTTCAGGAATAAACAGAAACATGTCATCAGACATATGATTAACGGATTGTTTCAACAAGCTCAATTGAGATATAAGAAAGTTGGTATCGACCACCACAGCAGTGAATTCCAATTGAATTGTTGCAGTGTTTGAATGCAAGGATGAGCCAGACAAAGAGCGACAGTCCATTTATTGAATGGGTAAACTTGTTGAATTCATAAACTTGGATTTTATCGAGTTTCTCGAGTTTCTCGACTTGCATTCGTACCTCACATGTCGTTGGTGTTGGCATCGCTGTTTAGCTTGCCCATCTCGCATAAATCTAATTCATTTACTTTTAAAAACAAGGCAGGAACATGTGCAGTATTTTATTATGACAGATGGGTTGATTATTGGATTCTAACATCATTTGAACTTGATATTAAAATATTCAATCGGACATTCGCTCAACTCAGTCCGATTCTCTGTCATACACTCCCTTGGCAGTCGTTCGTACAGAATCCTTGTTTTGCTTGGCCATCGACTCTATTCTTTATCTTGTGTCCATCAATCATAAACAATTATCAGCTCAGGTCGAATTAGGTAATTTAATGAATTGTAATTCAGTCCTAATAACACTCTAAACTTTAAAAATTGCACTTGTCTGTTTCAACTGGATTTATAGATTGTAGGATTGACTGTCTTGGTGTGCATTCCTCTCGTCAGATCGCTGTTGTTGGAGATATTCTTGGTTCTATTCATTTTGTTCATCTTCTCTCGGGTCAGGTGTTTTATTCTCAGGCGTTGGTCAATCCCACTACGCTACAGCAATCCAATCTGGAAAATCAACATGTGTTTGCTTGTCTAGATCTGATATCTAACGAGTAAGTCTATTCGTTTAAATTGTTTCTATAATCGAGTTGACATCAACTGTATGTTTTTCAAATCAGAAATACAGATGAAGTGGTTGTTTCTTTGACATCTGGAACTCTCATGAGACTTTCTGGAATCGATTTTGCACTTGTTGAACAGTACTTGCTTGATGGCAACTTGGAAACTATTTCATCTACTGTAAGAGTTTTATTTCCTTGATGGTGGATGATTGGCGTTTACACATTAATTAAAATGTGGCATTTTTCATCTCAGATTCAACAACATGTCAAGGTGCAAACAATCAAGATTTCTGGAGAGTTGATGGATTCATTAAACTACGTTTTAGTGTCCAATCAGTTTATATACGCTTGTGGATCTGGTGCGTGCATTTATTTTGGAAAACCTCCTCAAACTCCAAATTACTGACTTGTTGTTGATAGGTTCTGCACCATTGACCATATGGACAAAACACCCTTCCATTCCAACAGCATGTATCGACTCTGTTAAACGTGTTTTAAATGGATCAACTCTGATTTTTGCTGAGCTCGAATCTACATCTGGATACATTGCTACACTGGATACTACTGACCAGCTAACTTTATTTGACTCAAAAGTTTGGGTTGCCATAGGTCGTACACGCATCTCCAACGTTGTAGATATGTATTTTACTATCAATCCACTTGAGGATATCAAAACTGTGCTTGTAGTCGTTTGTACTGATCAGCAGGAAACTCGGTTGATACTGCTTGATATACCTACACTTGACACAATTCAAAAATGCAATCTTCCATCAACTTCAAAGCTGGTTAGACCGAGTTGTTCTGGCCAAAAAGTTGATACTTTAGAGTTGATATATGTGAACTATCCCATTGATTTAACAAGCGATTATATCACACTGGATATTCAAATTGCTAAGCTTTCTCCTACAACATCACTTCAAAAGGTCAAGGAATTGATTTTTTCTGGCCAGCTTGACAAGGCAGAAGATATGGCACAGGCTAATCATTTGGATATTCAGGTATGTTGAAAAACTATAGCTGTTTTATTTGATAATATCAACATGAAACTTGTCAAATTTGGCAATTAATGTATTATGTTGATGCATTGCAATCTAGAGTCTATATAAACTACATATTGAATCACTATTGGCTGAAATGACAAGTGGATCTTCAAAAACAGATCTTGTTTCCGATGCTTTGTTGATTATGAATCATATCGAGGTATGGCGTCTGTTTTAATATATTGTGAGTTTGTATTTGGCCATTCATTGAATTCTGAAATGCGTTCTACTCCACATAGGATGATTTTTTTATTGTCAACCATTGTCTTGAAGCAAAAGCACGGTCACTTGATGATGTGCAGCATTTTATAGAGTTTTGTCGCAGCAGACTTGAAAAAAGTATGCTCAATTTAGAATCATCAGAAAAATTAAGCTCTCTTGCAGCTTATGTTGAGCAAATCACAAAGCGACTGGCGACATACATTTATTTGCACGAGTTTGATTTTGCTCAATGGATAGAATTTAAACAGCGGCCGATTTCTGAACTCATACGAGATGCAATTGCTGTAGGAGACTGCTCAAAAGCACTCACGATTTGGAACCGTCACAGTACTGGTATGCTTTTGTAGATATGATTCAAGTTTATTGCATTTACTTGTGAATTAATATCAAACTTGAATACCACATTCATCTTGATTTAGATCCAACGCTATGTGAAAGCATTGCTACAATTTTTCAAGATTTACCTGTAAACATGACTGTTTCAAACATAATTGTGCTGGTTCAAGAATTCGAAAGACATATTACTACTACAGCTGAACGGTATAGAATATTTAGTTTTGAACTAGATTTGAAAGTCTCTTATTTTGAAAACATTGCTTACTCGTTCATATTTTATTGTAGGAACCTTTTGAACCAATGGATAGTGGATCGGGCAAGACAGATTGAAGGTCAAACTGAACGTCCGCATGATGCATTAAAGTTTTTGATATCTCTTCAACAGCCGAATGCACAACTTCACCGGATCAAATACAGTACTACCGAGTGTTCACCGTGGAGATATGTCAAATCTATGCTTCATGACACTCAAAACAACTCTGATATCGAGCCTCATTCTAGTCTTCTTGAATTCCTTCAGCTACTTTCTAATTTAAAAGATCTTGCAAGTTTATGGGCAAGTACAGACATTAATTTATCATTTTGGAATGTATCTCGTGTTATTATTTTGACCAACACATGGCAATTTTAAATCTACAATATAGGATGATCACAACATGCCGATATCACTATCTGTTTATGAAAAAGAACAACCAATGAGCATCGGTAAGCTGTGTGCATTTTTGTTAATTTCATGCAACCTTGTTTTGTACACTCTTGAATGCAATTTAACCTTTGATTTCAAATACAGCCATGTCTTTGGTGGATCGTGTTGCCGCTCCTGAGCTGATCCCATCTGCTATTGAAAAGCACATCAAACCATATCTTGCACGCCACGATGATATCACAGTCAAGGTGTTTCTTTCAGAGTATTGCACCACACTTATGGACTCATCTATTGGTATAGTTTAATTTATATGCATAGTATTTTATCTTGGCTATGCAATATTTGCTTACACGAGTCATTTTATCATGCTTGAATTCAAATATATTATAGGTCAAGAACAGTCATTTCAAAGTATGCCAGTTTTGCATTTGTTTGAAACTGGTTGATTTCTGGGTAGCTAATGTATTTATTTTGATTAGCCTGGGAACCAAGAGTATTGGCAATTGTTCCATTAATAGGCGATTCGAGTATTGAAAACGATATTATTTTGGAAATCATGCGACGTACAGGTATTCCATGGAGTGCTGACCTTGATATACATATTAAAAAGGCGAGTATTTATCTCGGATTGTGAAACTGGCATATCCGCTATCAGACGACATAGTTTATCATCCATTGAACCATCTAACATATTGTTTGGTAATACAGAGACTCAAGGACACCATGGTTCACAATCATCGCGATATTGTAGAGCAATTTCGACTGATCCAACTAAAGAGAATGATGCTCAAATATGATATTACTGTATTTAATATTGCCAATATGAGTTTAGCCAAACGTCTTTTAAGACATATCTGCAAGCAAACTGATCAGATCTCTGCTGTGGGCGATGCACTGCAAGTAGTCAAGGCATATCACAATCTTACAAAAATGGATGCATATTTAATGAGAGCGCGATTCCTTGTTGCTGAAAACTTATTTGAAAGATGCGAGCTATTGTTATCTGTTGGAAGCGAAACTGCGGACACTGAAATCACACAAGACAAGGAGGCGCTTGATGATGAAAGTGATCAGCGACTTTCGTCGGCTGACCGAGCTTCACTTGTGACTCAATTACTTGGCTGGATTTTGATCAAGCTAGACTATGCCATATCCCAACGTATGTAATGTGTTTGATTTATTCGAGTTGAAAGATAAACTTATTGACTTTGATTTTCTACTATTGCTTTTGATTCATGTCGATATTATAGAAAATGAATCGACTTTTACTACCATGCTGCAGGCTGGTATAATGATACACGGTATATTGACGCAACATCATATTTTTATCCATGACTTGCCCAGTGGCTTTGATTTTCGACGTGCTCAAAACCTCTATCGTGACTATAAACAAATGATCCACCCAAAATGCATCATGGATCCTTTATTTGTTCAAACACTTCTTCAAGAGCATATTCAATTACAGTCATTTACGGACGGATCAGCTGCATTTGTAGATATCTATACATATGCCGATGCTCTTGGGATTGATCGTCACGACACGCTTTGCCGATTGGCCATTCTTTTGACACAAGCCGATCAATTAGACCTTGCAATGCTTCTATGCAACGAACTCAACGATATTTATCCTGGCTCAAAAACTGCTACGACATTTGCGACATGTTGTAAACTTATTCTGAACAACAATTACTTGCTGCAGTTTGATAAAGGGTCGGAGCATATTTTTAAACTGGCAAAACTGCTGGTTCAATTGGGACGTTTGGCTATAGCAAACAGTGATTCATCTGATTTGTCCAAGCACTTGGATTTGTTTAAAGATTTGGACTTGCTGTATCATATTGTTTTGCAGGGAGATATGGGTGCCTATCGTGCCTCACTGACCAAACGACGCCGAATCGGACCAACGGATGGTTTGGAGCAGTCAACTAGCAATTATTCTAGAGGGAGTGGCTCTAGATCCGATTATGAATCAAACCATGCCAGAATTATACCCGTTGCACATGATCCAGTACCATATCAAGACGAACGGTTTGGTTCAAGAATTTTTCATTCGTTCTATCATGAAACAGGACTTGTTTTGAATGCTCAAACAGCTCTTGAGCACGCAGTCATATTTGTTCAATCCACTATTTCAATGAACGAAGCACTTGCACGAGAAATCAACGATCCTTTTGCCGATCATGTCGAGATGGTTGGAAAAGGGAAGCGCGCGAATGATCAAATTCCTGATCGACAGCTTGCTCACACGCACGGTCACCAACTGGTAGATATTTGTCTACAGCATCGGCAATATCAACTTGCAATTCGATTATCCCAACGTCTTATTGAGCTTTCTTACTCTCCACTTTCACAATCCATGGCATCATCAAATCAAGCTACTACTGCAGCAGCAGAATATATACTCCAAACGGAACACGCTCTCAAAAATCTAGCAACCCAAATGCTTAGTGCCAAAGTCATTGATAAACACTATACTTTGGCTTGCTTGCTCAGTCTGCCAACCAAAATTGCATTTGACTCGTTCAAAAGTGGAATGGCGACCACAGGGAAAGATTTTGGACGATTAGAAAGAGTAGCTAAAGTGGGTGCCATGGCTGGATTAGTATGGTCTCAGCATGATTTCCAAGCAAATTGTCAACGATTGGCTGTGCATGCTGGATGGTGGCAAGAATTGCAGGTATTGGGTAAGCGTTTTGTTTTGATGGGCAAATAGATATTGTAAAATGGTTATTTTTGAAAACTGTATTAACACAAGTCATGCAGAAATCCCGTTTGATCAAGCAAAATACCAAGCAAGTGTCAATGGTGATTATCAGCGAGAGCTGATACCACATATTTTGCAGAAAACTGATGGGGATCTTGAAACAACACTTGCATTTTCTCAATACTACCACATTGAAGGTTAGTTTTATCCATTTGTCATGCCTAGTACTGTTGGTAAAGTTGAATACATTGGCTGACATTTACAACCCATTTGATAGATGATTTTGTATACTTTCAACTCGTGAAACAGCAATTATACCATTTGACTGATACATTTGAATGCGCTGCTGGTGATACTCCTAAACATCATGTTTGCATTGCCAGTATCATGACTGACATTTCCAACAAAGAGAAATTCATTCAATTGCTTATCAATGAATGTCTGTATCAGATCTCTGCTTACAACTATGAAGGCAAGTGCTACACATTCATAAATTTTATTTTTCAAATTGCTGGTGTGTATCAAATAGCTTGGTAACCACTCTCCAATTGACTTTGATGTATACTCTAGACATTCGATTTATTAACGAGCAGATATTGAGAATCGATGCAAATCAAGGACAGGCGAAAAATGCCATACTTGTGCTAGATATTCTCAAATCCTATACGCGAATTGTTCCGCCTACTTTTGACGAGCTACTTTCCTGCTACAATGGTAGGAATACTGAATATTTTAGGATTATTATATTTAAAATGACAAAAATTGGAAAGGCTATGTTGACACTGGTTTTAATATTCTATTTAGCAACTACTTTGTCAACTTCCAGATCCACAGTACCTCCAGATATTTCAATTCTCAAAAAGGTACGATTTTGCTGTTTGAGTATAATCTGACTCGAAACTGTGTGATTTTTAAATTGACTATTGACTTTTGTGTTGATTTTTAATCATGCATCATATATAGAAATTTTCCAGTAGCTACAAGCGACTTCCATTTCATATGCTTATCAAGGATCCATGGACTGTTCTTGCACCTGAGATTTGCGACGTGTCGCTTGCACGATTAGTTCCAGTGTGTTATGTTTTAGATCTTGATCCAGATAAACTTCATCTCACGCTCATTTCAAGCAAGATTGCGCTGTTGGTAAGAAGTCATTGAAATCATTTCCAACTGTCGTTGTTCAATTTTAAAGCGGCTAATGTGTCAAATGGCTACCTGTTGTGGGCACATATATTCCTGTACACACTTATTGATACAATACATGCAATATATATGTTGATTACTTTGTAGAAATCACTTTCTTCTAGTGACCAAGACACGGTATCTGTATTAGGAATCAAGTGTGCCGATTTCCGATCTCTTGTAAGCAAAATTAGAGACAGCGAACAAGCCGTCACTACAGCTGTTCTTGTGGGTGGAAGCTATCCATGTGGCACAGATCGAATTGCAATGTATAAGCTTGCCATACATTTGGCTGAGCGATGGTTGCTTGCAACAAAATCTGATTCTTCTGCCGAGGAAACTACCAACAAAGTAGAAGTGACGATTGCTCGACTCAAAAAAATGGCAGTGCAAGCTGAGACCGAAGTCCAATTGAGAACAAATAAGCTTACCGAATTTCTATCCATGGCACACTCGCCACTTGATCTCTGTGTTGCGTTGTATAAACATGGAGCTACAATGTCTGCTGCTCCTAGTAAGTTGATACAAACATGTCTATACAAGAATACGACTAATGACTTGTATTTTTATTTTGCATACTTGATAGAATGTGATATCCATGACGTGATTGAAAAAATTGCCAAACGATCCTTGCTTAAATTGGATGATATTCAAATGCTTGTTTTAATGGTAATTTGTTTGTAATCAAGTCATCTATATGTGTGCATATTGCTATTTAATCTACAAAAATCGTGACATGTCAAGATCTAACGTGCTTTATTTTTAAACACAATATATTGTATTCAATCGACTAGCGTTTGGTCAAGTTGGAAGTGCCTGAAGAAGATAAAGTATGTTTTTAAAGCTTCAATATCTGTATTCATGTTTATAATTGAATCCAAGCTAGTCATCAGTTCTAAACATATGTGCATGATATAGGAACAGGAGCAAGATTTACAAAACCAAATACACTATTTATTTGAGCGCAACAGTCAACTTGGGTCTCAGTTGTTACTTCGTTTGGCATATCAGGTATACTAAAATCATGGCATGATTTAATACACTTGTTGAAACTCCCGTCTGTGTTATCTATAATGAGTTTTAATCATTCCAACCCATTTTAACGCCATCTAAACGGTATAGTCTAGTACTAAAGTAGACACGTGGATGCGAGTGCGAGCATTATCGGCTTTAATACGACTAACCAAACAGTCAGATATGGAAGAAATGTCCAAAAAGGGAGTATGGTAAGCCGCTTTACTCTAACATGTAAAGTATGGTGCTAAACTAAACCGTTGTGCTTTGTAACATGTTAGGCATTACATGCAAATGACCATGTATCTCAAGGAATTTCAAGATCTGAATATTGTGCAATCACTTCAAGATTTTGATCAATGCAATAAGGGTGCGTTTGTGCAATCTCTTTGGCTTAGTCATCGAAACAGCGTCAAAGTATGTCGTCTCAAACCTGCCCAGTTTAATTGCGCTGCCAATGTTTTTTGTATTTATAATTTTGATTCGTGGTTTCATACTAATTTTTAAAAATTATATCTGTGGTGTACTACTTAGGGTCTTCGACTCATTTGCAAAATATGTATCGATTACATGATTATGGACGGAGAACTACTTTACAATGTTTTTTTGCAATTAGAGCAACACCAGGACGTAAGTGGATCATGGTGGTAATATTTATAGTTGTCTATGTAATATCTATAATTCACTGAGCTTTTATTGTTGTAACTATTCGACTAGCATGCGTTTGTGTTGAATATGCTAGAGACACTTGTGCAAATCCCTTCGATTGCCATTCTGGGGTGGGTGAGAGGGCTTTGGGTAAACACATGGCAAATATCCATAAGCAATTGGTTTTTAAACCTCGGTAAGAAAATCACACCTAAAATGATTCCACACATTGCTCATATACAGCAATCTATCTTGCCGGCCTGTAAAATTATTTTACTAACTTTATGGTTGCTCATATTAGCTGATGCAAATCGAGCGAAAATTCTCGAGTTTCAAAATCTCTTGTCATTGTATATCAAGTCACCTTATAGTTCTTTGTGTCACCTTGAGCAACTGATTGGTGATCTATTACAAACGGCCTTTAGTTTGGAATCCAGGTTTTTTGCCATCATTCTTCTTGGACATCTTCCTACTTCGTTTGATAGTAGGGACAAAACCATTCGGGTATGCATGTTTAACACTGCAGCCATAATTTGCTGTTTTTGTCTGTTGATGAACATCAAAACAACCAAATGATTCATTGTTAACAGTTTGATTGTAAATGGTATTAGAATGTGATGTCAGGATTGGATGGCTCGAATCTTATCAGTCTTTTAGATACGCTGAATCTGGTACCAAATGGAACTGTTTATCCAAATCTAGACACAACAACATTGGTGTATGCTCAAAAAACAGTAATTCCTCAAATCATGCATGTTTTAAACTCTCGACACTTGTTTGTATTACTGGCCGCGTCGCAACACCTTGAATCGTTTGTCAAGTATGTTGTGCAGACAGATCAAGTTACTGCACTGCTACTGGCGTCGATAAAGAGTGGAAGGTAAGAAACCAGCACAATGCATGTTAGTCTATATGAAGCTGAACTAAAGTCGGGATGATTTTAAAGATTGCAGTCATGCATGGTAAAATATCACGTATAATCGCTAATAGCATACATGATGTATTTGTTGTAGAGAAATGGATGCATTCAAAGTTCTTGACATGTACTGTGCATTTCATGGGTTACATCACCAGGTGGATAGCATTGCAGAGCGGGATAACACAACAAGGGAGATTGCAATGCTGCACTGTTATGCTGAGACGCATGCAGATGAGCTTGGTGATGATGCGGAATGGATGATACAGCAAATGGATAACAAAATGGATAGCGAAACAGAATAATAAATCTGAAATAGTAAAATATCAATTTAACATTTTACAGTCTGATGCCATCAGAATGATTTCAAACATGCTGAAATTGGCTTGAAATCCAAATAAATATTATGCGTTCTCATTCGATTTGTCTTTAGCTCACCACTTCATGTCACAACAGACTCTTGATGAATTCCAGCGTGGTAAACGACCTGAGAAGTCGTTGCATGCGTCTCTGCTGTTTCCTGAAATAGCTCGTAAACTATCGGACAACCCCACTCTTTTAGGAAACTTGTCTGGTCTCTTTATTGTCACTGTTCTCAAGCGAGGAGAGAAAAAGGACGATTGGTGGGTTAAGCTCATGTTGAAATAGACTTTAGTATTGACATCCTGGTGGTTGAGCCTGATTCGATGTTATTGTCGTTGTTATATGAACCAATCCTACCAAGAATATATGCCTTACTACATGGGTCTATTTTTAAACTTGTGCAACTTTGAATGTTCATGCAGCTTCAATCTCTCTCATCTATACTGTCGTATCTGGTCATCTCTTGTCTTGTTATGCTTCCTATTGGCTTTCCATTTGCGTATAATCTGCTGTATTGCAACTTACTTTTTAATATGCATGATTCTCTAATAGGTACCTACTGTTCCGTGGTCAAGATGCTAAACCTCTGATTTCTCAAACTCGTCCGAGTCTTCCACAGCTCAAGGGAAATGAAAAGCCTCTTCCAATGGTAGCTGTAGAGATCGAGGATCGAGACATCTACAAGTTCATTACAGGAGGCATGCACGGTCTCAAAGCTCTGACTCAAAACCGAGTCAAGATTGCTGGCGATCTATTGCTCGCTCAGCAGCTCGAAGAAGTGTTTTATAAAACAGGTGGTGTGGATCAAGTGAGAGCATTTATGGAAAAGGCTGCATCCAGGGATGCCAACACTCGATCAAAGCTGTAACGAGTTGTTGAATTATAAATGAACCTTTTGAATAATACTTGGTTTATAAACTATTTGATGGTTTGGTTTAAATCTATCCATCAGATCATGTCTAACTACAACCGTATTCACGTAAAATGAGACTAAATAAGGGGACAATATATATAATAAACAGCTAGTCTTGCGAAATGATTGATAGTTCACATCATATTGACTGGACATTGTTATCTTTTGGTGTGTTGGTTTGCTAGTTTCTTGTGACAAACAATTGAACTAGAACACGAGTTTTTGATACCAGTTGAATCAATATCTGGCAATCGTACAACTACCAAAACAAGCGAGTTTCGGATCAAAACCACAGTTTGAATTATGATCGTTGTGTTGATTGAATGTTTACCAAACCAACGAAGATCCAATCCTTGTTTGTTCCAAGGTCCCGACTGCAAGATAATGCTTCATTGACGTGAATGCAGACTCTAAATGGATTACAAAAATTAAATTATTTTTTCCGTCAAGCTATAACTCCATCAGGTACGAATACTTGAAGCCTTGTTGCAGTATTGTTAATAAACTAATATGGCTTAATGTATTGAAAACTTACAATTGTACTGTTTTTATTGACCATGCCTTAGATGCTTGTTTGTAAATGTCACAATCTTGTATCCAGCATTTTACACAAAACAAACTTGATGGAAAGAACTTCCATTCCATCACTTGTGGTATTCATATACACAAGATTTCGCACCTATTCCAACAATAATCAACAAACATACCATACTCGAATGGATACAATCAGTACTCTGCTGCAAAACATTAAACATGATGACAACTATAAAAGCACCCAGGTCATCAACTCTGCAAAACCTGGTCCAGATCCTTCTGATCGTAGTAAACATCTCGCTCATGGAATTCGATCTAGTAATTACTCACTTTCGAGTAATGTATATTTACAAAATCAGTCCAATAATCTTATTCAGTCATTGACAAATGCTATTTCGAAACATCACCATTCAGCCGCATACAGCATCTACACTGATTTGGTAAAGCACACTCCTGATTTGCTAACCAATATACCCATCAGAGCATACTTTGACTTGATCAAAATTACACTGACTGGCGATGTTCAAAGTTTGTCAGGATATACAACCACACAGCGATCGCAACAAGCACTGTCAGTTCATGAGCACATGTCTTTGATAGTCAATCCTAAACAACCAGATATACTGTTTTACGCAGGATTGATTTGTATCTATGCCAAAAACAATGATATTCCAGCCATCGAAACAACTCTGGCACAAGTACACCGATCCAAGCTTGACTTTAATACAGCTGATATTTTACCAATGTTGATTCGCGCTTATCTATTATCTGGCCAACCTTTGCGAAGCTTGGAGTATTTTAAGCGGTATTGCATAATAGACGCAACTGCTAAACCTTTCAATCATCTCATAAAATCATATTCGCTTTTAAATGACGAACAAGGAATTCAGGATACTCTTGATAGTATGCGCAAACAAGAGATCTTGAAGGACTCGACGACCTACCACATTCTTGCAATGCATTACTATAAAAAAAAGGATTTTCAAGCTATAGGAAAATACATTAACGAATCTGAAGCGCATTCATCAGCATCAAAGCATCGTACTGGCTGGGATTCTATGTCAAAACTGAAACTTCGGTTTGCAGTCACATCTCAAAACTGGTACAAGGCGTTGCAGATTATTAAAAAAGCCGAAATCTTTAGCACTTGCATTCCAAAAGAACTGGAAGGTGATATCATCACTGCGTATGCATTTGGAATCCAAAACGACGTTGGATTGTTGCTAAGCACGTATTGTTCTAGTATCTCAACTGCTGGTCCACTTCAATCAAACATAGATTCAATTGTAGCACATCGACTTGGATCTGCTACCAATAGTAAGGTTTTGAAATCTCTCTATAGTGCGGCCAACGAATGTAAAACTCCAATCGTTCATGTATTGACTGGTATTGCAAATGGGTACATTGAGCAAGATGATATTGTGTCTGCCAACCTAATCATGAATGAGATTTCCGCTCGTGAGCATCAAATTCCTATCGTTTTGCAACGTAAATTAGCATGGAAGCATCTTATCATCTGCGATACTGACGGTATATTTGATTGGCTGGATAAATTTGAGCAATCCCAAGAGATATTTGATTACTCATTTTGGTATAATGTAATGAAATGGACTCTCCAAACCCAATCTGCTGAAACAGTCGATAAAGTCGCTTCCCGCATTCAAAAATACATTAATGAGGATACTAGTTCGATTGTAAATTCTATACGCCATCGACTTGTTATTTCTGGTATAAATCCTCTGCCACAAACTACTACTTTGAATCATGATTTAGACCTCATAAATGAAAAATAATACAGTTGATTTTAAAATTTACAAGCGCATGTACATCAATAGTTATAATTGAATTCAACCAGAATTGTCGTATTACTGTGGTGTCGAGTTTAAATCTATAGCGTGATTTGAATCCCGAGTATTGCAAAACCCATGCATTACACATTTGCGCATCTCATGGCATGTTAACCCACAATTAGTATACATATTCGTGTAAACATCATACCGCCTATCTGGTTTATATATACACTAAAAGTTTAATTCAAAATTGTATATGCTAATCCAAAACACGCAACACATGACAAATCAGGTCTATAACCAGTTGTCATGCCATTTCGATCAGCTAGTATACAGTTGGATGTCAAGCATACAGTTATATTGATCATAATACAACTGTATTCACGTAAAATGAAACACTCATCAGTGTCAAAATACATGTTGCACAATAAGATTGACACCAGTCAAACATGGCACTGAGCGTTTATGATTGTGGCATTTGGACTTGTTAGCAAAGTTTGGTATTGCTGGTTTGTGCTGATTCGTGCTGATTCGTGTACAAAAATACAGATCAATTGTTCATATTCCTATTTCAATACATTCCACATCTCTGACATGTTTTTAATCGCCGACATTTTTTTATATCCAAGATTTAAAGTGAACATTGAGTGATTGCATGCAGATGGTTGCATTACTGACATGGTTTTTAAAGTAGAACAGTAGAACGTATCTGATATCAAGATACAACCGAGTTTCTATAGAAAAAAGGAATCGATTTGCAGCAGGAAAACAACGAGTATTTAACAAATGGTTATTGCGGAGTAAAACAGAGACATTGATCACGATATACAGAGGTTGATTATACGTGAATACGGCAGTAACAGAGTGCAAGAACAAGTTGATTATCAAGGTATGTTCTGGATGGAGTGCAAAAAAGTAAAAAGTGAACGGAGTGGGATTCGAACCCACGCCTCCGGAGAGACCACGGCCTTAACGTGGCGCCTTAGACCGCTCGGCCATCCGTCCTATGTGTTGTTGGAATGGATGTTAGTATATGATACTATATAGTGTGATAAGTATATGTTGGCATTGAGAGTATAAAACGAATGGCATCATGCTTGCTATCCAAGTGAACAAGTGTATGAATGATTTGAATGATAGTTGAGCAATTCAAGTTGTAATATTGACAAATCAAATACAATTTCAGATTTACTGATATTTGCCAGTCTATGCTCGGATCATTTCGTGCCCTGACACCCGAGTTTATTTTACAATTGTATTCACGTAAAATGAACCACCAAATAACAATGTCCGTGTATAATAAACAGCCAGTGATGTGACATGATTATTGTCAATATACTGGACAGTGTTGTGTTATGGACTTTTATTTACTGTCCTTCTCCCAATGATTGACATGCAAACAACAGTTGAATGACTAGATGTGCGATCATTGTTGTTGAACTAGAAAACAAATTTACTCAATATTCAGAATACAACAAATGAGTGATTTATTTAGAAGCAAAGTCACTGCAGAATGAATACAAAAATGGCTAATGTTTGATATGGATTTAAGGTCACGTGAATTTGAATTCCACGCTATGAATGGATCAGATCAGGCTTGTTGATGTGGATATTTTCTAGATTCATTTGTTTTCTTGGCAACTAAACTCACCCCAAACTTTTATTGTCGATTTTAATCATCACACAATCCATAAAATCATGTCTACTACACCCAAACCTGCCATTACTGAAAAGTATCACTTTCGCAGAGAAATTGGTCGTGGTGCTTATGGCTCTGTCTGGTAAGGATTCGGTTTTACTTATTGGATACTATCCATGTTCTCTTGTATAAACCATATTAGTTTATAAATGATTGCTTTTCAGACTGTCTGGCTGAATGATTGCAAACGCGACTGATTTACCTTGCATTTCAGCCAGGGGCATTGAATTGATAGTGACAGGAGTTTAAATATACAGTTACTGTGTGTATTTAAAGGAGACTCTCAACTCTAGTACTAGTCATTGGTAACCAACTAACTTTTTCTATTGTTGAAATTCACTTGCATTTTAGGGCTGCAAAAGAACTTGCTACTCAACGAGACGTTGCTGTCAAAAAAGTTGGAGCTCGCAACTTTAACGAAACTATTCTTACCAAGCGAGCACTTCGAGAAATCAAGCTTCTTCGCCATCTAAATGGCCATGATAATGTATGTGCATTTGCGTGCTTTCTTGTCTGGGTTAGAAAACAGCACTCAATAATTGGCTATACTGCGACGTGTTTAAATCTTATAATTTGATTTTATATCCACTCCATCTTTGTTCACTGTTACCACTCGCATCATGCCAACCCATTTTGGATATTTAAACCTTATTGTTTGCATGCTTTTGGATATGTAGATTGCGCTCCTAATAGATGTTGAAATCAACAGCAATACCAGCAATTTTACCGAGCTGTAAGTCTTTTCTTCCGTTCAACCACGCATTACACTCGCCAGCTGTTACCATCTATTGTTTGATATATTTCCAGTGTAGCATCAACAGTAGAGAGTGCCATTTTAACCAGTTTTCCATTTTAAATACATTTAGATATGTTGTCGAGGGAATTATGGAGGCTGATTTGAATCAGATTATCCAGTCTGGTCAACAACTCACCAAGCAGCATTTTCAATACTTTTTATACCAACTTTTACGCGGGCTCAAGTGGATGCATTCTGCCAACATCATCCATCGTGATCTCAAGCCTGGCAACCTTCTCGTAAACAGCGACTGCGAACTTCGTGTATGGTGTTGACTTTTCATGAGATTGGGGTTGTTTTGACAAACTGTGGTGTACTTATTGTACCTTGCCATATTTTAGATTTGTGATTTTGGATTGGCTCGTGGTATTTCAGATGTCAATTCTCATCTGGTCAACACCGAGTATGTGGCCACTCGTTACTATCGTGCACCAGAGGTGGTGTTATCACCCAAGCACTATACCAAAGCCAGTATGTTGTGTGTCTGCTGCTGTAAACTTGTTTAAAATTAGTCAAAGTTTTGGGATGATACTAACATTTAAACGTTTATAATCCAGTTGATCTATGGTCAGTTGGGTGCATTTTTGGTGAAATGCTTACCGGCCGTGTTCTTTTCAAGGGTGCAGATTGTGAGTTACCCATCTCATATCTGATATTTTGAATTTACTTTTTGCCAGTCTTGTCCATCTTTTGCAACACAGCTAAACTAATCCGATTGATGAATTCAATAGACATTGATCAGCTTGAAAAGATTTTCAAAGTTCTTGGAACTCCACAGGATCCTGCGCTAACCCGACTATGTAGCTCGCGTGTATTCAAGTACCTTCGTGCATGGCCCAAACGCAGTAAAATGCCATTAGAACAAGCATTCCCTCGTGCAGATGCTGAAGGCAAGTCATTTTATTCCTATACTGCGCACCCTGGATGTATCTAACAATGTGGTATTTACACAATAGGTCTTGATTTTATCGACAAGCTACTTGTGTTTGATGCCAGTCATCGTATCACTGCAGATGAGGCTCTTGCACACCCCTTCCTTGCTGTATATCATTTTTCAGATGACGAGCCAAGCCATCCAGCTCTTTTTGATTTTGGGTTTGAGGAAGCCAAGACAATTGAGGAAATCAAAGGTGAGTTGGGTAGTACGCCTAAAAGTGTTTGTTGAATTCACTCATTCTAACGAGTTTTAATTTAACAATGCGTTACCGTTTTAGAGTTGATTGTTACCGAGGTTGCCGAGTTTAAAAAATCACAGCAACATCCTACCCCTGAAGCTTTTAAAAGTCCAGTGCGCACTCAGTAAGCTTATATGATGTACTTTGTATTGGAAAATCAGCAGCAATCTTACTAACATCCATTTAAAACAACACTGAACTGTCACGATCAGACTTAGCAAAGGACCAGAGATTGACGAAAAGGCAGTCCAGGATCTACCTCGATATGAAGAGGAGATTGCCCCAGACGGACCCAACAGTCTTGAGGAAGAGCTTCAAATCCGAGATCTCAACATCCGTAACGACTAATCTCATCTAGATGCGTGTTTTCTAGTCAAGTTTAAGCAATTGAACAGTAGAATCAGCTAGACCCAATTGCCTCCACTTTGATCCTACTGTTTTTCGTTCAAAAATAAATAAACTGATTATTACCCCTTTATTTTTACGATAAGTTTGTATTCAAGTAATCTGCAAACCCCTGAGCTACTTTGTCCATATCCAACAAGGTTAGCATCTTGTTGATATTCGTGTACTGTCGCTTCAATCGACGCAGCTCTGCAGGAGTGATAGTACGAGAAGGGATATTGAGTTGTGCAGAACTTTGAGAAATAACGATATTGCCCGTCCTGCCACTTTTTTGTGCATCAACAAATGCTTCAATAATATCTGACAGAGTCTTGTCCATTTCGTGCAAATAATTGGTTGCTGTTAGAGGCTTGACAACTGTGGATAGATTTGGTGCGGGTGGTTTTTTAAGCAAAATGGCTTCTACAATCTGTCGAGCTGTTTCACAGGTCAAGTCTGACATGTCAGAATCCTCGGGAATCACTGTAAAAAGAGGTGCATCCCACCGGTTACGTCCATCTGGATCCTCAAATCTCGAGCATAGATTATCAAAAAGATCTTGGTCGTACACTTTCAAATCTATATTGGATTGCTTTGCAGTGTCTAGTGAAATTCCACAGTGAATCTAGCCATATTCATATGTTGAGGACGTATTAGCCATCATAAACTCCAGCACATACTAATCGGGTTGATTTTGATCAAGATATTACCGTGCATGTTGGGGTACCAAGAGCTCTGGCAACACAATATAGCTGGTATCTGAATCCTTTGATATTGTTCATACCGTCACAAATCACAACAGTGTTTTTGGACAAATGCCGTCCAGTTGCAGATAGCAATGTTCCTCTTGTGATTTTTTCAATTGTCGCATCTAATGAGAGTCATTGTATTAAATGATTGACATACATGATTGATTGGTAGGTAAGCTCGGATCATTTATAATGTGTATAAAGATCAAAAATACAAACAAGTCATGATATATTTACTAGAGTAGCCAGTCGACTTGTCAATTCCAAGCGATTCATCATTGATGATGATGACTTTTGAATCAAAGCCAAGTCCTCGTTGAAGCAAAGACTCCTGTTCTTGAAAAATATACGCTTCAATGTACTTTGCAATCTGCTTTGCTCGAAACGTCTTTCCAGACAATGGTACTCCGCAGATGATAACCAATGGCATAAATCAGACGCTATTCTTGGCAATTGAATTTTCAGATGGCGAATGGAATAACTTTAATTTGACATGAAAGTGATCGTATTCGTTCAGTTGATAATCAACTCGCGAGATTTATTTGGCCGACATTCACGCACAGTATCATCCAAGATGGACTGCAATGATGACGATCTGGACCTCTATGGTGGTATGGATCCAGTACCAGTGTGTTCTTTTGCGTTGGATCAAACTCAGGTAGGCTGTCAATTCAATTTCCTCAAACTGTGCTTCATTCTGCTATATGAATGGGATATTCAGATGCTAGATAGATATTTGTATGACATTACTAACATTTACTCCTACATATAGTCACTAAAAGCACCTGTTTCTGCAGTTTCTGACTCTACTGGGGACATGCATGCATATCAAGGTCATGTCCGCCAGGACACGACAGAATCAGCCTCGATGCAAGATATTGATCTATACCAAACTATAGATGCTGATTATACTCTTGGACAGGAAGACAAGTCAGCTGTAGTCGATACAGATGCAGTTGCCAATGAAGAAAATGATATGGATGGAAATATGATTACAGAATCTAATTCTGATGTTTGGACAATGAGAGTGCAGCATCGACCTAGTATTGATAGCACTGCAGATAATGGCGAACTCGTTGATAAATCAAATGTTGCTATTCCATCTACTCCCAACATCCATCATAGTCGCAGCATTGTTGTTCAAGATCTTTCATGGGTATGTTTATAATGATTGCTATTGGGCTTTGTTTAAAATATTCATTTGGACTAACCCAATATTTTGCGATTTATATTTTCAAACTGCTTATAAACCATGAATCAATAATCGGATCCAATAAAACAAACCGCATCAATGGTGTGACGTTAGTGGACGAGTGATCAAAATATATTTGATATTCTTCGAGCAGCCGGGGTATATGATCAACTGGTAGTGAGAGAGTTTGGCTTTTCAGAAATCAAAGCTAATGGCAAATCCAAAGGAATTTGCTATATTCAATTTGATACATCCACAGCAGCCACCAAAGCCAAAGAGTTTTTTGAGCGGATGTATGTAAACTATTGCCAATCTATGTTTGCCTTGCTTCAAATGAATTTATCTAGTGTCTCGGATCCTTTAGCTGCCGCTTGTGAATGTATTTTATGATGTTGGTTTTCTTTTCCATCTATTTTTGTAGTTGAAGAAGATATGCTTATTGTGTCGGATTGATGAGTGGTGCAAGTCATCAATTCGGTCAGCAAACATTAAGATTGCTACCAATCTTTGAGATCCTCTTGCACTATTTTCTACAACAGTATCTAAAGTAGTGTGGACGACTAAAAGTGCAATCTAGTGTGACATTTATATCAGCGTGTTGTAGAATCATTGCTAATTTGCTTGGTTTTTGTCTACATTGTCTACTTTAGTGATATTCACGGAAAACCACCATCAGTCAAATATGCACCTGTATCATTTACATCCAATCCATATCGAGGACAGGCGAAGCAACAGTCTGATTCTGGAAATCAAAATGGACGATCCTCGTCTGGTGCAGATGTTGGATTAAACTCTGGAAACAACGGACGTTTAGACCCACGAATGGCAGGGTTCGTTGGAGGTGGGCAAGCTCCAATATGGTCTGGCCAAGGATTTCCTCAGCCACGATTTGATGGAATGCGAGGTGCTCCAATGCCTCCTTTTCGCGTCCAAGGTCCACCAGGTACAGCTGCATTCTTTAACCCTGCCATGATGCAAGGACTTATGGGATTTCCAGGAGGAATGCCAGGACTTCCAGGCCATCCTATGCTACACAACGGACTTTCAAAAGATGCATTTATGTATGGACCACAGGGAATCCCTATGCCAATCAGACAAGCTCAGCCTCGTGGTCGATCGGGTCAAGTATCTCAAACATCTCCTCCGCTTCCTCAACGCAACTATAATCGGTATGCTGTATATGGATTGGTTTGAAATTAACCTATTGTTGTAACTTTTATTTAAATGACATTCTTTTTACTTTATATTAAATATGTAGTGATGATAAAGGTGTTGAGGGTGGCAAAACATCCCGAGGACGATCACCTTTGCCCGATCAAGTTCGTTCAAATACGGCGGTCAAGGAAAAGGAAGAAGATCGGAGTCAACCTGTTACAAAGGGACCAGAAACTAAACAGCCACGCGAGACAGACCGATTGGAGCAGCGAGAGGGTAAACGAAGTAGAACGCATAGTGAGGACAATGATCGTTTGTCAAGGAAAAGATCACCAGATGGTAGGAAAAAAGAGGATCGTGGATCAGGCAGAGAGTCAAGAAGAGAAGGTGCATCAAAGGATGTGGAATCACAGAAGGATTCAAAGGAAGAACAGCGGTCTGATCGTGGTCGTGATTATAGCAGGATTAGCGGATCTGACCGAGACCGGGAAAGAGAAAAAGATCGAGACCGGGAAAGAGACAAAGATCGAGAAAGGGACCGGGACCGGGAAAGAGAAAGGAATAGAGAGCGAGAAAAAGGAAAAGGTCGAGACCGAGACCGAAACAAAGGAAATGAACGAAACCAAGATATTGGTAAAACTCGTGACCAAACTGTAGATAAGCCCGCTGAACGAAGTATCATTAGTCGACTAGGAAAAGGACCAGAAAGTCGTAGTCGCTCGACTTTGAGCAGTGATGACCGAAGTAAAGGCAGATCTGGAGACTCTAGTCGACGTGGATCAGGAAATGTGACAGCAGCTACAGATAACAAGCAAGATAAGAAACCCAGTCATATCCAAACGCAAGTCAAACGCTCATCACTTGACTTTGAAACATTTCCATCACCAGAAGAACGACAGCCATTAAGCGTGTACAGTCCAGTAGGAGATAGATGGTAGTGATTAATCAATGTCAAGACTTGATAACGAATGGATTTAATAAAAACAATGTGATTGTAATGAATATTAGATGAGTTGATATGAAATACTGAAGATCGTGTCAGAACAAAACCAACACAAGTCGGATTGTCGTGGCACACGAGACACGCTCGATAGATGACGTTTGAATTAGTCCAACAACACTTGCAAAGGAATCGAAAGTGAACAAAGTTTATGCAAGCATCTCATATTAACAATTTCCATTTCTTTCTGTTTTCATCCGTTTGTTGCTTGCTGTGAAGATTCACGTTGATCATCAGCCACAACGCTAATCTTCAACTTGACCCTCTTTCTTACAACAAACATGGCTCTCGTACTCAAGGGAGTTGTACTCGTAGGTGGCCCTAGTGTGGGTACTCGTTTTCGTCCATTGTCCATGGACTGTCCTAAACCCTTGTTTCCCATTGTTGGAGTCCCTATGATTCATCATCACATCTCATCGCTGGCTAGACTGCCTGGTATGCGAGAGATCCTCTTGATTGGCTTCTTCGAGAACTCGGTTTTTGACCGCTTTATCATGGAGACCTCTATTGAATTTCCCCATGTGAGCTTTAGGTAATATCTTGCCTTGTTTTAAAAAGAATGGTTTAGTAATATTTCATAACCACCCCTGGCTGTATCAAGTGTCTAGATATACTCTCAAATCTATTTTACTGTTAATGTGTCCTATTATCACGACTCCATAATTGGTATATCCTTTAACAAAACTCAAGCATTCAATTGTTTATTGTATGAATGGTCGTGCATTCATATTAGTTTGGGTTCACTAGTGTCAGGTCTCTTGTAATGGGTGTCCTATGAATCTAGCTTTTGGGTTTATTCTTGTTGTATAGCCATCAACTCCATGTCCTTGATACAAACTTGTTCCGTTATTGTTCTGGCGGCCATGCATATTTGAATTTAACCTTGCACTCTACTTTTGTAATGGATACACAATTTGAATTAGATATCTCCGTGAATATCAGTCGCTAGGAACTGGCGGCGGCGTTTATCATTTTAGAGATGAGATCTTGCGTGGCTCTCCCAATGCCTTTTTTGTACTCAATGCTGATATTGCCTCGTCTTTTCCACTCAACGATATGCTTGCTTTCCATCGCAACCAAAAGGCACTTGGCACTGTCATGGGTGTGCGTATTGACAAGGAAAAGGCTAACAAATACGGTTGTATTGTTTCCGATTCAGCCACGTCCAAAATCGTGCACTTTGTAGAGAAGCCTGAAACTTTCATCTCAAATTTGATCTCGTGTGGAGTCTACTTGCTTTCCTCTGAAGTTTTTTCTTCATTCCAAAAGGCCGCTGAGCTTCGTCACAAATCTGAGATTGAGCAGGGCTTGACCCTTGACAAATTTGCCAATGTCTCCATCCATGCGCTCAACGTCGGTTTCCCTCGTACAGAGGACCGTCTACAGCTTGAACAGGATGTATTGCGCGTTCTTGCTGAAGATCAGTTGCTGTATGTATTCGAGATTTCCAAACGAGATTTTTGGATGCCCATTAAAAAAGGAAGTTCGGTGATTGTTGCCAATCGCAAGTATCTGCAGTACTTTTTACAGGCTCATCCACGTCGTTTGAGCGAGGCAGTTGTTTCCACTCCTGGAAAAAAAATCATGTCTGCTGTGTTTGCTGAATCGCCTATATTTACTTCTCCAACTGTCGCAACACCGATTGCATCGAATATGAGAGATACAGCCGAGCTGATTGCACCTGTTTTCATTCATCCGACTGCCATGATTCATCCAACTGCCAAAATCGGACCCAATGTTTCTATTGGCCCACGTGTATTGGTTGGTCGTGGTGTTCGCATTCGCGATTCTATCGTTTTGGACACCGTTGAGATCAGAAACGATGCGTGTATCTTGAATGCCGTTGTTGGCTGGGAATGCGTTATTGGAGCATGGTCTCGTGTAGAAGGTTCAGCTGATCAGGACGAGACTTCCCAGGAAGCTGCTACATCTCAAGGATACAAGCTTCCTACTGCTTCGATTCTTGGCAAGGGCGTTGTTGTGGGTGATGAGGTTATTGTGCGTGACTGTATTGTCTTGCCACACAAAGAACTCAAGGCATCATATCAACAAGAAATTCTTATATAGTCTAGCCAACCGAAAATATGCTTGCGCTTTACTTTGATCTAGCATAACATGTGTTTTGGATAAGGCTCTTGAACTTTTAAGTGAAACTGGATGGTGTTTTTTGTAATGATTGACCCACAATTATTTAATAAACAAAAATCGTTTGGTTTGACACTTTATTTTCAGCTGGCCATCTAGATTGCTTTTCGTGCTCAATGCTGGATGGTATCGAGTCAATGGACTATCTGCACGTGATTTTTATTGAAAATTTTGCATCGAGTTGGATCTGATCGAGTCAATAGTTGCTGTAAAATTCTAATTGCATCAGCACAATGATTCCACACTCGGCAAAGCGAGCTGCTTCCAGTGCATACTCGAATGCTTGTCGCTTTACTTCATCAAGGATATTTAATCCAGTCAACTTTTCATGCTTTTCTGAATCAGCAAATACATTCAGCTACGAAAGGGTGTTTTTTGGTACAACAGGCAATACATTTGCAAGTGCTGCATCTCCAGCGGCAATGGTGGGTTTACTGCATATATTATAGATCAATTTTGATTCAAGCCAATCTGTTATTCGTCTACAGTATTGTCTTATTGTATTGATTTCAGAATCAATGCATGGTTTGCAAGTCATTACCAATCTAACATTGTTTTCGGTATAGCATTCCGGCGCAACCCGAACAACTTGCATTAAAACAGATATTTCACAGGTTCCAGAAATCTTGGCAGACGCAATAAGAAAATTGAGCATCAACTACCATCTTGCTTCATATATCATGCTTGTCGATGACAATTAATGGCTGGATAAACTTATACCCAACCATTTCGCTCAATATATAAATCATAATGCTTTATACTCTGTTTTTTAAACTAGACTCGTACTGATGATTTTTGAATTATATTTTAAAGTTTGAATTGTGGTAACAAGCTTGCTCATTGCTGCAAGTTTCAATTGTAACAAGTCGCGTGAATTAGAAACTTGGCCCGACCTGAGCCTGGTGTTTATTGCTGTCGAATCCTAATACTTCAAACATACTTGTTGGTTCAAATGCATATAAGGATAGCACAACAGAAGATACTGATATAGATTAGCTTTGTTGAATCTGATATCTAGCAGTAACAATACTGCATTTTCATTTGCTATTGTCCTGAATACAGCTCTACCTTTGACACGTTTGTGCATCGTATTGATACAATGCATAATAGAGTAGTTTCTTTGCTATACTGTATGGTGCTAGTATGTATTTATGTATCGAAAGCAGTGCCTGTTGCTATAGACACTGATTTTTCCCACCATTACTTGGTCGATTTCGAATCTGTAAACACGAATCGCCAACCTACTTATATTCGCTTCAACACCATTCACGACATTCCAGAGCGTGCACAGGATACATATTTCCCTCGATTAAAAAAGCGAGATTTGAATAGCAATGCTACAAATAGGGTTCAAACCATTCAAACCAAGCTATTCACCATCTCATTGGATTGTACACCACCTTTTGGTGAGCTTTTGGATCCAGTTACTGCAATCAGTTCAACATGCCAAAATGTTGCGTACACACTCACTCGTGTCATGACTCGACTTGAGCAATCTCTTTACCTTCGTACACCTATAACTGTCACTTTTTCATACAAATCACTTTGTACAGCAACTGGATCGGCTAGTTTAGGAAAAGCATGTCCTGTTTCTGATGATACGCTTGGATATGCTTCTCCAGCAGCATGGCATGTGTTCAATCGTGATGCGGCCGATGCCAATCATCTTGACGCAGGATACATGTATCCCTCTTCGCTGGCAAAACAATATGTTCCAGACGATGTGGCATTTAGAAATACGGACGGAGTAGATATTATCGCTGTATTGAATTCGGATGTAAATTGGTGGTTTCCAAGTCCAGACGATCAGTTGGGTGCAGGGGATAATGGAAAGTGGGGGTTGTATTCAACCACACATGGCGGATCTATCAATTCAAGCACCTATTCGTACGACTTTGAGCAAAGTATGTTTTAATCTTTTGATGAGTGTCGTGTAGTGTGCTTTTATTCTGCAATTATATCTAGATATGGAATGTGACGACTAAATGCGTGCTTATTTTAGCTACACTCCATGAGCTATGTCACGGTCTTGGAATTGTATCGTCGTGGAACATGATAGGAGATAACTCGACTTTTCTCCCAAGTTTTTTGGACATAAATGCTAATGGAAGAATCACTGGTCTTGCCCAACCTTATATTTTTAACCGCTGGCTTAGCGACACCATCAATCACGTTTGGCTTCGCAACTATGCAGACCAGATTCAATCAAGCATCAACCAGGCGATCCAGCAGTCAACCCAAAACAACTGGTATAGTATATTTAATACTACGATCGCAGCAGGTATTGCTCGTGCGTTGGGAGGGAAGAATGGATTGTTTCAAACTCCCGGAGCTGTAGCCGCTTGGTATCCAGATACAGATTACACCACAAAAGAGTCAGGGTTATACAAGTACGCCATAATATATACGCCTCGTGTTTATGAGGCCGGGAGCACATTATCCCATGTGGATGCAAACACATATATAGGAACAGAAAATGTATTAATGCGGCCTGTAGGAACAGGAGGGATTGGATTGGACTCTATCTTGCCTATGGGTAGTAAAGGGCCTATTGGAGAGGCTGCTTTGGGAATTTTTCGTAGTATGGGTTATGTGACCATATAAAACCATGATTTTATTTTAGAATGTGTAGTAGAATAAAGATAGTCTGGTACAATTGCAGCCGTGTTGATATAAAATGATCATCACACCAGATGTAGCAAGACCAAACAATGAAGTTGGATAATTGTATTATGAGTCAAAGTGAATGCAACTACAACATATCACGAGACCAACACGTGTTTAAGGATGTGTATAAATTCTCGCAACATGACAGGCTTGATCACTGATATCTTGTAGTCAGACCATCTACTGGTATGGAAGCCTGAAGGTTGCAATCTTTTGTATTTATGACAGACTAATGAATTTACTTGTTGATGCAGTTTAGTATATTTTTAGCTTAAATGGAGTATCAAGTAGCCCATATCAATGATCTGACTGATGGCCAAATGTAAGATTAGCCCATTATTACACCAAAGCTCTACTGCAGTCGGATGTATTTGGCACAAATGTGTGGTGTAATTAAGCGAGTGTGTTCAACTGTTGTAGGAAAGAGGTCCGTGTGGGCGAAATCGGCAAGGCTCTTTTATCAAAGGTTGATGGAAAATGTAAGTTTTGGTCCTTGGCACAACTGTGGATAATCTTATTTTTGGAATTCAAATGCCATTTTCTCACAATGGGTTATTGCCATGCAATTATCATTGATGTTGGTTAGTCTATGCAACCTCTCATCTGTGTCCTCACTACAAGGCTCCACTTGTCAAGGGAACATTGTCGAGTGATGGTCGTGTGATGTGTCCATTTCACGGCGCTTGTTTCCGTGTTCAGACTGGTGACATTGAAGATGCTCCTTCGATCGACAGTCTTGTTAGTTTCTCTGTATGTATGCATGCTGTATCTACTTGATGACTACTGAACTGGCTTTGATTCGTTCATTTGTGCCAAAGACTGTATTGTGCTTACAGGGTTGTGGATCTAGGTGACCGTGCGTAACGACCATGTCTATATTTCAACCACTACCGAAGGTAACCAGCCATTGCATATTCAGCTTGTTGGAATATCTTATTACAGATTCTAACTCTTGCATTTGAATACAATTGAGCAATGCAGAAGTCAAAGCCGGTCGTCGTGGACCTGTTGTTGTGCACCACAAATCCTCGGCAAAAAAAGCTGTGATTGTTGGTGGAGGTGCTGGTGGTTTGCTCGCTGCAGAAACTCTTCGCGAGGTAAAAAAAATTTCATGATCAATTTCATTTCAGATAGTAGTGGCTAAATATGTTTAATAGGAAGGATTTGAAGGAAAGGTTATCATTCTTTCAAGAGAGTCTTATCTTCCAATCGATAGGTAATGGCACAACGATTGTAGGATTTTGAATTTATTGCTGTTGGTTTAACGCATTCACTTGATTCTGTCCATTCCAAATATAGACCCAAACTCAGCAAGGCTCTCAAGATCGATGCTTCCAAGATTGCCTTGCGTAATGCAGAGCACTTCAAGTCTATGGATATTGATATTCGTCTGAGCACTGCAAGTATCTCTTAGTTTCTGAGCGTATTTCAACCATAACAACTAACATGTATAATGCGATTATAGACTGTCAAATCGGTCGACACTCGAGGAAAAACTGTGACGCTCGATTCTGGCGTCTCTATTACCTACGACCATCTTGTCCTTGCCACAGGCGGAGATGTAGGACTTAATGTTTCTACATTTGTTATTTGATGCAATTCCAAATGCCAACTTTGATGGATTGACAGTTTCTCCCATGTAAACTTTAGCCTCGCGTTCTTCCTATTGTTGGCAAAGAGCTTGGCAACGTGTTTGTCATCCGAACTGTTGATGATGCCAATGCTATTGATGCGGGTCTGTCAGCCGTCAATTCTGCTGAAGGAAAGCCCAATGTTGTGATTGTTGGATCTAGCTTTATTGGAATGGAGTCTGCCAGTATTCTCGCCAAGCATGCTGTTGTGACTGTCATTGGCATGGAAAAGGTGTGTGCATATTGAAATCGCTGAGGCATGGCATGAAAATCTTTTGGGTGCTTATAGTTTTTCATTTATTGTTGATAGGTTCCATTTGAAAGAGTTCTTGGTGCTGATGTCGGCAAGGCTTTAAAAAGACTTAATGATATCAATGGTATCAAGTTTGAACTTGAAGCTCTTGTCGATCGTTATGAGCCTTCTGGTACGCATTATAATTTTTTGGAAAATAACAGCACTTTATTACACGATGCTGATAATACTTTGAACATTATTGTTTCTAGCTAAAAATCCTAAACAAGTTGGATTTGTTGTTCTCAAAAGTGGCAAAAAGATTCCTGCTGATGTTGTTGTTCTTGGTGCTGGTGTTTTCCCTCAGACTACTTATCTCAAGGAAAGTGGTATTGTGCTTGACAAGGACGGTGGTATTTCTGTCAATTCTGGAATGCAAGTTCCCGACGTGGAGAATGTATACGCTGTTGGTAAGCAAAGTCTTGAATTGCGATATTTGAATTTACCGACTAATGCATTGCTTTGGACTCCATCTAGGTGATATTGCCAGATATCCCTACCACATTACTGGTGAGAATGTGCGTATTGAGCACTGGAACGTTGCCCAAAATCAAGGCCGTGTAGCTGCACTCAATATTATGGCCAAAGAGTCCAACAAATCTGAACTGACCCATATGAAGCAGGTATGCTGTTGTAAAAACAACTTTTAGAGTATAAATATCCGAAAATGCTTGGCATTGACAAGCGTGCAATCCTATTTTTTAGATTCCATACTTTTGGACCGTGCAGTTTGGCAAGTCTGTTCGATATGCTGGATACGCCACATCATTTGACAATGTCATTATACAAGGATCGATGGAATGCGATGAATCTGGTGGTGGTTTGAGTTTTGCTGCGTTTTACATGCGCAAAGGGCAATTGATTTCTGTTTGCAGTGTCGCCAAAGATCCAGTTGTATCTCATGTTAGCGAGCTTCTTCGTCTTGGCAAGGCTCCTACCGAAAAACAACTCAAGGACGGTTTGGATGTGCTATCTATCAAGCTTAATTGTGCGACTCACTTGAATTAAAATACTGTTTTAAAGTTGAATTGATGAATTAACATTTTCTATATTTTTTTGATATTAACTACGGTACCAATCACCACATTGATTTCTATATCACAGCTGATGAGAAGTTTAGTGTGCCTGAAAAAACTGCAACTGCAATTGCAACTCCAACCACATCACCACTCAACATTTTTCTTATGATTGCAGCTGTATTTGCATTAGCTCTTGCAGCTGGAATTCCCATAGTTGATCATATTACAAAGAATGGCGGAAACCTTTAGTGTATTTTTTAGTTTACAAATAAACTTGAAATGATATTCTGTTGCAGTAATTGAGTTGATTGGAACCCAATCTTTCATTCATACATGGCTGACACGCAATGTGCAAATAAAATTGAAACCAAAGTTGACTATCCCACCAACATCCATTGTATACAAGCGTGATAACATCAATATAGTTTAAATGAATCAAGGCAATTCAAAACCGGCACTGCAGATTATACGGCATGCGAATGTCTCAAACACATTGCGCTGGCAGGCCAAGGACAGGCTTTCTTACAAGACTGGTCCCCATGCAACCGTGTACCTCATCAACGGCGACAGATACATTGGCAACTGGAAAGACAATAAACGGCACGGTAAATAGTCAAAATGTGTAATGTTCAAAATCAATACACATCGAATCTGACTCTTGACCCATCGACTTTCCATTCGTATGGCTCATCCAAACAGGAAAAGGCATGCATTTTTATAAAAAGTCGGGTAATGTATACGAAGGAGAATGGGAGAACGACCAACGACAAGGGTTTGGTACACTTTCAGTTCCACTCGCCTCGACTGAATCGTCTGATCCCACCAAACCTAAACCTCCTCGCGCAAAGACTCCTCCAGTCGAGTCCGAGTCGATTTTCTCCAGTATCAACACATCGACAAAAAAAATAGATGATACGCTTGTTGAATTGAGAAAAGTGTATGCTGGTGCATGGGCAAATGATTGTCGTCATGGTATTGGCACGTTTTTTTACGATCTGGGTGGGGTGTATGAAGGATCTTGGCAAAATGATATGCGCGAGGGATGGGGTAGAATGACCTATCCAGACGGATCAGTCTATGAGGGTGAATGGCATATGGAAAACCGACATGGTCAGGGGATTTTGTTGATGGGTGAGTCATATTTTTAAATGGTGTTCAGGAAATACATTGCCTTTGTATTGGCTTGACCATAAATAATACCGTGTTTTACAACTAACTCTAATGGTGCGATTTAGCAAATGGCGATAGATACGAAGGAATGTGGCTTTCAAATGAAAAAGAAGGACCTGGCAAATTTGTATATCGCACGAAAAGACAAGTCTATGAAGGAGAGTGGACTAAAGGGATGCCAAAGTGTGGAATGCTCAAAGATTTGCCACCATTGCCTGGACAGAAAGATCGGCAATACGCCATCCCTCAGGTAAATTGCTGCTTGCTAAAACGTTAAACAAGCTTTCAAATGGTTTCAGCCATGTGGTGTTCAATCATTGTAATTGATTCGAGTGATTAACAATTTTCAAAATACTATATTGTGCATTGTTACTATGGGTCATTCATTTAGATCATGCTAAGTGATCCAATGGAAATTCTTGACAAGGAGAGGCAGCAAATCTACGAGGAACGTATCCAACGTATGATGGGTGGCAATTGATCAAATATCCTACTGTTCAACTTTTTGTATTTTAACAGTTTACAAGGCAATATGATTTCGAGTTATTAGAATCAAATATATCTGGTATTTTACATGAACATGCATAATTACCTGTTTGATAAATACAAGTGTTTTATTACGTGAATACAGCTGTAAATCAGATTGACTGGATATACAGTCTCAAACCATTGACTGATTTTTGTAAATGTAAAATTGAATTCAACCAGAATTGTCGTATTACTGTGGTGTCGAGTTTAAATCTATAGCGTGATTTGAATCCCGAGTATTGCAAAACCCATGCATTACACATTTGTGCATCTCATGGCATGTTAACCCACAATTAGTATACATATTCGTGTAAACATCATACCGCTTATCTGGTTTATATATACACTGAAAGTTTAATTCAAAATTGTATATGCTAATCCAAAACACGCAACGCATGACAAATCAGGTCTATAACCAGTTGTCATGCCATTTCGATCAGCTAGTATACAGTTGGATGTCAAGCATACAGTTGTATTGACCATAATACAACTGTATTCACGTAAAATGAAACACTCATCAGTGTCAAAATACATGTTGCACAATAAGATTGACACCAGTCAAACATGGCACTGAGCGTTTATGATTGTGGCATTTGGACTTGTTAGCAAAGTTTGGTATTGTTGGTTTGTGCTGATTCGTGTACAAAAATACAGATCAATTGTTCATATTCCTATTTCAATACATTCCACATCTCTGACATGTTTTTAATCGCCGACATTTTTTGATATCCAAGATTTAAAGTGAACATTGAGTGATTGCATGCAGATGGTTGCATTACTGACATGGTTTTTAAAGTAGAACAGTAGAACAGTAGAACGTATCTGATATCAAGATACAACCGAGTTTCTATAGAAAAAAGGAATCGATTTGCAGCAGGAAAACAACGAGTATTTAACAAATGGTTATTGCGGAGTAAAACAGAGACATTGATCACGATATACAGAGGTTGATTATACGTGAATACGGCAGTAACAGAGTGCAAGAACAAGTTGATTATCAAGGTATGTTCTGGATGGAGTGCAAAAAAGCAAAAAGTGAACGGAGTGGGATTCGAACCCACGCCTCCGGAGAGACCACGGCCTTAACGTGGCGCCTTAGACCGCTCGGCCATCCGTCCTATGTGTTGTTGGAATGGATGTTAGTATATGATACTATATAGTGTGATAAGTATATGTTGGCATTGAGAGTATAAAACGAATGGCATCATGCTTGCTATCCAAGTGAACAAGTGTATGAATGATTTGAATGATAGTTGAGCAATTCAAGTTGTAATATTGACAAATCAAATACAATTTCAGAATCTTGAAAATTTTCTTTTATTTATTTGGAACTTTGCCATTGATCAACAATGATATTTACAGCTGGAACAAAGATATGGCGACAATCTACTAGTACTGTGAACTGGTTTTCCACCACTTCCGTACCACACTATCCACGAGCACCACGCAAGCAATCTCCCAACGTTACACCTCGTTTCCCATTGAAGGAGCAGCTATCAACACCCGTTCCAATTAAAGCGGTATTCCCAAAACCACAAGCCTACAAGTATGGTCCAGGAATGAAACCCACACCGTTTCCACCCAATACCCCAAAACGACATCATACAGACGTTGAGTCTGGGATCCCATTGCCAACAACATTTGCTCCAGGTGAAACTGCCAAATCCATTCGTACTCGTCCGACTCGACCAGAACGAAAACTCACTCAAGAGGAATACCCGTTTCCATACCGATACTTTGAGATCACTTTAAGAAGAGGAGTGATTGGTCTTCCGAAAACAACAAGAGATATTGTCAAATGTCTTGGATTACATACTCGTTATCAGGTTGTATGGAGACTCGTTGGACCGCGAAGTGCAGGTCAGATTCTCAAGGTCAAGGAGTTGGTTAATGTAAGATTGACCAATGAAATCCCTAAGCGAGTTGCCTTGCCCAAAGGATATACTAAACAAGGCAGCTTGTTAAGTACTTGGCTGTGATGATTTGAACCGACAGGTGCTACAATGTGTTATATTTATCTGCAGATGGTGATCCAACCCAGATGCTTGATTGGGTCAAGTATCTAGACGAGTTGCATATCAAATCTAATGTCTTGGTGCATTCATTCACCTCCCAATGGTATAGATATTGAAATGATAACGAGATGTGATAAAATATATTCAAAATTTAATGGTGTCCAAAATAAGATTAGAAAGTAAGGGAATATGAGGGGGTAAGAACGAAACTATAGCCAAACAGTTCAAAGTACAAATCAGGTTTGAAGCTCATCCAGATCCATACTGCCACAAAAGGGAAAGAAACTTGCAAGATATCGCATACAACGATGGAAATAGCACCGACAACTGTACATTGGACCACGAAGCTTTCGCTCCAGTCGATGCAACTCTAACCGTTTTGCCCAATCGTCATATGTAAACGATTCGTTATATACACTGAATGAGACCCGTTTAGATATTCTACGCTGGGGACTAGTAGAAGATGATCTGTGGTGACTAGTGAATGGGTCAAGAATATTGTGGCTTGGTGTATTTGAAAGATTGTATTGATTTAACAAGTCATCTTGGTCTAGATTAATGTAGGTAGATTCGACTGAAGGTCGTTGATCCCAGTACTTGGGCAGATCAGTACTTGTATAATAGTGAAGAGGAAGTATAGACGACTGCTGGATAGGAATACTTGAAGAGTGTGATGTGGCAGTAGTAGTAATATCGCACAAAGGAGTATCTGATGTAAGCAACAATAACTGTTGTTCAGCAAATGCATCACATTGTGATTGAGCATTGTTCCTGGTATCAGAGAGACTGATGGTGGATGTTCGAGGAGTGACGTCACAGGAGTATTCAGTACGACTTTCAGCAGTGGAAGCAGGACGGAATGCAAGATGGTCGCACACATCCTGAAATGGGTTGATTAAGTCTGTAGATGGCTGCTGGTGGCTTACAAAATTAGTAGCCGCTAGCAATAAGGGCCGACACTCGTCATCCTCAATATCGCTCTCCAACACAGACACATCTACAGCATGACTAGACAGAGCATCTGAACACAGAATGTTCTCATTGACATTTGCCATGTCTATTGTAGTGTCTGCAGTATGAATGGCATTAGTGGCTTCGTGCTCATCCGAGGCAGTAGAATCCAGTGACATCCAGGAAGAAGCAGTGTATGATTCTGACTGAAACAGATTACAAGCAGTCAGAAACATATGAAGCGGTTCGGCAAGTGACATTCCAGTTGGTGTTATGGCAAGTCTCGTTGGTCATCGTCAAGACTTGTTTCGTGGATGCATTTGCACGTGATGTAATGACAGAATTTTGATTTGATTTTCATTATTGGACTCACTTGACAGTTCTTGTGATGGTTGTTGGAGGTCGAGGAAAGAAACTCAACAAAGTCAAGCGAGGCGGTGGAAAGTCGTTTTCTGCTGGAAGGGGCGAAGATGTTGGAGATTCCATGTGGAACAAGGTAGTGTTCAAGACTGAATTCATGTGTTTTGACCATGTCATGCTGTTGGTCAGTGCATGCATTCAGTACTGATTTTGTTGCATTTATATTTGTCTGGAACAGCCTAGAGATATGCCTTCTAGTGACTCTGAATCCAGTTCTGGTGATGAAGATAGCGACGATAATGCTGCTTCCAGCCAACCTGAAGGACTTTTTGCTCGTCCAATCAAGCCATTAGTTATTGGTGGAAACGACGATAGTGAACCTCCTCCTCCAATGGAGATTGCTAATCCAAACAGATCTGGTGGTGCAAGGCCCTCCAAAAAAACTACTGCAGCAAAGCCATCTGCCAAATTAGATGAGAGCGAGGAGTCTGAGGATGAACCTGAACAGGCCCCTACTTTGAGCAGGAGAGAACGGTAATTTACATTGATGCAACTGCCATTCAGTTTTCGAGTTCGTACTGATTGTTCTTGTGCTACCAGTGAGACAATTGAAAAAGAGCGTGCAAAGGCACATTACTTCAAGTTGCAACAGGAAGGAAAGACGGATCAGGCACGAGCAGATCTTGCTCGTCTTGCATTGATCCGTAAGCAACGAGAGCTTGCAGCTCAGAAACGTGGAGAAGCTACTGGTGGGTTTACTGCATCATAGCTTAAAATCTGTTTCTAACGAGCTTTTGTAATTTGGGCTAATATGTAAATGTTGGAATCTTGTTCAATGCCATGATTTTTAGCCACTACTAAAAAGGAAGAATCTCTTAATGCGGGAAAGGCTTTGTTAACCAAAACACTTGGCAAAAAATAGTCTAGCATCAACCTAACAATTACATAGTATACGAATTTCAAGATCTTAAAATGTACTTTGTCTTTTCAGCCGTATTCACGTAAAATGGACCACTTCTGTATCATCTTGCAGCAATTACCTCTATTTTGCTTTGGGATAAACACTAGTTGAATATTCCTTGCAATTTCCTATTAGAAATAGGTATTTTTCAATAAACACAATGTTCACCATATGATGCTCACAAATCAAGCTGCACTTTTGAAATGATTATCCTCGTTTGATGTAACCATATTTTGTAGCCTAAAAACTCACATTTGCGTCCTGGTTCAAGACAGCATTTCAGGAATAAATGTTTCCATGCCAGTTACCAGAACAGTCGACTAAAGAGTTTACAAAAATATTGTCCAGTAAATTTGACAAATGATTTTACAAGATTGTCTATTATACTTTGACTCTTAGTGTTCCATTCTGCGTGAATACAGCACGATTGACCATGGGAATATGTGCAAGTAAGGAAGAGACTAGCAGTCCAACCAACTTATTTACTAGTAGTTCTCAACCAACATCCAACACTGCAGCAACAAGGGAAGAACGTTTGGCTGCTGCAGAAGCTAGACAGCAGGTGAATCAATGATTTGATACTTGGCATAGTTGATTCTCAAGTATGTTGCTTACAATCGTTTGGACTGTTTTTGGTTAGGCTAATGTGAATAGAGGGGTTCAAAGTACTGGCGGTGCACTTTCAAAGAAACTGCAGCAACAGAACTCTATTGCACCTGGTCGGATCCCTATAAACCAAAACATTCACGATGATAGTAATCTGCAGGTAAATGGTATCAAACATGTATTATGATGGGCATGATAGCAGTACTGATTATTTCATAATTGACATTTGACAGTGGCGGGCAGATTGATGGTCAATGCCATGTCTTTTGTCATCAGTCGTAATAATTGTATCTTCGTAAAATGGAACACTTTTCTGTCTTGTAGTAACTGTCTTTTTGGAATAAGCAATAGTCAAATATCGTTATGCATTCTTGATCAACACTGACTGCACTGCTTTAATAAACACAACGTCCATCATAATACAATCAGATTATAGTTTTGAACTGGAAGTGTCCTTTTTGGTATAGCCATATATTGTACCATCACCAAGGTTGAAACCAGATTCGACCGTTTTGATGTTGTCAAACTTGGGTACGCTCGCGTTCTAGTTCAAAGTAATGATCGCATGTCTTGGAAATGCAGCTGTTGTTTGCATGCCAATCATCAGAAGACTAGTCAACTAAACAGTTCAAAAACAATATTATCCAGTAAATCTGGTGGGGATTATCATTTCATGGACTGGCTGTTTATTACGCCTTGACTCTTTGGTTGCATGCTCTTTACTCTGCTAGCAAACGCGTCAGTTATACTTGACCCGATTCAACTCGACTATTTACACTTGCATACAATTCTATTCTTTAAACCTCCATCATCAATAATCACTGTAAATAATGAGCAACTATAACAACACAGAGCCTGTAGTTATTGATGAAGAGTTGGTTCGTAAGGCTATTAACGAACAACTCCCATCTGAAATTGCTGATATTGCTTGGAAGGAGGGTGTCGAAGCATCTCAAGTGACTACACTTCGTCTTGATTATAAAAGTGAGTTTCAATATATGCTTTATATTCTGATATTACTATTTTTGAAATGCATTAGGCTTGCGTCCCAAACTATCGTTGTATTTTCTCACCCTGCTGTAATCGTGTAGATATCCTCAAGATTGATAATTTGTGGATATATTCCAACATGACTAAACTACAACTCGACAACAACATTATTGAAAAAATTGAAAACATTAAATTTCTCAAAAGCTTACAATGGTTAGGTATAACTATTTACTTGAAGAATGCACCAAATATTCTGCAAACCATCATTGTACTCACTGTTTTTAATGCGACTGTTAATGGGTAGATTTGTCGTTTAATAATATTACTGTGATTGAGGGGCTAGAAGGGCTAGAACATCTCACAGACTTGACATTGTTCAACAATCGTATTTCAAAAATCGAAAACATGGATGATCTTGTCAATCTCAAAGTCTTTTCTATTGGAAACAACTGTATTCCTGAAATTGAAAACGTAAAACTATATACTGTTAGCTTGCAATATTGATGCATGCAAAAAATTATGCCGATATGCTATTAACATTTTTAAACTGTTTGGGCTGCTACTATGAATTTTTGGAGATAGTTGGCATATCTACTCAAATTTGAAAATCTTCGTGTTCTGAATGTGGCTGGAAATGCGCTTTGTAAAAACCCAAACTATAAACCATACTGTCTAGCACACCTCAAAAACCTTAAATATCTGGATTATCGTCTTGTTGATGAAGAATCGGTACGTGTATCCTATCTAGCTTTAAACAGTTTTATACGCATACATCCAGAAATACACAACTGACTCGTGTATTGAACAAAATTATTTTGATATGCTAGCTTAAAGCTGCTCATGAAAAGTATATTGATTCAATTATTGCTCAAGAAGAAGAGGAAAAAGTTATTTTGGCTAAACGGGAAAAATTGCGCAAACATGCCGAGCTCGACGCAGTTCATGAAGTAATACCACTGTGTACACATAATCTGTATTTATAATACCAACATGTTTAATCGTTTGAATTGATTTAACAGTTTTGCTTTTGGATTTTTAGAAAGCACATATCCTTCATATTGAAATTTTGTTTGATTCCATGTTTAACGATGATCCCGATTTCCAGAAACTCATACCAATAGCCCCGTCAATTATTTACGAAATGCGTGAAGAGTTCCGTGCCAAGTTTGACATTATCATCAAAGAACTCAAACATTTTGTCTTGAAAAAGTCTCAAGAAAAGGCCAAAGAAATTCAACAGCTACATAAATGCATCGACAATGTAAAGGGTGCCAGCGATGATTTATGCATGCAAAAGTTTCAGAAATTCCAGCATACAAAAAAAGAAGTAAGCTTTTTAAAATGTGTATTTTTTAAATTATGTCAATGCTTATTGAATGTAATACGTGAATATGATAGTATCTCAAGACTGTTTTAAATTCTCGTAACGCCAAAGAGGTTGATGAAGCGCTCAAAACGCTTCGTGAAGACACTCATTTGCTTTTCAACCATCTCATGTCGGCTGAAATGATCATTGTTGAGCAGTTTGAAGAAGTTTTGAAAGAGTTTGAGCGTAATTACACTGAGTTGTGTAGCATAATCAACGAAACGGGACAGACAAGTTTTTCTAGATTGAGGGATTTGGAGAATGAACACCAAGAAAAGTTTTTGGAAGCAATATTGGTCATGTATGAACGGTTCAATAAGGGTGATGCGGATGAAGTGGATGACGAAATACGAGATGTAAGTCAATGTAATCAAAAGTACAAGTTTACACCAATATTTCAAACTCTGCAGTCTAACGTACCAGTTTATATTTCTTGCTAGATCATGAGTGATAAAGATGTTCTCATGAATGCAATCAATGCATCGCATGATTTTCGGCTTGGAAAATTGGATCATCAAGTAAGTACTTTATTAAATATGATGATTTTGGTTCATTCATCTCAATATTGATCATTTCCAATATAATGCTATTACTCATCAAAATATAGGAGGATGAGCTCGTTACAGGTGTTGCAAAAGACCAAGATCAGATCATCAAGAAAACGCATGACGACGAAGTTCGTCGTAACCGCAATCGCATCTGCGAAATCATTGCGTTTCTCGACAAGACTAACCAAGAGATTGATAACGCTGAGGAAAATGCGTATTAGATTTTGAAAAATAAAGTTTTGAATAAAGGTTGAACCTTTGCTAATCAAGTCCAAGAAAGTGTATATAGATCTGGCAGGTTCACAGTATTAGCAGCCGTCATTGGACTACTGATAATTAACAACATGTGCTATATTCCTGAATCTAATATTGAAAAGTGTTTATTCTTTTGAAAGTTTTTCCCAAACCTGGGTCTTGAGCTCCAAATGCGATACATGAACGTCGTCCTATCAAACAATATCAGTGGTTTGAATCAAAAGTTTAAACGTTTCCAATGTAGCAAGGCAATACATGGTTGATCTTACAATTGCCTTGAGTAGCTCGTTACGTAAATTCTCAAACTCTTTCTTGGTAGAGTAGCTCTTTGTAGCAGATTTGAGTTCTTTTTCAAGCACCTCGATCTTTGAAGTTTGAGACTTGATCTATAATACAGATACAAAATCACATCGTTTAACTTGGATTACAATTGAAAGCATAGATAGATTGGGGCTCTACAACAATTCAAACAAGATAGTCAAGATCGTGACTTGTATAGAAATGCGAATTCAAATACCTTGTTGGCAGATAACTGGACATTATCTACGCCAGCAAGAAGACTGGTAGTTGATTGCTGATAGTCGTCTAGAAGATAACCATAGGCAACACCACTAGAGACTGTCACTCCTAATAAAAATCCAAACATACTGTGTAGCAGTGTCAATCATCACATTGAACATTCCACAAGGTTTAGAATAATAAAAGATGCAGTTGTTGAAATGCATGGTAATCGATTAGCAAAACAGCCAGAGTTGAACATTTAGATCTGCATGATAATTGACATTAATGTGACCAGACAAAAGCATCCAGCAACGATCCCAGTAGATGGCAAGATTGTACTATCAATGCATTTAAAAAGTGCGTCGACTCGACTCACCCGCCACGAACATATCCAACCTGGCGTACAATAACAGGCCGTTGAACAGCAGACAAAGGAGGAACAGAAGCTTCGGTTGACAGCAAGCGACGGCCAGCACCAAAAAGCCTTGTGCGAAGTAATGGAAGTCCAGCAGCCATTTTACAGCCTATATTCACGTAAAATGGAATACTTTTTTGTATTCATCTTGCATGACTTTCCTTTGAATAAAAGCTGAATGTTTGGTTTATTAGACATTCTCGATTCAATCAACACAACGATCATCATAGAATACAATCAAACTTGATTTTAAATCAAGATTGACTTCTTTTGGCACAACTACACCTTACACGATCGACAGGTTTGACACTAGTATTTCATTTTACGTGAACATGACTGTTAATATAAATAATCAAGAGTACAGATGGAGAATCTGAATATACGTTCAAGCTTGAACTTGTTGGTTTATTACTATTAGATCTGATGCGATTTCTATTACTGTCTTGTATTCAATTTCAAGTGTATTCTAAAATGAACACAAGATTCAGACTCCATCAGATTGATTCAAATCGCTGTTTTGATTGTCACTACAACTGTCTCGAGTGTAAAACTATTCTTATAAACCATCCGCTGAGGATAAAGTCAATCGTCAATTTCAACCATCCGCGACGTACTTGCAACTTCACCCATAACTACAACTCATATTCACTACACTCAATGCCTGCACCTGCAACTACCACTCCTGCTGGAAAGAAGACTACACCAACAGAAAAGGCAAAAGTATTGCCTGATTCTAAAAAAGTTCAGCCAGAAGTCGCTCTGGAAGATGATGACGACTTTGAAGACTTTCCTGCTGAGCGTGAGTGTTTTGATTATCTGCCAGTCAGAGCATGATATCGCAGTGCTGCATATCCTACCATTATTTATCAGTGTATCTGGTTAGACCTTTGAGAACAAGTCACTTGTGCTAGACTGTTTGGCTAGGGTTCATGTTTTTACTGAGCTCGCATCTTTTTGTATCTCCATCTTCTTGATATAATTCTACTTGCATTAGCGATTTTGCCATGCATGCTATATAAGTTGTAAGTTTCTGATAGCTAACATCAGCCGAATTCTTGACTTGTGCCAAATAGCCTGGACAGACGCGGACCAAGAACTTGGCAGTTTGCATCAATGGGAGGATACTTGGGAAGACGATGATGAGGCCGAGGATCTCGCTATTCAACTCAAGTAAGTATTTGATATTATTCCATGTTTCAACAACTGCATAGTTTTCATCTTAAATCATCAGAGTGGCAGATTCAACTCCAAGTAGTAGGACTGTTTTAAGATTGGTTACTGATTTGCAAACTGCTGTTTCTGGATAATCATCATGTTTAGAGCCGAGGAGAAGAAGCGTGGTGTAGCACCTATGAGAATGTGATTTTGCAGTAGTCAACCCATTGGAAATGGAGACTTGGTGGATGCCGGTTGCACTTGTCTGTTTGCAATATTTAAGATTTGTTTGAATGAGATTGCATCCGACTCTTGAAATCCAGAAAATTTAAATCCCAAAATATAGTTTATTCTTTTTTAAAGTTTTTCTTGCTAAAAATCGACTGTATGGCTTGTACCAATGCAGTTGAAAGGGGATAGACGATTCCCTTTGATTTAAATTAATATTACTACAGTTCTGTTTGGAGGGTAGCCATTGATAGTTGAGTAGTTGGTTTGGACGCAAGCATATCTTTTGAAAATTCGTTTGAAAGCGATGCCTTGAGTGCTTCTAACCCTGTCACTTCCTATTTCACATACAACAGTGTAAGTACATTGATCATTGATTCCAATGGCAGACAGCCATAGTTGTGGTCAATGAGAACCCATTCATAAACTTGCCTGTTTCAGCACTCGCGACTTTGCAATCAAACTCTGGTTTTCAAAGGCAAATTGCTGCATCTTTTCTTCCGACATTTTCATTTCAATGCCTCTGCTACACATACCCTCAGTGATCTCATCCATAAGACCTTGAGCAATATTTAATGGCTGAGAAATGTCGATCCACGTAGCATCACGATGAGTGTTTGTCTGTTTGAGATTCTCAATATGCAGCTCTGTCAGAGAATCTAGTAACGCCAAAGAAGTTGCTTCCGCTACAGCACTATCGATATCAGAATGCTTAGCACACGTATTGGGTTGTGGTTGATACGATACAAGCGTTTTCCCACGACCGAGTATATCAGTTGGTTCATCATCCAGCTCAATTTCATCATTCAAACTTTCTTTTACCTGAAATTAAAACAACAACAATATAAATCATATGTTAAAAGGTATTTGGTAAACAAAAAAACAATGTCAAAGGTCCAGCCATTTGGTCGTATACTTGAACCGTACATTTAAAACATTGGCTTGTTTCTTGCAAGATGCTAAATTCATAAGCATATCCGAGTCACTACTGCTTTTCACGACTGTGGCTGTCTGAATTAAAGGAATGTCGCTCATACTACGATGTAGTTGCTGTGTAATGGTGTTGATTTCCTTTTTAAGCTCTCCAATAGCATTGATGTGCGATTCCGTATTCTCCAATAATTTTTTGCGAAGAAAATGAGATACATGATTCTCTGATACTGTATCAGGATACAACACGGGAGTTTCTTGCACACATGTCTATAGTTTCCATCAAGTATTAAATAGATGTCAGATTGAAAATAGATACATACACAAGGTTGAACTATACACGAGCCAGCAAAAATCAATTTACTTGAATATCGTTGACACTCAAATGACTATCGCTTGGCTCCAAAATATCAACTTTCAAAGTTGGCGCTCCATTTAAAACCGGTTTGGATTTCGTAACCGCTTCAGTTTTAATAGACTCCGGTTTGCAATCATCTGTTACCAATACAAAAATATTTTTAGTCAACAAATCCCATACACCTTTTAAATTTATGCTTTACTAAAGTACAAACCATACCAAGGAAAACTCTATTGTCGGACTCGTTCAAAATAAAACTAAGTTCTTTTTGATGGCAGTTTTGATCTTCAATTGATAATGGTTTAGTTTCATCCACTACATCATGCAGAAGCTTTGACGAATCAATTGGAGTAGCTAAGAATTCACCATGATAGATTAGATCTCTATTGATCCCAAACAGGTAGGTATGTATCAATTTCAAATGGTAACAATGAAAACAAACCTGATCCATTTTCCAACTCGGCTTCTTCGGCAAAGATCAAATCATAGTTCCAGATCAAACATTCCAAAGCTATAACTGATACATCCATGAGACACTTGGAGGTGCTCTTAAAATAAAGCGGATGATTAATGATATAGGGCAAAAGCGCAGTAGCCAATTGTGGACCTGTCGTTTTATTTACATGCGAATTGTCCATAATTCTAAAAACAGAAACGCATGAGAACAGTTATGCTTGATATAGATTGAACTGAGAGTATAGGTTGAAACTTACATTCGCCAGTGACGGAGCAAAGCATGACAGAATTTACGCTGAGAAAAACACATGCTTTTGAAAATGGCTGTAAAATGAGGAACCAACTCCGAGTCCGATGTTTCGTGTTCTGTTTTAATTAAACCAGTCAGAGTTGGTGGTGTTTACTAGTTTGGAAAATTTCCAATTTTACAGCTAAAATACCAATACTATAAATTCAACGCATTGCTTTTTACCTGCAGCATAAAGTATGTTGCTTTTAAAAGGCTCGGGAAGAAACAGTCCTGGAGTGTGTACTGGATTCAGCGTTATTTTTAGTGCGGTAGCAATATCGTCAATTCCATACAGACTCAGATTTTTCAGTGCCATCTCAGGAAATTCTGCAAATACCACCATACAAGATTAGTATAAGCCGCGTAAAGTTTATCAGTCAAATATAGTATTAGAGATAATAGTCAATCAATGAAGCAATAAAAGTCTGCGCTGCTTACGTTTGAGACTGGCCAAAAGTTTATCTGCATTACCGTGATTTCTATATACCCCGACAGAACTACGTCCATGATTTTCAATGTATTCTGCAAGCTTGAGAACAATATCATAGCTACCATATTCAACAATATCCACTCCATGATATAGAATCGTGTGTCCTATTATCCCCAAAATAGTAACAAGCCGACAAATGTGTATAAGCAATTATGCGTAGTCAACTTTAAACAATGATACAAAGTGCTGTACTATCATACCTGGTTCTGGGCCATCAATTTTAGTGACCTGCTTTTTTGTCTTGACAGTCATGGTACGCCACGATCGAGTCAAAATATTAGGCGAACCAGTTTGAATACGCATCTCTGACATCACGACGGAATTTGACTTTGCAAATGACGATGCTTGTGAGGGCATAGCAGTACTTGGAGGCGGCATTTCAGGACGAGACAAGAATTTGGTTGGTGCAGCAGGGATCCCACCACGACTTGCTACCGAAACTGATACAGCCTTTGAAACAATTGATTCGGGTTTTTCACCTATGGATACACGGTGATCAAAAGTCTGCGCGGCTCGTAAACCTTCGGTACCAGTACCAGTAGTAGAAGCAGATACTTGATTATCAATGATAAAACTTGGTGTAATGGATAGTCCTGATGATTCTCGGGGAATATATGGCGTATTCGTATGAAAAGTTTGTGTTCGAATATGCTTAGACCGGTCCTGTGCAGTGCTATGTCGGTTAAGACGAAAGAGTTTTCCACTCATAATAGACATAGTTCGTGAAAGAATAGATTCTGAACGTTTAAGGGGTTTTCCTTGCACTGGAAAAGCACCACTAGCATTCTTGTCTTCATCAGGATGGAAATTCGACGCAGTCGATAGTGTACGAGACGGCTTGATCAATGATCTACGTACAAACGATTTCTCACGGTTCAAGTCATGCGAAACTTTTGGAAACATTTTCGAGATAGAAGTGAGGTGCTGCTCAGTTTGAATATATCTATTAGTCGAACGAAATTTACTATCCAAACCGCAAAGCTTGGATACGTTTAAAACTTATATTACAACAGAATATTGGATTTGTATTAGTTTTACATATTGAATTATACTCTCGGTTTAAATAAAATGCATATTGATATAAACAGGCTACTCAAACCAGCCAATTCTTACGTGATAAAAGTAGTTCAGGTTTAAATTTGTTATACTCGGTAAAAGGTCTGACACAAGTAGGTAGAGAAACAACTGCATTGATTTTCTCAGATTCGGCCGTTGTTCGAAGCACAAAGCTAAATTTATTGTCAACTACTTTGATGATTCCAGCCGAGTCTAGATAAATATTTTAGAAATCGGTTCGTATTAAAATCAAAAAAATGCAATGTAACTTACTGTATACGGATTTACTCTTTTCAAGTATTCCTTGAAGATTTGTTGTATCTTCACAGACCACACATAGCACATCTCGCCTCTATTAGATATTTTGCAATTCAACACGTAAAGTTTAATTAGCATTAACATTCAAGTGAAAGGTGTGATTTATGAGAATTCCTACAGTTTTGCTAGATAGCTCATTGGTTTCAATCAAGTTATAGTAGATGTCTATATCAGCATATCGCTCCACAAATAGTTGCATATTTTTTTGCGTGTTATCATGACCTAATTCAAAGTAATGCTCAAAGTAAGCATACATCATAATGAAATGATCAATTACAAAACTCTAAACATACTTGTAGTTGCATGGTGTGTGTAGCTACGACATATCTTATAGTGGCGAAAGCGACGCAAAAACGTATCTTTGTCATCTTTGCAATTGGCTTCAAACGCTGCTTCTATGCGAATAAAGTCTGATCCTGTCTCGTGTTTTGCCTGCTCAACAATACGAAATTCTAGGCTCATAAAATTTAGTCTGCATCACTATCAAAGTATTTTCAAAACAAAAAAGCCGGATTTACCTTTGCTGTCAATATCAATCACTTGAATGCAGTCAAGATCGTACTTTTTGCTGAATGTATAGTTGTATTTAGGCTCTGAGCCAGATTGATTTTTTACAAATTCACTGCTGCGAATCAGACCTTTGTGCTGAATAGCGGGTTGTCGAGAAAGTACTATGATGAAATTATTGAACAAAATAAGCGACACGGCAACTTTAGTTGTGGATGATGAATCCAGTCTTGAAGCGTGTATATCATATACATATCGAGTACCCGAGCTGACCATCTAAAAATATAAGTTCCAAAATAATCTTAGCACTGCTTTTGGTTTAAATATGTTTAAGCATGTTTGAGATTCAAAGTAATCGAGTCTCTTGATATTCGATTGTTTCAGGAAGCGCAATAGTTCAAAGCAGCATACCTGACCACTTGTTCCAATGGCTTTGTCCATTGCAAACAAAAAACTCTGCTGACTTTCTTTGTACGTAGATCGATCGATTAAAAGTGCCAAGTGTGAAAGCCCATCATATGCTTTTTGGATAGCTTGCATATCGACATGGTCGACAGCAGTGTTTTGTAAAAGTCGGTTGAAAGTAGAAACCAACTGTGGTATGCGTTGTATGGGTACTATCATTAGCGAATTTAGTGTTGCATCAATGTTAAATATCTTTGATATTTTTTTGCATGCACGCTGTTTCAGGCATTACAGATGATTAGTAAAATCTAGTATCTAATAGCTTATTTTTGTATAAATACAAGTGTCTATTTCAACTGCACAACTTTAATATCTACCTGAATAAATTCAATAAATTCTTGCGAGTCCGGCTGATCGACTAGGGATACAATATAAAACTCTTTGCTATACGAGATATATGGGATTTCAAGAGATTGTACCTAAAGTATTGATAAAACAAGCCAGGTCAACTCGCAAATTACTCAACAAGCGTATCAAGGATCAAGTCATACTACTCAAAGATTGACTTTACATACATGAGTGCTATAAATATTAGCCAATTCAAGCACGCTAATATTTTCGTGTTTTTGAATATCCGCTACAATTGCTTCGTGCCTAGATATCAGTGCTTCAATAGATGGAAAACGTCTTTTTGCAAGAAGCAACGACGTAAATCCGCTTTTTTGATGATTATTCAATGTAGCCATATAGATCTCCTGTAAATGACAAAATAAAGAGTCTTGTTATTACTTCAAGACAACATATTACTGAAATATAAATGACTGCATACTACATATTTACCTGCTGATACGCCTTCATCTTTTCTAAACAAGATGTTTCTAGTTTAAGAAGCTCTTTTAAAATGTTTTTTCGGTTCTCTTCATTATGTTTAAACTAAACCCCATAATTAAAGTTTAGCATATGAAATAAATCAAGCTCCTTATAATCTAAACAAGATTAAAACCAATCTTACCGCTATACACTGCTCTTTAGGGGGCGGTGTGATGGCCCTAGAAACCAATTCTAAGCATAAACATGAGTATGCATCGCGTTGTATACGTTGTAAACTCATACACAACGTTTGGATAAAACCAGATATTGTGCACTCTAAAAATCAAAGTCACTTACCCAAATCCACAAATACGGGACTTTTTGAAAGTACAGGCACAATAAAATCCTGTGCTGGTATTCCAAACATGGGTTTGATCATTTCCCATTTGGATTGATAGGCTGTTTTAAATATATGCAACATTCAAAATAAGACAAGAATCCATTGAAGAACAGTACCTAACACTGTAAACATCGTGTAACGTACCTTTGCTTGTCGTAAACCCTGGATCCAAAATAACATCTACAATGATATGATTCAGAGGTTCTTCCTAAATAAAATCAGCAAATTTCATAGTTTCAGATCACTTGCAGACATTAAAGATTCAATAAACACCTTGATGGTCCATTCACTTACAAAACGGGCTCCGGCCAATCGAAGTGCCCTTTCCAAAGGCTCACTTGTTTTGGTAATGTATGAAGAATGAATTGCTTTGGCCGTCATTTCAACAGCTAATTCATTGGATACACAATTGGACTGTATTGCAGCAGTTACTCCCGGATGGATAAAATCTCGCGATAAAGCAGCGGCTATTTGAGGTGATAGCAAATATCGTTTGATTATGGCTTCTGCAGCACTATGCATGTTGTTTACAGATTCTGGGGCTGCGTTGATATCTGTTTTATCAACTTGGATTGACATGAAGGCCTGTTATATAATGGGTTTATACATTTTCACCAAAAAATAGTTAACCCGTGAAATCCAAAGTTTATATCACAACGTTACAGAGGTAATAGTAACTTACAGCACAAGTATATACATTGCCAATCCATACGTCATTGACTAGTGAAAGGCCAAGACATCCATGACCAATTTTTTCAAGCATGAAAAACATGACATGCTGGTCTACATATTCAGATAATAAATCACAGTAAAAGGAGGTGCAATATTAAAATTAGACTGTTGACTCTATCCTTGGTTTAAATGGCATATCAGCTGACAAAAGCAAAATAGCTTTACTTACCTTTAATAGATTTTACAGAGAGGTCAGTATGTGATGAATATTTTGCGTATTGGCTCATTTGAGATGAAAGTGTTGCCATGGATGGTGAGCGTGCAGAGAATTTATACAACGAAAGTGGACTAATTTCATATTCCCATCCTGCACTTGTAAGCCGAGTTGCTTCTTCCTATGTTGATAAAACAGTATTCAGTATGGTTAGCCAGTAATAATATTTGTATAATGATACTGAGCAAAATATCGGCATGTCAACACAGTAGATGAATCATATAATCAAACTGGCAGTATCGGGTGCAATGCCATGTTTCATTCAGTATAGTTGGCAAGAAATGAATGCACCGCATTAATTTGTAGAGCCGTTTCATTATGGAAATATAAGAATCAAGGATATAAAAGGATAGTACTGGATTTTGGACATACCACTGGTGAGTTTTCCGTATTGTCAAGGAGTGCGACAGAGTCGTCTGCAATACAAGCCAATGGCTCGCGACTATTACTACCACTTCTTGGATTGAGCATATTAGAGATACTTCTAATCATACGCTACTTTGGAATGTTTCAAGAGCAAGTCAGGTTTGGACAGTATAGCAAGCAATAGCGTATGAGCAAGGGGATTTTTGTGCAATGATAGATACAGTCTGTTACTCCAGGCAAATATGGATGTACTGCGCAAGATTCAAGGTTGAACTATAAAGACTAATTCGGTATCAGGTTCTAGATATAAAAGTGATAGACTAATAGGTTCGGTAAACGAGCAACTGTCACTATTGGAATGGGTTGGCAAGAGTGAGTTCAAGTAAATGGTCGAGTTGGATCAATTCAACCGACGCGTTGCTGAATCTCGAGTCAACGCGAAGGGGTGCTTATTGTGCCTGAGGACACGGTTTATTAGAATTTGCAATTGATCGGCTTATCATTGCTACATAGCAGACGAATAGTTTCGAAATGGTTGCACAGAAACAACCTTTATTGGACGAAGAAGATGCATTCACACCTCTTGCATTACAGGCACTCACTGAAATATTTCAAAGGTTTGACCTGGATAATGACGGCGTTTTTTCTCAACAAGAGATTGATGCATTTGCAATAGCATCAAATGGCAAAAAGGTGTTGCTAATTGATTAAAACTGGCTTGTTGACCATTACAAAGATGATTGTTGCTAACTAGTTTTGTGCTGTTGATTTTGCCGCTATTCATGCTGTGCAAACTAATCTTTCTAGTTTGATGATGCAACACTTGAAGAAATCAGACAATACTTTGACATTGATACAAGCAACCAATTGACTCTTAAAGGATTCTTGGAGATGTTTCAGATGCAAACACTGGGAGAGCAAGAAGAGACCTGGAGGGATTTAGCAAAGCATGGCTACGATGAGCAACTTCGACGAACTGTAATCCCTTGAGGTATCAAGGATATATGAGATATATATAGCTATATTCACGTAAAATAAAATACTAAATAAGAGTATTAAATATATAAGACAGTCATATTTTATTGATACCAATCTTATTGAGCAAGATTGTCTTTTAAACTCATTCATTCTTCGGTATCTATGCTCGTTTTGTACAAAAATACCGAGTGTTCACATCAGTAATCCCATATCCTTGACATCTCAACCTCCATTTTTCTTTTTCAGAAACGAACATTTAAACACTGGGTGACTGGAATGCAAACAACTGCTGCATTCCAAGGATATGCTGAACTAGAACTAAAACGTATCTGATATTAGGATACAACAGAGCTCCAATAAAAGTAATTGATGTCCAATAACAACGAATATGTAACGATTGTCTATTTGGGAGCAACATAGCCATTACAAGTGTTTCATTTTACGTGAATACGGCTGTAATAAAATGGTTTAAATTGATTGATAGCATCGTCTTTTAAACTCCTTGACAAGGCTACAAATCCACTGGTTAAACATGATTTACCAACTGTCCAACAAAGGGCAATGTTGTGGGGCTTAGAGCTTTGCTGTACAGCCTTGTATTGCCTATTTTTGGCCCTATTGAAAATCACTAGTAAAAATGATGGATGCGGCGTGCAATTCCAGACATGTCACAATCAATTTCTAGTAGGAAGCCGCAATGATATTTAACTTGTTTATTCTGAAGCAAAAAAGAAAAGAACTGCAAGATAAATACAAGTTCCATTTTTACACGAATACGGCTGTAATAAAGGAAAGCTTGTCAAGCTTATTCCATTTTGCTATTTATATTGAATATATATTGAAAAACGCATTGTCTGACTGGTTTCATAGAAGCAGTGAATTACACTGCCATCATCGACGCTTTAGAATTTTGATCATCCAGTTTATAATGCGTAGCAAGGTACTCCAACCATGGAGTTCATTGCTACTTATAACAATCGCATGCTCGACAAAAGTAGCTGCCGACTGGATTCAAGTATCTTACTCGCAGTACTGTTCTGTGCTTGATCTCACTTTTCCATTTGGATTGGAGCCTGCAATTGCTGCTGGACTCGTTGGATCCAGTGTAGTAGTTCCTGTTGTGATGAGTGGTCAGCCTCGTCGTTGCTTACAGTCGGGTTCTGCCTTGTCTGATACAATAACTGCTTACGAATATGCATCGGTAGATAAAACCTCCATCAATTTACTGCAATGCGACAGTGCTTGCAACAGCTGTTCATATATGGACAAACTGCTGAATGCATTTGATTCATCGCTTCCTAGCAATTATTGTGGACTAGTATTTCGGGTTATTTCACCAAATGTTCAAACTGACACACAACTTCGCTCTGTAATTCAACCATGGGGAATCTGGGCTACGCTCTCGTCTAAATCTATTATTGCAACCACTTTCTCTCACACAACACATACTGACAGTACCGCCCCGCTGTGTCTGGGCAATCCTACCTATGCCGTACAGCACTATATTTTTGACAAATGCGTCCAGATCGATACTACTCGTTCAATCAAGTCTATTCATGTTGGTAATGGATTTGAGCAACAAATGTGCATGTCCACCGACTGTTCATACGAATGCATCACCATGTCAATAGTTTATAGTTCAGACATGTCAAATGGTGTTGGAACCCCGTCGTCTTCATCTGTCTGCGTCACGTTGACAACAGGTTGGAATGCTGAATATGGTCCAGTCATGTCATTTAATTCACTCTCTAGCACCCGTGAAGATTCACAATCGATGATGGGTCGTTTTTCGGCACCGGTCATTGCAGCATTCGTAATCGGTACGTTGCTGATATTTTTCGTGTTGTGCAACTCCATTTGGATATTCCTGAAACGTCGACGACAAAGACAACAGCCTCGACTATCACTTCGCCAACAGCCACAAACAGCAGAATCTAGCAAAATTGTGTGGTACAATATTGTATCTTCCTCGCAAGCAAATTTACTTTCTCCATCTTTGACTGGTAAAGCTTCAGGTCCACCCACCACAGTGTTGGCCAGTGTACCTCCTAGTAATGCTCATACAGTAGCCAAATCAACCCCATTTAAAAACATTCCTTCCAAATCTGGTGCTGCTACGACTTGTGAATCACATATAAACACAAGTAAGCCGTCTTCAGCGAATGCTCCAGATCGTATTATAAACACGCGTTCATCGATCAAACCAAAGTTGAATGCTGCCATCAAAGTCTTGACATCATTTTCTTCCCCTTATAATAATCAGCAGGGATCTGGATCATCTCATAATCCAGCTGCAGTTGTTTCTCCTGTACAAGACAAACCAAGCCAGGCCGTGCAATCTCTGAGCTCGCCTGATATAAAGAAAAAATTGCAATGGTTTAGTGGATCAGAGCTTTCAATTCCATCAACCACCCATTCATCAAAAGAGACCAATGGTCTTCCCAATTTGCCCAACCAGGCACGCACATCTTTTACAACATCGCCCAAATCTCGATCACCATCAGTCGATCAGCGACCATCTGGTCAACCGTGGCGGTTATCCTCTGCATCCATGCCAAGTTCAAGGCCACTTCAATCGCCCAAGCCTCAAAGCGAATCATCTTCTACACGTCTATGGTTAGAGTCGGCATTTCAACTGCACTTGTCAAGCACTTGGACTTTGGACCCTGATACACAACGACAAATGCAGATGCAGGTATCCAACCGGAATCACAAAGGAGGCTCTGGGGTATCGAGTGCTGAGGGTATTCGACGTAATAGTACTCCTGGTAGAGACCAAAGTACTACTCTAAATAGCAGTATAAATAGTCGACAGAGTAGAAGCAGTAGCAGCATGGCTATTAAATCTCGATGGTGTACACCCGACTCACAAACTGTTGCGAATAATCTATGCAGCTGATGATAGCTGTGCAACTGGTATTGAATTTTAAAAGCAGGATGTTTAAAACACGATTAAATCTATAATTTATAAAGTTAAACTTGTTTGAAATGTGCGAGTGTGGTTTTAGTTGAGTAAATACATGTACTGAATAGCAGGGTTCAACATTTCCTATGGATTTGCATATACACGTGCAAACGATTGGTGCAGACACGCTCACTAACAAGTTTGACTCAGGGTATCAATCGAGCGATCCTATTGTTGCAATAAATTCCTGTCGAAGTTACCACAATATTTTTTGAAGAATGCGTGTCAAGAGTGAGCCTGAAATTGTAGCTGTATCGCAGAATATCGATGATTCAGTTGAAACTCCACGACAAAGTGTTGGGATAGAGACTGTAATAATCAGCCAAGGAGTAGAATGCGAGTTTCAATCTTTGGCATCCCTTCAATTGAATAAAAGGCTTGCTCTGGCCTCTCGTCGACGATTTGTAGCTGAGCTTATTGGAACATTTCTCATGCTTACCTTTGCGACTGGTGCCGTATCAAGCCAAGTGCTCACTGGTGCACTCAAGGGTATATGGCAGGTGCGTAATGAATTGCTGTTGATTTGTATCTGGAACCCAGGCGATTGCTTTTACAGAATATCATGGTTATCCTGATTTTCTTGAATAGATTGAATTACTCCGGAATTTCGACATGAATCGAGACTGTCTAAAACATACATTTTCTACAATCAACTGACGCTTGAAATGATACTTTGCGTTCAATATTTTATAGAATGCAGTAGTTGTTGGAATTGCTACCACATGTGCCATTTACCTTTCCGGTTCAACATCTGGTGGTCATCTTAACCCTGCCATCACATTAGCAATGGCAACGTTTGGCTGCAAGACTGGGTTTCAGTGGAATCGTGTCCCTTCATACATTCTGGCTCAAATACTTGGAGGAATTCTTGCAGGCATCGCCAACTTATTTATATGGAATCCTATAATAGTACAATTTGAGAGTCGCAATAATATCACCCGAAACCAACTTCCCGGATGTACCCATTCTGCAATGCTTTTCGGCACATACTTTCCCAACCCTGACATTTACAAGCCAGGTTCGCCTGATGCAATCAATCTTGTATCACCTTGGAGAGCATTTGGAGTTGAAGTGTTTGCAACTGCAATTCTTGCTTTTGTGATTGTTGGGTTATGCGATCGGGGCAATCGGCCTACTATACATCCTGCCATCATTCCTCCTGCTATTGGTGCGATTGTAGCAGCACTGATTTCAGTGTTTGGACCCATCACCATGGCAGCAATGAACCCTGCACGAGATCTTGGACCAAGGATTGCTGCTGCTATAGGTGGATGGGGAGAATGTGCATTTGGAGGGGATATGTCATTTTTGATTTATACGTTTGGACCATGCATAGGATCTATACTTGGTGCTGCTGTTTATCTTACTTTTCTTTACCATTCAGATGAAGAATTAAAGGATAGAAATGTATGACATTTTCCAAATGATTTGCAGTTTGAAACACGACTTTAAAAATCATTTCTAAGCCAAGAAATCCTCATGTAAAAAGTCTTGAATTTCGGACTTGATGTCGATTTTCACATCAGCACAAATCTACAGCCATCATGACAACTACATCAAACCAGCTGCCTTTAGCATCAGACTTGCCAGAAAAACTAGATTCAGAAACACTGGTTGAACATTCTGCAGAAGTTGTATCTTTAGAAGTCGTTACTGAGCATTTGGGGTTTGCTCCAGTTCATTTTATAGATGACATGATTGATAGGGTGAATTCGTTGTTGTACAAGAGTATGGCTAAACTGGAAGAACTTGTATCTGTTGAACTCGGGAAAGGCATTGAAACTGACAGAGTATGTTTATTCTTGGCTGTTACAGGACTATTCACACATGTTCAAATTGGAGTATAAATTCCCTTGTAGTCGAGTAGCCTCGTAGCATATCGTTTACTGACAATCACTACATTTTAACACTTCTAATACCGATTTTTGATTTAGGGCATGGCATCCATTGAAACACTGTTTGAAAGTTGTGTGGATAAACGATTTGATCGATTTGAAGTATTCGGACTTCGTAATGTGTTTGCCGTGCAGCCTGACCTAGCAATGCAACTCACTGCATTTCAGGTAGGCATCTTGCTCACTAAATACAAAACTTTTGATGAATGCTTTTGTAGAAATAGTACTGACTCGATTTGGCATACTTTGACGTGTAGGAATGTAATGTTGACATCACACTCGAGCAGGAACTTGCATTAGATGCTGATATCGATGTATTGCGAAAACAGTTGCTTGCTGTAAGTATCTATACAACAAAATGATTAAATGTATATAAACCAGTGAATTTATGCAAAATTAACAAGGTTTTACTTGTTTGGTAAGCAAAGTATTCATGTATGCAGGGAAAACTTCAAGAAAAGGACAAGTATCTTGACAATGTTATTTCACATCTAAACATATTTGGCGATCAGCTTGTTAAACTTGAATCCATAGCAGTAGACAACAAAAGTAATATATACAATGCTTTGATTTATGCATCTAATCGGTTTTGTCCATGATCTAAATTTGCTGTTGTAATATGGTAGTATATCCACTGTCCGAGAAACTTGTCGAGCTGTCGGATAAAATTGCCACATTGAGTTCAGTTACAGATCAGGTACATGTACGTACGACACATCCAATCATGCGAGAAAAGATATGCGATTCTGACCGTCGCATGCAACTCCTGCAAAGCGAGATTGCTATGCATATAAAAAAGCGACGACACATTGCCGAAGTGCAAGAAGGACTAGCCATGGGAAAAGGAAACAAGGCAAATGGGTCTTTTTCCAACATGTCTGCATGGGATGTTACGAGAGAATATCGCGATGCCATGTCGATTGGATCTGTAAAGGAAATGGAGGCGTTTAAAGAAAATGTGTTGTTGTGATAGGGTTGGTGTAATGATGACACTCGGGTCAGCAATTAATTAAAAGATTGTTTATATCTTGACACTTGATTTCACATTTCTTACTACCACCAACAAACCCAGTTCAAATGATTTAAAATCAAGGCATTTATTTATGCATTTGGAATTACCAGTCGGCACCAGAAACACGGAAAAGTTCTGCATATTCAAAGTATCGAATAATCTGTCGGTAACCTGCTTGAGGCACATTCATTGAAATCAATACATTTTGAACTTTGGCAAATCCGTGACGTCTAATCAGCATAAACAAACCACGTCCAATCGAACTTGGATACTTGTGTATTTCAAACAAACCAAATGTTAGAAAAAGTGGTCACACATTCAGTACCCTGACATAACTTACAGTATGCTCAGAAAATGTGCGATCCAGCAGTGTAGTCATTTTGACTACAGATTGCAAGCATAGTTGAATATTTCCATCCTCGGCATGAATTTGCAACAGTTTTAGCCACGCCTTGGTGGATAATTTTTGGTCAAGACATAGACGATAAGCCTCTTTGGCATCATCACGATGAAAAAGCCGTTCAGCCAAATCACCATAAATCTCCCATTCTGCACCAGTTTTGCGATATATCATTGCATTGGAATTATTGGTTTGGTTTTTAAACTGTGACATTTCCTACAAAAATAAGGATTGACATCAAGGTGAGTTGCCAAAAAACCAACAAAAAAAGTCAAACCATGTGTACCTGTTTCAGTGCGGTATATAGCCTCAAGTCGTTGTACAACACCATAAACAAGTTATCCAACCACTTTTCGCATAGACGCTTGTGTTTGAAACTGAACGAGACTCTATGAAGTTGTGAACGGGGATTCTAAAAATAAACATGCCATCAATTCAAAACAAGATTTAACAATGTTTAATCGACACCATGTACTGGAAATAGCTAAATACTTGACATATTAGCGGCAACTTACAGGAACACGAGTTTTTTGCACATTGGGTGTCGCTGAATCATTCTTTTCCAATGTAGCTCGCTTCATTAATTCATCAATCGAAAGCTTGCCCTTGGATGGTGAAGCAGATTTTGGTGCCTGATCGGCATTACTCATAGTATTGGAAGCAATGTCACCCCCATTGTCCAAATCAATAGATTGCATTATCCGATCATCTCCGCTATGTACATCAGAGCTTGTATTTGATGACGAGCGACGGAGTTTGCCTGCACCTCCATTAGCAGCATTATGAATATCATTTTTTTGTTCTTCATCCAGATACCGCCTGCTCACATCGCCTTCCAAATCATCCTCATCTTTAAAATCATCGCCCGTGTCAACATCGTCGCCAGGCCGCCGAGACTCTTCAGCAGCTGATCGGTGAATCAAATATTCATCTTCCATGACAAATACCTGTGAACGAAACTTGAGTAGGTCGTCCCATCCAACACGAGCAACAATACGAATAAGAAGGCGGTATGCTTCTAAAAAAGTGCCGCGAAGTGAAAGGGATGGAAGGCGTTGCAACTCGGGATGAACTTCGTCTTCACGGGGATCATTCTCATCAAAGAGAGTACCATTAGTTTGTGGAATTGTTTTTGGATTTTGATCTGGTCGGAGGGTTGTAGCATCTGCACGAAGAGGGAGATGTGTTCTAGCTGGTGGGGGCATGCGCTGAGAGTCACGCTCGCAGTAGGTGAACATTGGGCATGAATTAAGTGCTAGAAGCGCCTGAATATAACAACAATGGCAAAGTTTAAGAACTCGACATTTAAGAATAGTAAAAATCAAACCAACTCCAAAATTGCACTCACAGATTCAAAATCAGAGAGTTGAATATAAATATCAGCCAGCTTGGCCCAAACCAAAAACTCAGAAGGAGCATATGTGACTGCAAGTTTTGCAAGTTTAAGTGCCTTTTCAAATTGTTTCTACAAAAATACCATTTTAGTCCATGTTTAGCAGAAATCCACCAAGCATAAACTAGTCTACCTTGCCAATAAGAAAATCTGTCTGAACAAGCAACAAACTGTATGTTACAGGATGTTTTTTTGACGCTTCATAAAGAACTTGTACAGCTTTGATTTCTTCGTCTGTGCCAAGGTACGCCTTGGCAAGGATAGCGGCAACATCTGGGTCACGACTGTCTAAATCAGCAAAAAACTTGGCCGCCTCTGAAAGTCTACCAGCATTTTGAAAATAGCTAAAGATGCCATTTGTTAAATGGTTTGAAAATGGTGTTGCAACTTGAACTTCAGGCTGACTTCCCAGTTGCCATCCTAGTATCCCAATAAAATGAGTATCATTTCAAAGGCATTGCTCAACAAATGAATGCATACAACATATGCTTACCTTTCCAGAATTCTACAGCAGCGGCTTCAAGAAACCGACCCTCGGCACCCAACGTTTGCAAAGGATCAATTTTTCTTAATCCAAGTAAAGGATGTCCGTCGTTTCCATCAGGTTCGTCATTATCATCTAAAATTGCTCTTAGTACTGCTGAAACAAATGCTTCTTGCCAAATTGCAACATTGGTGATTGGATGCCTGTCTCCACGAAGATCTACAATGTAGGAGTCCACACCACCAGGGATTTTGACTTCAACACGAACATCAACGCGAGAGAAGGCATTGAAGCAGCAGAATGTTCCCATTTTGATTTTCCATGGATTTGGTTTTCCTTGAACTGGTGCCTAGATTGTTTAATAAAATACGGTTTCAAAACAGTTGCATAAGTGTGGGCAAGTATTAAAAATTGATCGGTATTGAAAATGGCGGTTTACACTTGCCAGCATATACATGAGCGAATTTAAATATGCTGCGACGGTTGCTGAAGATGAAGTGTCGGCACCAAGAACAAAGTGATATGACCCAATCTAATATATAACATTTCAAATAATGGTTTCAACTTTAATACAGTTTTATAAAACAAGATTGCCAAATGGTGGATCTTGAAATGCTGACATTTTAGAGATACAAGTCATGTACAAAGCATGAGGTAAATATGGATGTAGTGTGTGTTGCTATGCTATACCTCTTTTGGAACTGATTTTGAGTTTGCCTTGACCACATGGCAAAGATCAGGGGAGCCTAATTCTCGAAACGTAGCTATGATAAAAATGATATAAAAGCCTCCATTAGAATCTTCAATTTGGGTGGTGGAATACACAAAAACAGGACAGTTTGTATGCAGGATATAGCATGCATCAGGATTTAAGAGCAGATCAACTCGAACAGAGTGCAACTGATAATAAATATCAAGGTTTCTTACCCAGCGACTCAGTTCTGGCCACTAGACATTCGTTGATTTCAGTCTCGAAGAATTCGGGAATGCCTTGAACCAGCCATTAAAAGTAGATATGAATGGAATTCATGAAGAATAAACAGATGAACATGCAATGCATGATAATAAATAGATGTTAGTACACTTTTCATTCAAAACTGGATATTTGTGAGCAAGTGTTCTCTATACAACTCAATGCAGCATCAAAGGAGCAGCAAACGCCTATAGTCTGACAATTGCTGTAAAGCACATTCATATAAATCCACTAAACAGTTTGAACTGTATATAATCTTGCAAGTTATCCTAACAGATGGATGAGCGATATAATATCATATGCAGTTCATAACCATCACACACCCCTAAGCACGCCCGTGTCCGTTGCCGCGACCATCTGCAAAGTTGCTGTTATCGAGGAAAGATTTCCATTTTCAACACAACTGTTTTGTAGTGATTTAGCTTATGCAGTTAGCCACAACTGTGTTTCTTATGAGCATGCATGACATCAAACTTGCAAGAAATTGTCACTGTTTATGGATCAACAGCATCATCACAAACAAAACCATTCGGTTTTTTAACAGCTCGTTATTTATATCGAGTCTTGACAACTGCAACTGCAGGCTTCTTGAACCTGATAAACGCGTTGATCAACAGGTTCGATTCCTACTAGCCCTTTTATTATCTAACCAGTAAACTGACCTAATCAGGGCCGCTGTTTTACTGCCTATAAATAAGCAAAAAATACTCGAGTGTTTTGTTGGTCCGCACCATCTGTCAACGTCTAATGAGTTCAACCTCTCGTCCATTGATAGTCCAGAAATATGGAGGCACAAGTGTCGGTTCAGCTGAGCGACTCATGCAAGTTGCCGAGATTGTCAAGTGAGTATCTACCAGTTGAATTTATACTCTTGTAGATTTAAAGAGGATTAAAGTTGTGAAATCATTCAAGTCATTTCCATCTATTAACCCACTCGTTGAAATGATAACCAATAAAGACAAACCAATACAATGTTTCGACCCATTGTTGTTCTTTCAGCAATGAGTGGAACCATCAAGTCGCAAGGAACAACAACCAGGTAGAATTGAATATTTTTATTGTAATCACATGGAGTCAAATGGCTTACTAACCCTGACATTTAGGCTTCTCAAAGCAGTACACGAGGTTCTCAAACCCAACTCAAGAGTGTATCTAGATATTGTGGACTCGCTTGAACATACCCATACTGAGACTATCAGTGGAGCAATCATCCAACCTGACAATGACCCCAACGATACTATTCGTACTATTCGCAATGATCTATTGGCAGATGTCAAACAAGAGTTTGATCGACTCCGGTCTTTTATGTCGGCCGCAGAAGTAAGCTAAATAACTGCCATTTGAACTAGAACACCGAGTGTTGATGGTTATGTTTTGATTTAGATCATTGATGAAATTTCACCACGATCCAGAGATGTGATTATCAGTAGTGGCGAAAAATTGTCTGCAAGGATATTTACTGCAGTGTTGGAATCTCAGGGCGTCAAGGCAAAGTTTTTTAACCTGGATAAGCTTATTGATCGCCATTTCGATCCAAAAAACATCAACCAGTCTTTTTACGACTATATTGCAGAACGTTTGAACAAAGTCATTTACCCTTTTGTAGACACCCATGTTTGTGTTTTGACTGGCTATGTGGGTCCTGTTCCTGGCAGCTTGCTGGCTACAATTGGTAGAGGCTATACCGATCTTACAGCTGCATTGACGGCTGTAGGTCTTTCGGCACAAGAGCTTCAAATATGGAAAGAAGTCGATGGTATATTTACAGCAGATCCACGCAAGGTTCCACGTGCACGTAAAATAGAGTTTATCACTCCAGAAGAAGCTGCAGAGTTGACATACTATGGATCCGAGGTTATTCATCCATTTACCATGGAACAAGTCATCAAAGCCAGTATTCCAATTCGTATCAAAAACACGTTCAAACCCACTGGTTCAGGTACAGTCATTCTGCCCAGAGGAAAGTCCTTGCATTTGGATCCACTGTCCGATACAGCACCAATCTCTTGCAACTCACCAAAATTGCAATCAAAACTTCCAACAGCCGTCACGATCAAAGACGATGTGATTGCACTCAATATCCATTCAAATAGGAAATCTGTATCACATGGGTTTTTTGCACAGATTTTCTTGACATTAGATCGGTTTGGTATTGCCGTGGATTTGATTTCAACAAGCGAAGTACACGTTAGTATGGCTCTAAGTTCAGTTGCTGTCCAAGATAATTTGGACATGGCGTTGGTTGAGCTGCGTAAGCATGCAACTGTAAGTTGGATATGTTGATGCATTATAGATTGTATTCAAACATGATCTAATGGATACATGTGTTTATAAACCGTGCAGGTGGATACAATCTACAATATGGCTATATTATCGCTTGTTGGAAAAGAAATGCGATGCATGGTAGGTACTGCCAGCAAAATGTTTTCGACTTTAGCCAAATACAATGTCAATATTGAAATGATCAGTCAAGGTGCATCTGAAATCAACATTTCATGTCTGATTGATGAGCGAAATGCCGAAACTGCGTTGCGTGCTGTTCATGATGAAGTTGTTCTTGGTGGTGAATAAACCGATTTTCCCAACTGAATTACTTGCTGATTGCGAGTGTTAATCTTATTGGACAACATTGTTGTTTAAAGTAGAAACGCAACGTATTCAAGATTGAAATACAACAGAACTTGTTGAATGACATGACCGTTTCAGATATTTCTTGATTGTCGTCAAGTCAACGTTTTCAATAACAAAAACAGTTCAGAATAAACCCAGAAAATAATCCATTTACGTGAATATGGCTGTAATGAATTTGCCTGATGTGATATATGACATAAAATGTCGATTTTAAAGTTGTCCAATAATTACAAATGATACCTCCTCCGAAACCATGGGAAGTAGGTTCGACTGCCTCGAATGGCAAATGCCCTGTAGTGAATGAAAACAACACTGCTTCTTCTTCAGTGGGCACATCATCAAACGTACCTATAATGCCAGCAAGACCTACAGCTTCACAAGCAGCGCTGCTCAACCAAACTGGTATCATGCAATCAACTGGTAAGCTTTAGTGTTGCAGTGGATAGAGTTTTAATTCTCCGATGCAGTATCAACAGTCTTGTTAACCTTGTGCGCTCTATGTTTATGATTCAAGCACCATCGTATGGCAATGGATATTCACAATACAATCGGTATGGTGCTAATGGATATGGCGGATCATATGGTGCTAATGGATATGGCGGATCATATGGTGCCAGTGGATATGGTAATACCTATGGTGCCAGTGGATACGGTAATACCTATGGAGGCGGATATGGATCGACTTATGGCGGATATGGCTCTTCTTATGGCACAGGATATTCTCCATATAATCGATACGGAACCACAATGGGCGGATACAATCGATTTGGTGGAATGGGAAATCAAATGAATGGGCCTATGATGGGTCCCAATGGATTGCCCATTCCCGAAGGTGAACTTCCTTTAACAGCTCGACTTGAGCAATCAACCCAAGCGACATTCCAGATGCTCGATCAGATTGTCCAGGCTTTTGGAGGATTTTCACAAATGTTGGAATCTACTTTTTTTGCTACGCATTCGTCATTTATGGCCATGGCTGGCGTAGCTGAGCAGTTTGGAATGTTTAGGACGTATTTGGGACAAGCGTTGTCAGTGTTTAGTTTAATGGAGTTTATTCGAAATGGACTGAATTGGATCAGAGGAGTGTCGACAGATCGTGGTATACAAGGCAGTGTGGATGTGACTCGGCAAGCGGATACATTAACAGTGGACGGATTCAGTGCATTTGAAAAGGAACAGAATCAATTACAGAAATCAGGACCAAGTAAACGGCCATTATGGGTATTTTTAGCCGTTGTGATTGGGTTACCATGGCTAATGTCAAAACTCATCTCTCAGCTACGTCAAAGGAAACTTGAGCAGCAAGAAGCAGCAATTCGTGCTGCAGCATTAAACGGAGAATCGTTGGTAGATCCCAATAGGATAATAGCAAAAAATGGTGCTTCCACGAGTGTACAGTTGCATCCATCTCAGATCCGTAATTTAGAATTCTGTCGAGCGACATATGCATTCGCAGGGGATGCACCAGGTGACCTTTCTTTACAACCAGGAGATATTGTTGCTGTTCTTGCACGATCAGATCCTGTAACTGGAGAAGCAACAGCGTGGTGGAGAGGACGGACTCAAGCAGGAGCAGTAGGAATATTTCCTGGATCATATGTGGAGATTCTACCTCGAAAAGACTCGCATGCCAACACGGATACTGTTCAAAGTAATCCATCGGCTCCATTTTCTACAGAATTTTCTACAACTCTACCTCAAGTCTAGGATATACCTACTCTTGGAGTATTATTTTTATTATTCAATTGTGGCTTGCATGTATTTACAACTGTATTCTGGTAAAATGGGTTACTAAATAAAAGAGTCAGTCTCGTGAAATGATGGATGCCAATTTACTGCACAATATTGTATCTTTTGAATTCTTTGATTAAATCTCTTTTAATGATTGGCATGGAAACAACAGTTGCGTTACTGAGATGTGTAACCTTGAACGCAATATAAGTGATTTTGGAATACAATAAACGAGTTTGACTATTCATTCAAGCCTAATATCTGGTTTCAAAATTGTACAATGTATAACTACCAAAAAGATTCCAGTTTAAAATAGTCTGATTTTGTATTTGGAAGCAGTTGATTTATACTAGAAAAGTATAACGAATACTCAATTCTTCAAGCATCGTTGCAAGATAGTGTTGCATTTTACGTGAATATACGAAATCGATCAACTTTAAAATAGTGTTTATTGAATATGAACAAAAGTGACGATGGATATATTAGAGAAAATATAAGTCCAAGGATGAATCAGAAACGATCAGCCAAGACAACTGCTGCCCTTGAGATCTAGAAAAGGACATCAAAGACTTCAAGCAAGTAATATTATACTAGCAAGACTCAAGACGGACATACTTATGGATACAGACGAACTCATTGATTTTCCAGCAGCACTGTTGGTCATACCGGGTGGCAGACCAGACAAAGGGAGATAAACAGCTCCAGCCACAGTGGTATTTAAACCAAAGCTTTGAACGACCATTCTGCGCTGGTTTGGAGTGGCGGAGGGTGAACACTCGGCTGCAATAGCAGCCATGTTGCCTTTGGAGAGTCCTTGCGGAGCAGGACAACTTGGAAGTGAAGCTGCGAGTACTTGAGGAGATCCAGCAGCCCAACTTGTGGAGCATATACAAGTAACAAAGGCAGACGCAGCAGTATCAGCCGATTGGGTAGTTGGATAGTTGAGGTCAAAGTGGTCAAGACATTGACTGTACTGTTGAACAAGAGTAGTGACGGCTGCTTGACAAGTTAAAGCTTCTTGCTGTGGTGGAGAAGGAATGGATGTGATGGTAGGAACAGTCAAGGAAGTTGTCGTTACAGAAACAGTGGACATTGAATTGTCTAATAGTTTATTGGTTAAACAATTTTATTTCAGTCGCATTCATGTAAAATGGAACGCAAAACAATCTCGTGGAATAATTGTTGCCAATTCCAGATTATTAACAATATTGTACTCTCTAAATAGTGTTTAAAGCACCATTCATATTTGTTTCAATAAAAATCACATTCTTGACACTTTTATTCAAGCATTGACATGGAAACAACTGCTGGATTAGAAACGCGAGCGTATGGGATCAGAATGAAACAATAATAGATTGAATTCAAAACAATCGAACCCAATACTTGGACTTTAATCGATGAATCTGGTCATCTTACAATGTAAGATGATCGCTGTTTGATAAAGAATAACAATTTCTATCAAGACTGCGCAGTAAACATCCAATTATTGCTTATTTCAAAACTATAAACTTTGTGCATAAACAATACATGACTTACAATAAACTCTTCAATAATCCAAAATCGACATTTATCAAAAATTAATCATTTCAAGTTTACCATAAACTAGTGTATTACTATGGACAAAGACAACCTTCAAAAGCCCACTTTGGGCTTGGATTCCACAACTGTTGCAAGCGAATCCACTAGTATTTGCACAACTCCACCATCCATCATCAAGGAACCTGCCATTGCTTCTACTGACGGTCCAACTGCTACATCTACTCCATCAACTCAGAACAATACACTTGCTGCCCAATACAATTCAATGCAGCAACAAACCTTGCTATATCCAAAAACTCCTAGCAATACTCCTAAAGCCATTTCTTTTGCTGACGATACTCTTGATGTATCTGGCATTTCTGAAGATTCTACTGGCGATGACGACAGTTATCTTGAAAATGATCCGTATACTCATTCCACTTCCAGTCATGGCATTACTAAACCCAAAGCCAGACCCATTATCAAATCGCTTGGTAAACCATTATTACAACGACACATCACTCAGTTTGCCTGTCAGCCTGCTGCTCTTCATAGTCCACCATCCCGTAACAATTTCCATGTTTTAATGTCCAGTCCTCCGCTACCCAATTCAAATAACTCATATGCTACTAATAATAGCCCATCTGGATCCGTCCATAACAGAGAAGACAGCAGGAATGATGGCCGTTTTAATACGGCTTTCGATTCAAATGACATTGAACTTTTGCCACTAGAATCTTTTAATACATCTGAAACGGATACCGGAGTTCTTCGCAATGCTGCCATGGTCAACTCTCATATGCTTCTTCAAGGAGGCAGGACCAGTAGCCATTCTTACTATAATAACTTTGGACCTAACCCTCGCTCTAATCCTCGCTCTAATCCCAATCTTAAACCAAATACCGCCAATCCTTTTAAATACTTCAACAGACACAATAATTCTGCTACGGCAGTACCCTACGTCTGTCCTATAGATATATATGATACCGTCGATTCAGGGGCTCTCGAAGTTATTGCTGCCAAGAGATCTAATAACCCCTCCGATTTTCCAAACAACATTCTGCGTCCTCTGTTGTCTTGTGTGGGTAATATGAATCCAGTCAACTACAGCAAAATACGCAGCTCTTACAGACTGCTGTATAGCGAATTTCGAAGAGGCGACTCATCATCAATGGCAGGTTCATCCAGCACTCGATCGTTTATATTGCGTGTTTTTCTATGGATGCTTAATCTGGAAAACTACATTTTGGCTACAGTCAAGTTTTTCAAAAGCAACAGACTGATTATTTTTTTTGTAAGTAGTTTGTGTATTTTGAAATTAAGCGATTAAATATTGTGTTGACCTTTTAGCTCGACTTTGACTATGTTAGATGCTTGTCGACGTACTGGTCGATATAGTCTCTTGCATGCTATACCTGCTTGAGATTGAAACCAATGCTGAGCTAGAAAAAATTGAGATTAGAGGTCGTCAGCCTACTTGGCTTTGGACTGATCGGCCTCAATGGGTGTTTGAAACTGTCATTGTTACCTCTGTATGCAACATGTGCTCATTGATTTTACGACTTTCATTCAGCGACAATCGATACATTGCATTTTTCAGCTTTGGCACATTCTTGGATTTGTTCATCTCTATTCCTTTTCTGATTCTAACCCGTATCCCTGACGGTCGCTTGATCTACGTTCCTTATTTTCTCCGGTCAATTGTCTTAATCCCTCAGCTAAAGAGCGTGCTGCGTCTCCGCATTTACTGGCCGCCAATTAATTTCAGTTCCTATAAAGAAAAGCTCATTATTCTTGTCACTACCATTTTAGTGATTATATTTTTGGGAATGTGTTCGTTCCACTACTTTGAAACCAAGTTTCCAGGCGAATCACCCACTACATCAAATCTTTCTCTTATGCAGACGTTTTACTTTATTGTGATTACAATTTCAACTGTAGGATATGGCGATATTACTCCAAAAACCACTCTAGGAAAGTTTATCATCATTTCCATGATTTTGCTGTCCATTGTGATACTTCCTGGGCTGATTTCAGATGTGCAAGAAAACTTGAAGCTGCAGCTGTCAGATGCAGGCACTTACACTAGGGGTAACAGGGATTTCATTATCATCTGTGGAGCGTTTGATTCTGTTCCCCGTGTTCAAAATGTCATCAGTATGGTTTCAACAAGAAAATCGTCATCATCGACTAAAATTGTATTTTTAGCACGCACAAAGCAAAGTGTGCAAATCAAAGCTTATCTTAATCAATCTTTTTTCCGAAATCGTGTTACCTATCTTCAAGGCAGTGGGCTGAACATGGAGGATTTGGCTCGTGTGCAATTGAAGTATGCAGCTGCAGCGTTTATTTTGGCTGATACGAATGCCGTAAACAAAAAAGAAGAGGATGAGCACAATACACTTCGTGCATGGGCATTTGATGATTACGCACCACATACCCCACTTTATGTCGATAATCTACTTCCTGGTACAGAACGATTGCAAGAAAAAACCACCTCTGCTTCAGTGTGTATTGATGATCTCAAACAGATTTTGATGGCGTATAATTGTCTGTATCGCGGGGTGGGAACATTGACTGTGAATCTACTACGAAAATGTCCGACCTACTCGGATTATGACGAGCCTTGGCGTGCTCAATACGCAGACGGTCTCTCCAATGCAATCCATCAAACGGAGATCAATCCCGTGTTTATTGGCTACCCATTTACTATCATAGCATACTATCTTTTTAAAGAGTTTCAGGTTATTTTAATTGGTGTTGGTATGATTATGCCATCCAGTCAAGGACCAGATGGAGTGCATGTGATGTTGAACCCTGGATTAGATTATATTCTTAATTCAACCGATCGATGCCTATTTATTGCGCAAAGCGAAGAAGATATCCGTGCAATTGGTACGCTTACCAAGGTAGAGTTTAACCGAACACTGACCCAGCGAACATTGGTTTCCTCTGCTTCGCGACATACCTTGTCACGTAGACCAGCATTGGATGGATCCCCTACTTTACCATCTCAAGATGAAATTGTGCTGAGTATGCTGACTCAGGGCTACCCCTTTAGCATGTATAAAGACGATCGTACTCCATTGTGCTGGCTTCTTCGCCATGAACAAAGTCTTATGGATGTTGTTATTACAGATGCAAGCGAACTGGTGTCGCATATTCTGGTTTGCACCTACAGCCTGAGTCTCTTTCGATTTGTTTGCACTCTACGTTCGGCCAATCTTACTGCTAGGGAGCTCAAACCAATTTTGGTTCTTTGTCCCAAAATCCCGACTCCCGAAGAATTCGCGGTATTTTCTCGGTTTCCAGATTTGTTTTTCATGGAAGGTGACGCAAGTCTTCAGCCTGATCTTGAAAGAGGGAATGTGCGTGCATCTGGAAAAGTTGTTATTGTTAATATGCAGCGTATACCCACTGGCGAGTCTCAAAGCAGCACTGAAGATTTTATGGATAGCTCTTCCATCATGGTTGCACATTTGATCTACAACATGTTTCATCGAGTTGGTATGCGCAAGTATGTGGTTATTCATCTTCAAAAGCGAGCCAATATCAAATTTCTTCGTCCTACTGCTCGAAAAAGGCGACAGATACGCAAAACAAGAATTGGCGCTTTACAAAACCATGTTCCATTAGAAAAGGATATGAGGGATGCTTACAATGATTGGATTGATGATGTCTTTTTTGCACCCGTGTTTGCAGCTGGAAGGGTGCTCTCAAATAGCATGATCGAGCCAGTGCTGTTCCAGTCCTATACTAACCCGTTTATACTGGATATCTACAATGCATTTTGTGGAGTGCAATATCTGAAGCAACGGCATGTGCAATCGCAACTGGGCGTAGAGCGGGCTGGACTGTGCTACGTGTGTGTACCCCAAGACTTTATCGGAAAGCCTTTTGGACAATTGTTTGAATATTTTGCTCATGATGCTGGAGTTGTGCCTATTGGATTGTTGAGAGAGGAAATCGATCCAAGTGCCAGTAACAAATTGCCATTTATTGTTACCAATCCGCTGTTTAGCTTACTATTGAAAAAGTCTGACTTGGTTTATGTATTGGCAACACCAAGGCAGGTTGTGTGATTCCTACACCTTGCATTCATTTCATCCTTGCAATGATTAGTTTTTTAATGTAGTTGCCTATTTTAAGCTGGTTTTAAATAAGTTGATTTAATGTAGCATGTTTTTATGACTATGAAATGTTATATACAGAATATTGATAGTATATATAATGTGTTTGTGGGATGGAGTACATGGTATGCTAGATGAAACTCTTGTGCTTGAACAGATTGCTGTCGTGTAGATTCCAAATCTCCAAGTGCGATTTAATATGAATGTCTTGATTTGCTCAGTTTAGATCACTGTTGTGGTGACTCTTGACCTTGTCACAACTAGATCGTGTAATATGCTGCTGAATGGACGACTGCTTGACGTGAATGAAAAAATACATGATATTCTGTCAACATAAACCAGATTGGAGCGTTGTTGAGTAGCACTTGTGAGCCAGACTCGACTACCGATCTTGATAATGTGTGCTAGAATATGTAAATTGCCGGTGATGAGGTGGGGGAAGTATATGATCATGCGTTGTATTATTTGCATTGGCAGAGTGACTGTTTACTATATGGGATTGGGTTGATGGAGCAGCGACAGGTGAATTTGTATTGTTTTTATAGGCAAATGGAGACAAGAGTCCGCCATAACTAGGACCTGCGTGTCCAAATGGAGAATGGTATCCTTGTGAAGATTCAATGCTTGCCACTACGCTTAAACGTGACATGTCATCTATTGTGTAGCAGGATATGGTACTATGTCTATGTGCAGCTTTGCCAGTACACGATGAGTTGATGATTTTGCTATTAGATTTGTGCATCGACCTATGAGTTGCCTGGCTGATTAATTTACTTATTTCAGACGAGTTGTTTGTTTCAAATGTAGTATTGATACGATCTACATGATTGTATCCTTCCAACTCAATTGCTTTAGATGCCAAAGCAGTCATTCTCGTAGACGTGTGTTTGCTTGTGGACTCCATAAGAGTGTAATCAAAGTCCTATTCGTAATAAACGTGAGTTTAGATCATCTCGGTATAAACACCACAATCCACTCATTATAAATGTATTGAGGCTTACGGTAAAACTCTGAAACACTAATGGAGTTTTATATCGATCAGAACATATCCGCTTTCGATTGACAAATTTCACCAAATCATTCACATCTGCGTCTGTCTTGAAATTTATCAGGGACATATCGGGCACAAATACCGGTTTAGCAGTCTTGTTGTCGATCATGAGCCAATTGATACCATTAAAAAGCAAATGGTTTTGAAGTAGAGAAAATCCTTTGGTCTCATATCCTAGCCGTTCACGTGGATTTAATTGTAAAAATCCAGTTATGACTGATTTGACAAGATCGGTGACTATTCCACTACCAGGTGGAAGGATTGGAAATTTAAACTTGGCACGTCTAATCAGCTCACGCCGGATTTTGGATCGAAAGGGTCTTTCACCACATACCATCTCAAACATGATGACTCCAAGTGACCACCAGTCAACCGATGAATGATATCCCATTCCGCTGATCATTTCTGGTGCCATGTCTGTTGTATTTGCCATTGAGCTAGGTTAGCAATTGCTCAAATAAAGTGTCTATTTTGATTTAACAATTAAACTTGCATGGTTCAGTTCCAGCTACATATCTTAACGACTTTCCATCAATCTGTCTGATTGCTATATTAAAATCTGATAGGTGTGCATGACCCGCCGAATCTAAAAGAATATTCTATAATTGATTTTCATAGAACACATGCATTAGATTGTCAATTCATGACTGATGCACCAATGAAAATAGTAAAACCACTTGCATCTGGTTTGATATCTCGGTGAATAATATTGTGAGAATGCAAATATTTTAATGCACACGATATTTCTGCAATCAAGAATCTTGTTTCCTCCTACACCATTCAAAAACATTCATTTGAGCTGTTAGTCCATATCTTTACCAAATGGTTTTGATCATAATTTAAGCCAATACCTGATTCCACAATCGTGATTTAATATGGTATCGTAAATCACCTCCACTAATAAAGTCTAATACCATGTACATAAACTCTTCGTCTTGAAACGAATACCGCAAGCCGCATATCAATGCATGTCGAATTTCTTCCAGTATGTTTCGCTCTTGGACAACATGTTGTATTGCCTTTTCATCAAACGCCTTCTTTTTTTGAGTGTATTTGAGTGCAAATAGATGATTATCCGTCTTTCGTTTGATAACACACACCTATTATAAGAATATCATTCCATATAATTAGTTGATGGATTAGTTTTTTTATTACTGTAAATACAAGTCACACATGTACATCAATTTAAAGCACATGTAACAATCAGACAATGCAATTGAATACATGTAGCTATGCATTAAGGGAATGTGAGAGGATATTGATTTGCAATGCATTATTTTGGTCAGTATCTATGCAAGCCAATTTCCCATAAGAAATGATATAGAACAATACACTTATTCAAATCTCAGTGACATCTACCTTTCCAAAAGCTCCTTTTCCTAGTACTTCGCATATATAAAAGTGGTCGATCGAGACTGGTTTGTGTGAGTGGGCAACAGTAGATGAAACTCCGCATCCCATGATATAGTTGATATAAAGTTGCTTTTAATGCTTTGGCTAATCAAAAGGTGACGATGGCTTGGTAATATAGATTGGATGAATACAGCTGCGGACTATTATAAGCTTTTAAAAGTCGATACAGGTATAGATTCAAATATTGTAAATCGTGTTTTGTGTACGCGTCGAAAATCGAGCTTAATCCTCAAACGTAATATATAGCGATTCCTCAACGATTGATGTAATTGACCAGTTTTTAGTCATGGTGTATTGTATCTAGCCAAATATGCGTATACTCTGTTTTTTATTATAGTGAATTTCAGACTACACCATTCATTTTTCTTGTGTTTATTTCTTGGTTGGAATTTTGTCAACAATAATTTAATTACAGCTGCATTCATACAAGATACTTGTATTTATCCGGCAGTGACTTTTGGTTTCTTTGGAATAAACAGTTGTTAAATAATCACTGCGCTTTTCTACTAGACATTTTAATTCTTTCAGATGCACAAAGTATAGCTTTGGACTGAAATTATCCTCACTCGACATGGTCATGGATTTTACGTTTGACAAGTTTGAATCAGACTCATTCATCGAGATGCAGATATTGGGTTTGTTTTCAGAAAACAAAAATTGCACATTTCAGTCATGCAGTTGTTTCCATGCCAATCATCAGGAGAACAACCCAAAAACAGTATTATCCAGTAAACTGTTGCTCATCAAACACGAGACTGACTTGTGCGCTGACATTCTTATTTAGTATTACATTTTACGTGAATACAAACTCTATCAATACAAACTTATTCCATGAACAATAATAAAATCCTGTCAAGTGCAGATTTAATCCAAAACATTCGTCTAAAGCCGTATGTGTTTATGAAACTTCAACAATATCAATTTGTATGGCAGATGACAAAAGCAATGCTTTGGAGCAACTGGATGGTTTCAAGCGATGAATTTGGCCGAGAATAAAATTGGACACAGCTAGAAATACTTTACTAAAACTTGTTCTAGTACTTGTGCAGACAGCATGTTGATCCAAACGACTAGGAAACCATTCGGTTTATCCATTCATACATGGAAACACTCAATAACACCTTTTAGTACTATGAATGCATTGCTGCAAGCAGACCTCCGCACGACTCAACCCGAGAGTGCATTGACAGTACATCAGCGAGTCAAGGTAATCATGATTTACACTCGTACCAATGCATAAAATAGTACTTATTATAGCGATCCATCAATCGTTATTCGCTTAGGAAAGAATCAGTAAAATTGATGCCGAGCTACTCAAAAACCCACTCAAGGACACCTTTAATCGACAACACACTTATTTACGTATCTCTCTAACAGAGCGATGCAACCTGCGATGCACTTATTGCATGCCCAGTGAAGGTGTTTCCCTTTCTCCTGACAATGCGCTGCTGACTACTTCAGAAATCATCAAACTAGCAACGCTGTTTGTCGAGCAAGGTGTTACCAAAATTCGTCTAACTGGCGGAGAACCGACCGTGCGCAAAGATCTCTTGGATATAGTTGGTAATGTCATGTATAATTTATGTAATGTTACCAATCAACAACTAAAATTCATCGATGCGTTATAGCTGGTCTTAATACACTCAAATCCAAAGGGCTAAAATCAATCGGCATGACAACAAATGGAATCGCACTCAAAAAGAAACTTCCTGGTTTGTTGGAAAATGGTTTGGATCAACTTAATATCAGTCTGGATACTCTCAGATCTGATCGGTTTGAAGAAATGACTCGTCGTAAAGGTATTTACTGAATGCATTCAACGCATCATGGCTATGGTATCTTCAAATCCCTCGTTATTCATTTGCCATGTACAATAGGTATGAAAGTGGTTTTGGATGCAATCAAAACAGCTGCAAGTATGCCTTTTCAAGCCGTAAAAATCAACTCTGTCATTGTAAGAAATACAAATGATGACGAGGTTGCTGATTTTGTACAATTGACTCAAGATCTGCCAATCTATGTGCGATTCATTGAATATATGCCTTTTGGAGGTATGGTTATTTAAGCGTAATCAGTATCCATGTTCTAGTGTCTAATTTACGATTGCCAATAGGAAACAAGTGGGACGAAAAAAAGTTTATTTCTTATAAAGAACTACTGTCGATTCTTGGCACCAAGTTTAGTGGTATCACCAAGTTGGTAGATGACCCAAATGATACATCAAAGGTATATTATATATTTGTAATGTCTGTCTTGAGTTGGACTACGCTTTTTGACACTTGCATCTTTATGTTGTCGACAGGCTTTCCAAGTTGATGATTTTCACGGCAAGTTTGGATTTATTACATCAATGAGCGACCACTTTTGTGGAACGTGCAACCGATTTCGATTGCTTGCTGATGGAAATATGAAGGTCTGTCTTTTTGGCAACTCGGAGATCAACTTGCGCGATGCTCTCCGCCGTGGTGCATCCAATGACGAGCTGATGCAAATGGTCGGAATGGCAAGTATGTAAACTAATTATGCTTGTGATGAATAAGATTGGAAAATGCCTTGAACATATTTTGGACAGAAAGTATATTTGTAGTTGACCCATTTTAAATGTGTTGCTGCTTTACCATTCTGATAGTCCATCGTAAAAAAAAGCAACATGCAGGTATGCTTGAGCTATCTCGACTTCCAAACCGACCTATGATTCTTATTGGAGGATGAATTTCCTCGACCCAGCACAGGTGAGATTTCACTTTTAGTGATCTCCAGGTGCTGTATTTCCATTTCAATAGTTTGAATTTGTTATTAAAATAGAAATTTACCTGCATGCATATTTAGACTTTGACAACAGCCATGTCAGGTCCAAACTAATGGCAATTAGTGCTGCTGGGTTGAAAAAAACGCCTGTGTATCAATCTAGATGGATTTTTTCACACAAGTCTATGTCTGATTCACATTATTTGCGACCTATCCGACCTGCCAGCTGCTACACATCGCATCGTTTCAACTCTACATTTTCAAAGAATAACACTTCCAGCCAAGCAAAACTGACTCACGTCAACCAAGACGGCCGTGCAACTATGGTAGATATATCATCAAAAATGGAAACAAGTCGAATTGCAATGGCTTCTGCTCGTGTTCTTGTTGGGAAAGTTGCCTTTGAACTTGTTCGCGACAACAAACTATCAAAGGGTGATGTTCTTACTGTTGCGCAGATTGCAGGTATTCAAGCTGCAAAGCAAACAGGAACATTGATCCCATTATGCCATCCACTTACGCTAACCCAAATCAAAGTGGAGTTGAGTCTGTGTGATGCTACCCATGCTGTGCATATACGATCAATGGTGGTTTGCAGTGGAAAAACAGGCGTTGAAATGGAGGCTATTGTTGCTGTTTCGGTTGCTGCCTGCACGGTATATGATATGTGCAAAGCAGTGAATAAGGGGATTGTTATAACAGATGTGCAGTTGGAGTCCAAACGTGGCGGAAAAAGTGGTGACTACAGTCGAAATGGAGACCAATAAGTTTGGAGTATATGAATAAACTAAATCTGATGGATATGATTCGAGGCATTTTAATAGATGAATTTAATTTATTGGGTATTAGTTGTAACACACTTGGGCAGTTGATAGAATTTGGTTGGACCGAGGTCTAATGCAGATACGTTTTTGAGTGCAAATGCATGTCCGCGTACTCCCATATTGTCTGTAGAGTTTAAATTGTTACGTTGCACCTCCATGTTGATGATATCCATGATGCATTTGTCTAGATTTTTTAAATCGAGCGACTCCAAATAGCGATTTGGGTAGGGATGGACTATGGGTGGCAAAGTTATAGGTTCTATTTGTTCGTGCCATTTCAACACACTTGTTTTTGATTCAGTTGCTAGTAAAAGCTGTGTTTCTGGCATTACATCTTGAATAGATCTATCAACCAATTCTTGTGCAGAGCCACCAGAGAAATTCCAATCCACCATTGTAATATTTTGGACCAATGCCATATTTTTCTCCTCCAACTGCTTAATCATTTCTGAAAATTGCACTTGCTGCTGTTTTGTTTTCACAAGATGTTGCTTTAGTCGCCGATTCAATCTTTCCTCGGCCATAACTGATTCTGGTAATCTATCCAACTGGTGCTGACTTGCTACACCTTCAACGGCATTGATAATTCTTTCGGCGCGTTTGGCGGTATTAACAATGCTTGATTCGTGTCGAATATACAACTCCTGTATTTCGTTATTGTGTTGCTGAGTAGCGGCTTGAGCTTGAAGCTTGATGGTTGTGATTTCTTCATTAAGAATCTCCTCGGTAGATTGAAGCTGAAAATCAGTTAACTCGATGATTCTAAGTCTGGTAAGTTCAATATCTTTTTTGACATTGTCTATAACAGTCTTGAGCTCTATAAAATCAAGTTTAAAGTTTAGCAACACAGCACATTCAATCTGAGCGTGTTTTCATGTACAATTCCATTTTAGAATAGTATCCATGTATGAAAACGTTGAAATTACTCAACTCTCTATTGTATCCATTTGAAAAATAATGACAGGATCCAGATCAATATTAAGGCCACGTCGAAACTCATCTTGTTGATCCTCCATTTTCTTGTATTTAGCATCCAGATTGTCAACATCATTGACTAGACTCTCTGTTTTAATATGGTTTTCTTTCTCGGCTTTATGGAAGGATTCTCTGTTTATTCTGTATTTCTCCTTTCTAATGTTTTTACAAAAAGCGTTTAGCAATCATGGAAGCAATGGATACATTTTAGTATAAAAGTTTCGAGTCAATTGATTGTTTGGCTTACGCTTTAGTGTATTCGGTCAGATAATGCTGTACAGCAAACTTGTGCGACTCGCACCTACAAAAACCTCGCAGTCCATATTAGATTCGAATACAGCATGTACTAAACACACCTACACGTCATGATCACAGTGTACAATGCGAAGCCTAGTATCTATAGTAGATAACGTCTAGCACTCACATTACAAGTGTTAAAAGCGAAGATGTTTCAACTTTGGAACAAGGAGTTTTGAGATCCCCTCGAGAGCTTTCCCTTTTACTACTTTTGGATCGTTTGGATTCCTTTCCATTTTTGGTGCTCTTGGCAGTTTTAGGACTCTTTTTAATCTTTTTAGGTGGCATTACGATGAGGTGGAAACTTTCGTGTTGTGACGTCGAGTTTAAAAAACTCGCATGTCAAGATTAAATGTAGTGGTATCATAATGTTCACTTTTATCACGTATAGGTGCATAGTTTATAAAATTGGGATAAGCCTGTCATTAATGTATTTTAGTAGGCTCTTTTCCAGACATCATTTTGCCAATCTTTTCTCCAGCATATTTAATAGATCGAGATACACCTGCTGTCAACACTCCCTTGATGGATTGTGTCAGTGCCGGTATTGCAACCACATCTGCGAGCGCTAAAAACAAATACGATTCCCAATATTAACTTTTGCCAATAAACTGATAGTGGTTTTTTGCAGCATCGCAAAACCCAGCCGTTTAAAAGCCAATGGATGTTACCTTTTTCAACATAGAGAGTGAGCTCGGGTGATTGCACAATAGATTGCGATAGTGCTGGCTCAGTCATATCCGTGTTTAGCTTTCCACTTCGAGATAAATACCACAAATGATGGTACTTGATTATGCTATACAACTTTTTTGGAAGTTGACGAATCATGCTACCGCACATTACAATGTTATCCTCTTGCTAAAATGTGTAAATCAACGCTCATGATTAAAATAGGGTCATGTAGAAATATGAAAACAAACCATGGTTAACATTGCTCAAGCGGGAATAGCTTACCTGAAGAGTTCCATCGAATAGATAGTTTACATTGGGAATTTCTTCTATGATGGGTTTATATTTATCTCGAAATGCATCCATTTGAGTATATACGATGTTGTAGATTTTATATGGATTTTCACCAAATTTCATTCGAAAGTCGCCTTGAATCCAAAGCCGATGATTCAAAAAGGTTCAAGATTAACAGTCTGTAATAATATAGATCAGATTGAACAGTGTGATGTAGTATTGATCCAACAAACCTTGGTATGATAACCCAGCGATTTTTAAAAACAGATCCTCTTCAGTGAACTGATGTGGTAGCATGAGCAAGGATATCCGTACTGCATTCAACAGATTTGTTTGAGATGCAAGACGAACGCGAGCATCATCCCTCAAGATCATAGTCTAACCATTGTACATTGAAAAGTTAAATAATGATCCAATGACTAGTATTTGAATGCATGTGATGGGTTGATATGAGATACGTACTGGTTTGTGCATTCTGCCAGCGATATACATTGTATCCCATTCGTTTAAATCGTTGATCAGTCGATCTAATCTAACAACGCCATACTTGATTCTCTAATTGTATTTTAAATAGCAATGTTGGTATCAAACACCGAATGCATTTCAAATTCATGCAAGATCGACCACCTCCAAAAGCTCTAGCTCACCGCTCCTTCCACCACAACATCTGGATTGTAAAATAAGCCAGCTCCAAACGAGTCCTGTATTTTGGCAATAGAACCACTGCCAAGTCCAGCAATCGACGAGTAATGATGAGGGTTTTGCTTGATGTTGAGAGAATGCCAATGCTCTGAATGAACCACACCAAAAATAAAATCCACCATAGGCTGAAATCACCCACGAGTTGACATGGAAGGAATGCGATAGTTAGAACAGTATCGATGCATTCATACCGACAAGGCTTGATTGGCTCATTAATCCGTTTGTAATGAACTCATAAATCTACCTTTTCATTGAAGCTTGAAGCCTTGTTTTCATTCACAGAATCCAATGACGAATGAATAGCATCGTAGCCTTTTTGCTGGAACACACCCGATCCATAAGCCAAAGCAAATCTAACCGGTGCTCGAAAGCTACTAACAATACTTTCCAATTTATCATGTACACTGGATGCAGATGAGCTTTGATCTTGCAAACTGGATGTATTTTGTAGAGTGTGTGGATTCGTACTGAGCTGTCGTGATCCAGTAACGAATGCTGATACTAAACCGATGCATGCATTCGTAGAATAAAATGGCTTGGATAAAGCAACTGCTGCAGATTGACGAGTAACAAGTGATAGTACCGTCATGTTGAGTGGTTTACTGCTGTATTCACGTAGATAAAATACGAAATAAGGATGCCAAAATAGTTTCATAAAATGTGGGCCAATTTTCATCAATTACAGCCGTATTTGCGTAAAACACTTTTTTATCTTGATTGTCTTGGAAGAAACAATGACTAAATACTTGTTGGCAATGGATTGCTTTTTCATAGTTTAATAATCAAATACGGCTGCGTTTTACTTTAAAAAACAGACTGCACATCTCAATATAACTGTTGTTTTCATGCCAATCACTAATGTTTGAGTTGAAAGAATGTGGAATGTAAACATTCGCTTTGTAGTTTGTAAATGACCACAAAAATCAGTCAATTCTTCATTTCAAAAAGTATTGTATTGCTCAAAGATTGACTCGGCCATGCCATGAGACTGGCCGCTTATCATGTTTTTAGGGACCCTTATTAGTGTTTTATTTTGCGTGAATACGGTTGTAATAATATTCCGACACTTATCTCACCAGCAATATAAAACATGGATAAATAGATGAATAGTATTTCTTTCAAAGCACACATTTGAAGATAAATTCATAAATCAAGATGACATGTAAGAAGATACGATTCCACGCTTACTCAACACAGGGTAATCACCAAAGTCTTTACTGCCATTTCGTCGTGAGGTAGCGGATCGTAGAATCAACATTGGGTCATTTCTTCCTCTACGCAAACGACTCCCAGTCTTGCGAACAGTCCGACTTATTCCACCATTATTGATATACTCGTTATCACTGGTAGCAGAGTCATATTGTCTTGATGCTGTATAGATGGAAAGTCTAGAGTCAGCCTTACGAGCCAATGGTTTAGTGGTCACCGCGTTCACCGCGTTCATTTCTAAAGGCTTAGATACCACACTAGACGTCAAGTGGACTGTGGGGGTATCATAGCCACATAGTGTAGCATCATCGCTTACTATCCTTACTTTGTTTTCGCATCCATCCTGACCACTGCTGCCAACTTTCAATTCATCGTCATCGCTATCTGTATCACAATTGTATGCGCCTGAAAATGAAATGAATGCAGTGGACTGTTCTATATTACAGTCGGTTGTTCCATACACATTGGCATCATGGCTAAAGACCTTTGTTTCTGATCCAGGAAAAAGATTCAATGGACTATTGGCGTATGTCGATGCTCTACGCTTTATATCATCACCAGGAGGAATCGAGTTGACCAATGACGAGCGACGAGCAGTAATAAGTGGAGGTACACTACTTTTAAAAGAACGCGGCGTATCACCAGCATTCACCCCACTTTCAAAATCCGTTTCGAAATCGGAATTCCAATTCATCATGTCTGAATTTAAATGTGTTTTGACAGCTGTGGCTTGTGTTGTACCATGTCGGTGAGTGCTGCTCTTGTTGAGTGCACATCCAGTTTGTCCAAGACTGGATGCAGGCTTTCTCTCAATAGGTGTAACCAATGAAAGGTGTGATTTTTTCGCCATAGGTCGAGTAATAAAACTTGGAGGTGTTAGGGGTGCAGTAGCCATCAGATCGGGTTCTGATGATTGTACCGATGCAAGATATCCTGCGTCTGAACTTTGATTCAGCCATGATTCTGTCGGTGATGTTCGCTTTGGTGTTTGAAGGATAGGTTTGGATGCAATTTTCGACGGTCGTTGCAAACGTGTCGTTGCAGTGTTGAGTACAGAGGAGTTTATGGATGATGCTGACTGGGTATGAGAAATCGTTTGTCGAGGGTTTGTTATGGATAATGGCACAGTCCCGATTTGTTGTTGGATAAGTTGAGTCAGTGCGGCAAATGCGTCACTGTTGATAAATGGAATGACTTGAGTCATGTCTGTAGATTGATGGGCAGGTGTCAAAGTAGGTTCGGCAAGCGAGACTTGCAATAATGTATTCAGTTGTGTTCTTGTATCTGCATTCATTTGTGGAATAGAAGTTGTGGTTTGCGAGGTAGAGGCTGTATTTGAACATGTAGGATTCGTATCCGCGTGAATAGGAATACCAGCTGATTTTGACAATTGAATCGTAGCACTCATCCACAATGCAACCAGGTCCGCTTGAGACATGGCTGGTAATAGTTCAGTAATAGGCATTGCTAAATCCATATTTGGCAATTTGGACGCGACCGGTGCAGGAATAGGTTCATTTCCAGAACTGCTGTGAAACTGTCTGGGACGCTTGGTAATAAAACTTGTCGAAGCATCGAGAGCAAGACTTTTGCGTTTTTTAGTTCTTGCCATACCAAACATCGAGTCTGTATTGATTGTAGACTTGTTGAAAACAATTGCATCCCAATAGTACTTGATTTGTCCAATACAGACAAGATCATTCCATCCAGTTCGAATAAGCGTATCTGGACATTGCGGAAGCAGTTGTGCTGTGGCATACTTGAATGCAGGACCAAACACTTGTGCTCCAGATATAACCAGTTGGTTTTCAGCTAGACGGAGAGCGCGGAAGGGTTGAAGATAAAACTCCTATCATTATTGTTCATTGCAGTCATTACAGTTGTATTTCAAAGGTAAGCAAATATGTTGCTAGTCAAACAATGCATCAGAGAATGCCGTCAGCATATACAATAAACAAGATTACCTTGATTTTATTGGCAGTTTTGCCACGATGTACTAGATTTTTGTATCGATATTTGATCTGGCTGTACGTTCGTGCTGGGAGATAGTGCGCGCGAATAGAGGGCCAGTCGTTGAATCCGTAGTGCAAAAGACCATAAAGCAACAAAGCATCTTCTTCGGGTGAAAATCCAACCAAATGCGATCGATTGACTAAACAAAAAATGGGTCATTATCAATAAAAACAAGGTTAGACACAGCATGCTTCAAATGGCATTGTTCAGCAACGTTGCAAGTATGTATACCTCGAACAATGTTTGGTTTGAGCTCTTCGTCGAATCCACTATCAAACTTTTCCAAAAGTTTCGACACGTTTTCTGGCAAGACAGCAGCTCTGACACTCTTGATTTTGGAATTACCTTTGAATCCTCCAGATCCCAAAAACTCTTTTTTGATCTTCAACTGTACTGCCCATTCATAATTTTCAGCAAACTCTGTTGCTTCCAATGAAAGATGATCAAAGGAATGCGACAGCACATGTGCAACCTTGTCCGCTCCATTGAAATTAAACAGAGTGTGACTCCCATACCTCGCGATAGCATTTTCTCTTGCCACAGTATGGTTCAGCAATTGAGCCTCCCAGAACTGACATTCACGAGATGGATTACCTTTAAGTTGACGTTCGATACAATATGATTGGACACAGAGTTGAAAATTTTGTGCAAGTTGAAGTTGAATTTGTTGGATTTGGTCTACGCTGAATATGTTGTTAGAACCATTGATCCAATCTGGAGAGTCCAATGTAAAGTCGCTGGATTGAACAGAGTGATGTGAGAAATGACTCATTTCTACCGTTTCTTTGTATAGATCTTCTACTTCATCACGAGTGATGAACAAATCGCTTTCGTCGGCATTACTTGCTAGAAAATCGTCATCAGATTGTACATTCATGGGAGTAGTTGGGTCTCCACACATGGGATGAATGCTGTGATGATTTGTAATGCAGGGCGGTTTAGAAGAAATTGTGTCAAATGTATTACAAGACACTTTTCGCAGGGGATAGACTTTACTCCTGGACACACGTTGATCGGGTTTAATCTGGTTGTGTGACTGTAAACCTGGCATGACTAAACCCCCCGAGTTTTTTGATGGAATTGGCGGTGCGGTTGTTGTGAGCAATGACTTTGATGGTTTGCTATACAAAGATTTATGCTTGAAAGTTGATTTTTCAGCAGTGTTTGTAGTGTTGCCGATTGATGTATAAAAAGGCGCAGTCGATACATTTGAGTCGGCAGGGAGAGAAGCAACACTATTGTCGGGAAAAACGCCAGATAAAGACCGATACAATTGCATCATATCTGGAGTCAGGGCGTCCAAAGGAATTGGACATGGATCGGCCATACTTGACAAATCCATTTCAGAATGTGCCCAAAAGTCTTTTCCAAACAAATCATGCAGCATCTGATTGTTTTGCTCTTCTTGTGATATGTTTACTGGAAGCAAGGGTTGTTCCGACTGAGATTGCGTTACAATTGGTTGATAAATCTGACCCATAAAGCAATCATTGGCAAGTTTAGGAACAGAGTCCAATGCTGTCTGTGAGAGATGATCATTAAAGATGAGCGAATTCAGTGTCTGGTCGAGTGAATCCAAGTCATGTTGCGGTTGAATTAGACTTGAGGGTTTGATGGGATTACTGATGCAAGTGTTTTCGTGTAGTTGGTCCTTGGCAAGTGACATGTCGACATCGACATCCCAGTTGATAAGGTCAAACAAATCTCCATCCAAGTGAGAACTGTTTATACGCCTTTCTTGAGCAGGAATGGGTTGCTGGTGAGTAGACATGGTGTTGGTGAATGCACTACCAGTGTTGATATCAGAACCCAACTGGTTTAACATTGACAATGTAGGATTATAATTCTGAATATTGGAATTTTTCAAAGTGTTGTCAAGGTCGGAAGATACTAATGTTTGAGATGGATGATCGCCAGTATCTACTTTGGACGTATGAAAAGTGATGGCAGAATCATCAGCAAACAGGTCTTCCAATGTGAATACATTGTCATTAAATACAGTAAGAGGTTTAGTGCAAGTGTTGATATCATTGGTCTGGTTATCAGTGGAATTTTGAACAGTATTAAACATGGCATCCAATAGATTAGCCTCGCTACTAAGCAAAGGTTGACATTCTGAAGTCAAATAATCAGATGTCGAGTTTGTCCAGTTAGTAAGCGAAGCGGGAGGTTTTGTAACAAACGAGAATTCGGACAGATTTGGTGGCATTGAAAGAGCAGATTGAAGTGCTTCCAAAGACTGAAAGAACTGGGTTTCGTTTGAGATGGAATCTACAGGAACAGCAGTATGATTAATAGTAGATTCAGGACAATCAAGTCGTGTCTGCTTCATCTTGCTCAGTAAAGTGGGTTCGGAAGCAGCAGCATGAATACGAGTGACTTTTGCTGCTTTTCGAGATTTTTTAGTATTGACTTTGGCAGACTGCAACTTGGCCTGTGAGGAGGAATGCACGGCAGCAATGTTACTGCAGGAAGGAGTTGGAAGAGAACAACTTGGAGATGAACCCCGACGTATTGAAGAGCACTTTTGAGGACATTCAGGAAACACATTGGTAGCAACACCGAGGTGAGGACGGTAAGACTTTGCTCTAGTCGTTACAGTAGTGGTGATGGAATGAGCAACAGGGGAACTAGCCTGAATAGTTTTGAGGGGTGGTCGCATGGGTTGTGGTTGAAGTGATGGAGTCATTCCTTGTTTAGCATGTCTAGATTTGACAGTTCTCATGGTATTCATTGTCATGGATTGAATAACGGGAGTTTTTAAACTGCTCGTAATTGGTGTTTGAACGAGAGCAACAGGAGTTTGCGACTTGCGACTCTTATCCGGTCTTTTAACAACAGTCGATGTGGTTCCACTGCTGTTCTTGTTGATGGTGTTGATTGAACTGTTGATGGTTTGAGCAATAGTGTGGTTCAATGTGTTCATGGCTAAACTTGTCCGACTGACGGGCGAGCGGATGGTATGGTTCTGATTATCATATAGATTGAATACACTCTTCCAAGGATTCGCATCTGTAGCAATACTGCCATTGGCTCTCAGTCGAAGTAAATCATCCACTGTAGTAACTCCTAAAGACTCTAGATGCTTATGTCTTGCCTCGCATTGAGCAGGAGATCGATGACTGCCTAAACAATTGGAAATGGGCAACCATTTCCCAGCATGAGTTTGTACAGCATCTAGTAATAAGTTGTCTTGAAGAGGAGTCCAGCCGCCAGAAACAACACTAGTAGAAGCATTCATTGCAGAAACTTCAAGAGTAGATCCAGTATGATTTGATATCCGAGTACGCCGAGAGTTCCGCATGCTTGAATTGCACTGGTCAAGATAATTTATAAAAAATACTAAACCTTAATGTCCGAAGTTGTCAACTTGTAATTCTTTTTTGGTTAATAATTCGTCCTGATCGACCCTGATATAAAAACTGTACTTTCAGACTATTCACTCAACTCTGTAAACCATTCAACCGTCTGTTTTACCCTTTAAAAAGCTTAGTCATACAAAAAATAGCTTTATTTCAATTGTCAATCGATAGAAATTGCATAGAATTACATCTGTCTGTTTAGTGAAGAAACAGAAAGCAAGTTTTCAAAGAAAACAGTTAAGCACGCTCAACACGGAACTGGTTGATTGTAGCACCGGAAAAGTCGACACCACCATCAGAAGTAAAGCGAAGTGCAATGGAAAACTCTTTTGATGGAGCAGTGAAGGGGAACGATCCAGTAACAGTGACATTGTTACCCGACACACCAGGGAAGACAGTCTTTTGGTCAGAAGACTTGGAAGAAAGCAATGGAGTAACCTTACCATCTGATCCCTTGACATCCAAGTAGAGGAAATCAAAATCGGGCTCAGAATCCAGATTCACATCCAACTTGACAACAAGCTTCTCACCAGCAGTAGCAGTAAAGAACACATCAATGGCGGAATCAACATTTTCAACGTATCGGATGCCGTTACCAATAATGAATTTACCATTCTTGCCCTTATTCCATCCATTGGCAGTAGAGGTCTGGTCAGTGTTGTACAGACCAACATTCTTGGTAAAGGAAGTAAACTCGAACGCGGGTCCAGTGGTAATGTCATATCTCTGGCTCGAAGAAGGCAAAAGGCGAACGAAACGGTTGGTCTTTAGCACTTGCTTGCCCTTGGTGGTACCAATAATTCGAACGGCTCTGTTTCCAAGATCGGCATGAGCACTGCTGCCAGCAAAGATGTCAACATCAATTGTCTTTGCGGTGGCAGGGACGTCCTGGTTTTTGTAAAGAGTCTTTCCATCAGTGGAGGAAAAGGTAAGCTTTTCAATACCAGAGACTTCGGCATGAATGACAAGGGAGTCAGGGCTGGATTCATAGGACAATGGCTCAGAAACAAAGTGGAGTTTGTTCTGGCCAGTCTTTTCACCAATGCGGACAAGGTTGTCAGCAATACGATCGTACTGAGTGTTGGTTGTGGAGTTGGGCTGCAGATCGGACCAACGAGCACGCACAACAATATCTGTCTTGATACCGAGATCTTCAATCAATTGGCCGTTGTATTTACCGTTACGGACAGATTGACGAATACCAACGGAAAGACGGTTCATGTATTTTCCGGAAGTGGGCTTCCAGGTGAGCTCGTTAGTGAAGGGGAACTGTTTAAAGTCAAAGGGATCCATGAGCATCAACGCAGGGTCAACGTCCAGAATATTGGCACCACCACCACCAGTGTTTCCATCCTCACCGAAAATGGTACCAGCATCATAGTTTTGGACATTGGCAGAGAACAATTCACAAGCAGAGAAGCAGTTTCCATCAGTGAAAACACCCATGGGGCGAACGTAAGCCTGACCATAGGTGTTTGTGGCCTCGGCAGTGTCAAAGTCACCAATCTTGGTATAACGAGATCCAGCTGGAGTCTCGCTCCAAACCTGGGCCCAGATGTCGGAAGGATCCTTTCCTTCAACAAAGATGTTGTGGGTAACATTGTTCATCAAGTAGCGAGCACCGAATGGCTCGAAATCAGGCTTGAACAGCTGGGGAAGCATGTCAGCAAAGGTAATGTAACCACCTGGGTTGCTACGGATCTCGAACACAACCGACTTGGTATCCTTCAACTCCTTGGAAAGCAGAGATCGGATGATGCGAATAGCGGGATCGATAGACTCGGCATCGGTAATGGGATCGGTTGGCTCAAAATCATCAAGCTTGATGACACCCATGTTCTTGGTCTGTGGCTTGTAAATGGCCCAGGAAACCTTGGTAACGCCAGTGGGGGTGAAAGTAACCTTTGGAGATTCAGCTCCAATAATAGCTTGGTGCATCTTCTTCTCCTCAAGATCTTGGTGAGCACGAGCGCGGGGGTGCTTAAGATCCTTGATGACTTCAAACATGCGAGACTGAGTAGTGGCACCGGACTTGGAAGCACGGAGACTTGTGCTCTTGGGAGGAGCTGGAGTGTCTGGCAAAGTGGTGTTGGTCAGGTTCTTGTACATATTGGAAGACAGAGCCCAGCATGCATTGGAGTGGCCAGTGACGTATGGAACATCGACAGTGTACTTGTGGTTATAGTGCTTGCGAGACTTGAAGCTAAGCTTGATAGAATCAACACTTGGGAGTCGGTTAACAGAGCCATAAATAGAACCAATGTACTCGAGAGCAGTACGCTGACCACCAAAATCATTGGCACCGTCACCAGATTTGAATTGGTTCTCCTTGAACCATTCGACAAAAGTCTTGCCATTGATACCCACGAGTTCATCACCAAGCTCAATCTTGGAGTACTCCTTGCCCACTAGAGCCAAAATTTCGGGAACTTTAGTGATGCCAGATACAAGAACGGTGGGCTTCTTGGCAATGTCCTTGTCACCCTCAACCAGTGAGTATTCCAGACCAGTGGTTGCAAAGAAACAACGGTATGGCGCGGAGTTGAACCAACGAGTGTGCTGATCACGGATCTTGACAAACACATCGCTGAGTGAGAGCTGGAGCTCCTCATCACTGATCTTGTCAATGTTGCTACGGAGGCTCTTCATGACTGGGAACGGATCAGCGGCTGGTCCATAGTTGGTCATCTTGGAATCATAATTGACCCATGCCTAGACACGAAGAATGGAATCAAGGGTAGCGCGAATGTATTGGACGGGAATAATAGGACAATTGTAACCATTCGAATCGAGGCGTAAAATTAATTTGACCCGCAAATTGAATATAGAATGAGTAACAAAAATATAGAAATGATCATTCAACACACAATAGGAATGTCCAACTATAGTATTCAGTGTAGACAATCCAAATCAATCAGAAAACAGACGACTTACGGTAAGAATATTTTCAGCATTCTTGAGAATGACCTCCTTTTGGGCACGAGTGGTGGGCAAAAATGTAAAGCGGCCAGCATCACGATCAGCCTTGATGAGATTGTATTGAGGGAAATCTGCAGATACGACAGAGGCAGCAGTGGCCAACAGAGCAACTACAGATGAAACAAGCATTGTATATGTATGTAAAGTGTATGTTCTACGGTGAAAGAATAGAAAAACTATTTATGAATTAAAACAGATTTCAACGCACCAGGTATTTATGGAAACGGAATCTGTAATGATTGAAACAGTTACAATGCATTAATACCTTGTTGCAAATTTGACCCGTATATACGTGAAATATACTTTTACTTAGCAGCTAAAGGGTAGTCTATACTTGCGCCATTGCACTTGACACTATTGCGGGTGAACAGAAACGCTACTCGAAATATGAATTAACTTGCACCCGCAACTAATCATTCGCTGCTTTGCCACATCAAATGAAATTAGTTGACAGACTAATCGAGCTATTACAACCCGTCGAAATGTGATTGAGCCAATATGAGTACTTTTTCATTTAGCATAATGGCAATACTGCTTTGATTGCATAACAGGAACGTACTGTAATTATAGCTAGTGACAATGAGCATGATAGCGAGGGGATAATGATAAATTGTTAGTAGCCAACACCATGAGTGTTATCATGTGTTTGAGATACTTGCATAAAATTCATTCAATCACACTTTATGTGGTTGGGTTTGATGTCGCTCTTTTGGAAATATTGATAGATTGTTCATCTGCTGATTTGAATAGCAGGAGTATCTATTGCCTGTGTTTCCTGTACCGCAGCCAGTTTACTGAGCAATTTACTGCTCTTTTCGATTAAATATAGAACAACCTTTTTTGACCCTGCTTTGACACAATCCTAAATACTACATCTATAGTGTATTCTAACCTAAATCAATCGTGCAGTTTTACAAATGAATTCATGTTTTCGAGATGCTGCTGTTTGAGCCTCTTGATGCCATCAGAATGTCCAACTCATGATGAGTGAGATCTCTATGCAATCAAAATAAATATACTCTTCCCTGTTCTCACCCTCATTATCGCTGAAACGTAATTACACTTCCAAGCATGTTCTGTTGCATATGACTAGTCATGTTGTATCAGCCGTGTTTGACTTTTCGCGTTCAAGCCAATATCAAATGGATTAGTGATGCCATCACCAATACATGCAATGTATAGTCAGTTTGCTGTACAATATGCCGCAATCACATTATCTAATTGCCTACTTAAATGGTGTGATTTTACAAGCGATGACTCGTCAAATCATCAAAGTAGATGCAGTCTGATCTTTGAGAAAATTGTAGATGAACTAGGGCTCGGCTTTAAAAATATTAAACAAGTGGCTTCAAAGTGTTTGATGGTTTACACTTGGCAAACAATACCAAACTGATAGTGTATCAAAGTTTAAACACACATCAATTTGATGCTAGATTCGATACTATGCCCAGTAGTATGGTTCACAGTATAGGATGCCAGTGTTGAGTGGCTTTATAATAATGAATTAATTTGGCATTCTTGATTTGTAAACGATTGCTTTCAAAACACGCACATCCACTGCCAGCTGGTGTTCAAGTGTATTTTGCCTATATCAGCATCAGAAAATCAGTATACATCATATAACTGATTGAAATACTGATGACCAACTAAACATCAAGTGGTTCCATGTAAATATGGTAACAGCTCAAGGCGCAACCACATTTGAACATTTCGAACCCCCAAACTACCCTTAAATCAAATACTGTCGTAAAAGCCTTGAAGCTTACCAATTAAATTACTCGAGTGCTGCACCATCAATACTATATATTGGCATGCTTTGCTATTCATGCAGTTCAATAAGATATATTGCATAAATCATTGAGATCTTACCCTATTTCCCGGAAATGGTGTTATTCTTTTTGATTTTTAACTCCAGTGATAGCCGCTTTCCCCGATTGTTTGTACAAGCAATTAGATTTGATTTTAATCGACCTAAACAACTCAAACTATCCGTCAACTACTCAACCTGCACATTCCACCAAAAAACAGGATTGACCAATACTTGATCCAACAATATGTATTGGTGGGTAACACGAGTAAACTATCATAAAAACATACATTAGTAATGATTAAGCGTGTCGTGTATTTAAACAACTATATCAAAAGTTTAATCCATTTAAATGAGTCGAGTTCATGACATTACCATTGCAAAAATACGCTGATTTTTATTAGATTTCAATGCAAGAAAATCAGCATTGATCGTCTGTCTGGTTGTTGGGCTTGAATAATTTACAAGTTGTGTAATGAGTGTGTTGGCTATTTCTGCACTGGCTTGAGTCTTGATGACACCACCAAGAATATCAGCTTTAAAAAGTCGTTCAATTTGAATGACATCTTGGAAAGTTTCGGACATGTTATAAAGTATCCCAAAAATTTCCAAGTCAGCGATGATGGGGATGAGAGCAGAAGAATGTCATCAAGCAGTCCAGCTTTATAATGATACTGTTGTTGAGGACTCTGAAGGAACGAATCAAGACAATGAGTCTGACGGTGGTCAATTGACTGTGGATGCTATGACTGACAAACTGGATCTATGCAATATGCCAGATATTCACAGTCACTGCATCAGGGAGGAAGAGAGTATTACTAGAGAACATGAACAGTTGACAGACCATAATTTTAAAGTAGAACAAAACGAGGAAATGGAAGAGAGTGATCCGGACGACGACGTAGAAGAAGAGTTGGAGCCGTCTATCCAGCAAGAAATTGACGAGTTTTACCAAGAGTTTCCATGCGAGGCAGACTATTACATATTTGACAAGATTGGCGAAGGTAATTGCTGATTTTATTTTAATTACAAGCTGCCATGTTTTATATCCTTATTCTAATTACCATGAATGGACCTGATTGCATTGGCTAAATATCAGGTACATTTAGCTCAGTATACAAAGCGATCGATACCAAACATTATAGATACAAGGCATCTTGGTGTCTGGATCATATACCAGCAAATGTTCGTCAGGAACAACTCGCTACAAAGTCTATGATTAGTGCACTGAGTTTGGCTCGGACTTCAAATTGTAGCATTGTTGCACTCAAGAGAATCTACGCAACAAGTAGTCCAACACGAATCTACAATGAGATCAAGATTTTATTTATGCTCAGGTATTGAGTCAACTTTTTGTATTGGCCGATTAGTTGTTGTATTTGTGTAGAGCAATAGCCTTGTGATGCCACTTGTTTAGAATGATTGCTTTTAGACTTGGTTTGCTTAGTAGTTTTTGGTATCAATTTATTTAGAGGGCATCCCAATATTGCACCGATTATCACTGCTGTTAGACATTGTGATCAAGTTGTAGTCGTGTATGTATGCATTTAGATATACTGTCATTTTTACTGTCTTGCACTAATCTCATGTAATGCACTCGAAATTTTGCTCAACATTCAAATTTTAAAAGAATGCGATACTTTGCTCATGATGATTTCAAGGTAATTTGCCGCTTTAATCCATCATATATACAAGATCACTATTTTTCCATCTAACGCATTTCTATTTACTATTATCAAACACCATTTAGTCATATTTTTATAATCTCACGAGAAAGGAAATTCAAAATTACATGTGGGCACTTTTGAATGCACTCGCATACACCCATAAGCATCATTTGATTCATCGAGATATTAAGCCAAGCAATTTTTTATATAACCGAAAAACGCAAACAGGTGTTTTGGTAGATTTTGGACTTGCTCAGGTAACAAACTCTAATGTTGCCAAAAACATTGCATTCCTATTGATCCTACGTATACAATCTCATTCTTGCGTGTTTGGTTTTTATAGGAAGAATCATTTAAATTGACAGGGAAGCTACAGGATGGCGGTGCTAAAGGATACACCGAAGCCGAATACATTCAAAAGGCAAACAGCCGTTCAAAACGACGCCGTATGGGTTATTTTGTTCCTGACACAAGGTAATACTGTAATCCGAGTGTTTATGTTTACAAGTTTTATTTCTGGGATTAGTAAATTGGTTGGAATGAATTCGATCATATAACGGTTGTTTTGAATACATGTTTGAATAGACCGTCCATACGTGCTAGCCGAGCAGGCACGCGTGGGTTTCGAGCTCCAGAAGTTTTGCTCAAAGTAGTCAATCAAACCCGAGGTAACCATACAACTGTAATAATTTGTAAACATTGAGAGTCTACGTTGGTAGATTATACACCAACACGACTATTTTGATTGCTATGGTAAAGTCATTCGGTATTAACATGGTTATTTATCAGCAATTGATGTGTGGTCTGTTGGAGTGATTCTTCTTTGCATAGCTACTGGTAACTTTCCATTTTTTCAATCAAACGATGATCAAGACGCTTTGTTGGAAATTGCGAGTATTTTTGGCTTGACCGAAATGCGCAAGGCTGCAGTGAAATTAGGTAAGACGAATGCAAGCGCATTTTCATTTTTAATATGTAGTGGGTTTTTAGCATTGCATCCAAGGTTGGATTCAGTTTGCTAAACTTTGAATATTAGGACGGAATTTTGAAACCAATGTGCCTAGTATTGATCAACGAATACCCTTTCGTGATCTTGTGGAGAGGTTTGGACGAGGACGACAAGATTTGCTGTGTGATGCTGGATATGATCTTATGGGACGCATGTTGATGCTGAATCCTGCCGAACGCATCACTGCAGAGGATGCCTTGGACCATGCATTTTTTTCGAATCGTAGTGTGGTTTAGCATTGCTCTGCAGACTTGATGCAGCATCTAAGCCAGGAGTGTATATACATTGGCAGTTTTCGGTATAGTTGAACTTGTTATCACAGCATTTGAATTAAAGTTGATGATAAAAACTATAAGCAAAACAGTTTATTTTTAATTCATTTCGAAAGTGCAAACAATTTGCTCAGGTATTCAAATGACAAGTGTAGAGGATTACAACAGTTGTTGATGACTTGACATTTAGCCAAAAGAGCGGCCAAAAGATCTAGGAATAGCGTGAGGATGAGAATCGTTTGGCTGGAACCCCATTATTGGCGAAGCAGAAGGAGATCTAGCCACGCTTCCAGATCGACTAGAAATACTCAATTGTCGTTGAAACACATGTGGAGCGGGTGTACTGGTAGACTCGTATTTCAGTATAGGAAGTGTAGGTGGAAACTGGTCATCCAGCATTTCCATTGTGAAGGGATTTGAAGATGAGGGAAAAGATCCATTAGTTTGTTTGAGTATAAGCATCTCAGTGAGTTGACGCAAACGTTGGTAATGGGCAGATGAAGTGTTTCGCCATTCTTCATTTGCAGCCTCTGATTCTTGAAGTCGGTGCTTTGCATCATTTAACTAATACATTGAAGAAACCAAAAAAATTAAAATAAACTGATTGAGATTCCAACATTGAAACAAGTTTTTCGTTTTGTAATAGAATCTTATTACCTCTGCTTTGAGAACTTCAATCACACCAGGACCAGCCGCGATTGATGGAGAAGTGAGCTCAGACATGGATGAGCTACTGCTATGCGCATACCCCCACTTTTTATTCGATCTAATATTTGTATAGCAGTTGGATAAACAAGACAGATTGTTGACGAGTTGAACTCAATTTCGAGACATGAAATAGCCAGTACTTACGATGTGGAAACAGAAGGGCCATTTCCTACTCTTCCTCGTAACTCGTCAAGTTGTTTTTGAAGTCGATTCACCATAAACTCTTGTTCTTTTTCCAACACGCACTCCATTTCAACCTTGTCTTTTTGAAGCTAGATTTGAAGTGATTGCGGTTCAATGACAGATTCAAAATTTGAACAAGTTAGTCTATGGACCAGTAAACATGACATGATTGTATAATTGGATAAAACGCTGTAATCAACCTGACGTAGTTTTTTTTGCAGTTGGTTTGTAATCATTTCTTCCTCTGCCTCGACACGCATTAGCAAATCTCCTTTTTCATGTTGTAGTTGCTGAATCCGCTTCATCAAAGTATTTGAAATGTATTCTTCTTCGACTTCAGCGGTGGCTTGCTAATATGGTTGACACGCAATGATGTGATACATGGAGTATAGAATTAATAAGACTGAACAAGGGATGCCAAGCTTGATTACGGAACCAGTCATAATATGATTTGCTAGAATCAATCAAACCAAAAGATACTTGCCAAATTGACAGTCATTTGTTTAAGTGCTTGCTTATCAGCTCTAACATTGCAATCAAGTATTAATATGGTTGCTTAAACTGGGTAGATATAAAGCAAAGTTTGCGGCAAGATTTCAAACTAGAAACGCACCTCAAGGTTGCAACCAATCCCTTTTCGGCCTTCAAATCCTGTTTCAGTTTGTTCATGGTCCGCTGTTGAGATTCTAATTCGGAAACAAGTGACTGCATTCTTGTTCTAAGCACAGTTGGATCGTTACTATATTAAGTAATCAATAAAAGTTAAAATTCATCAGAATTGATGAGTTTATTCCTACCAATGACATAGAATAGTATTACCTGTCACTCAGACGCCCAACAGGCAACTCAATATCCAGAGATTGATTCTACAATAGAATAACGATTAAAATGAAAGAGTCAAGATGTGATGACAGTAGGAATGGAATACAAAATGGTTGTTCAAGATGAATAGAACAGTATGATTGGTTTAGTTGATATCAGACAATAAGAAACCAAGAGAGTTAATCCAGTAGATTACAAACCTGTTCAGAACCCTTGCGAACAGACAGTTGGACAGGAGTGATATCTGGATGAGTTGCATCTGCAGTTTGCATGGACAGTTGTTTTGACATGATAATAGAATTGCAGCTGAATCAAAGTATGAGCATATCAAATCATGTGCGAGATACTTGAGTCAATTCAACTCACCTGTGTGATTGGCTTGTTCTAAGACCACCAAATCCAGTGTCCTTTAGAGCGTGGGGAAGAGGATGCGAGTTGCTGTTTGCATTTGTGGTTCGCGTCCTGTTGAATGCTCTCGATTCCTTGGTCAACGTTGTCATGACAATCTATAATAATTCTTAAAATAATTCATAACTCTAATATGATCTTACTATTCAAATCAACTGTCAAACAATCTACTGATGTTTGTAAAAAGAATTCTTCATTCTAACACTTTTGATTGGTTTGACAATTGAATTGACAAAAAAATACTCCACATCGGGGAATCGAACCCCGGCCACCACGGTGAAAGCGTGGGATCCTAACCACTGGACCAATGCGGACTGCAAACATCCTGTTTCTATTTACTATATTATTCTTAATTATTACACTTGTGATCTCGGCTAGTTGATTGTATTCAACATTCTGCTCGAGTAATAATTACCATGTTTAATAAATTTGTAAAGATCTGAAACAGAGTCGACTATTATATTAAATCTTGATGTTTGACTCTGGTTAAACTACTGGTTTTGTAATCCGTCAATGTAAGCTTGTGTTACGAAATTAGGATATTGCTATTGAAATAATCGATTGGTGACGAAATTGACAACCTGCAAGATGGCTAGATAATTGTAAAGCATGTATAGTGTTTCAAGATGGCTGATCTATAAAGCCAATACAACAATCATGAAACATTGACCAGTCAATAAAATATCCGACATTGGTAGTATATAATACTGCTGGATCCAGAAATATCAAAAATATGAGTGGTTAGGGTTCTGCTGTGTAACGGAATTCCTGGTACGAAGAGTATACTGCGGTTGCTACATGGTAATTCACAAGCACTCGATTCTTCTATATTCCACTGTTTCGTATCCGCTTAAAATCACATTTATTCAACTAGTACACTTTTCATCTGTAAATGGTATGCTTGATTTGATCGTATTGCATCAACCAACTAATATACGCTTCCAAAATCCATCAATTACAAGATCGTTCATCAAGATCAAACTAAACTGTTTCCAATGCAATCTCTGTTGATGTTGACCGGGGTCATCAAACCATTGGCTTGATTAAACCACAGTTCAGGGCTGCTGTTTAGTTTAAGGGCTGGAATTATGCAACTGTATACAAAAGGGCGGCTCTAATGCATTAGACAACTGAATAGTCCAATGTTTGAAAACACGCTAGCTTACTAGGTATAATAGGGCTGCATATACCACAGCCATCCACAAAATCTGTCAATCTAAACAGTACATCAAACATATCGATACCTTGATTTACGGTCATTTCATCATGTGAACCAATATGCTGTCACATAATAGCTTATCATTCTGTATAGATTATTTTAGATTCGGATAAAACGGTTCAAGGAACAAGCCACGATACAAGCAACGCCAATGCCCCGTCATCTCAGTGCACATAAGGCTTAAAATCAAACATCCATCAATCTACACATCCTATTAAGCAGTATCTATATTACGCCGTAGCTGTGTGTACATATGCTTTTATACATACCTCAATCTCAAACAGTTTTGTATAAATTGAGTCGATTTTACTCCAGTTTTTAGTCATCTTACAACAATCTACTTCTTGCATCAACATTTACAATGAAATTTACAATCTTTACCATTGCCGCCACTTGCATTGCTGCCGTGTCTGCTGCTTCAAGTACTCCTGAAAGTGGTGTTTCCACCAATCTCGGGAAACGTGGTTTAAAGTCATTTTTAAAACGCCAAAAATCTGTCAAGCATAAACAGTGCGATCCCAAAAAGTGTGTCCAAAATTATGACGAGTCTTATTGCTATAGTACTGAAGCCCAAACCGATCTAGTTCCATGCCGTGCTGGTGATCAAGGTGTCTGCAAAGAACGTGCTTTTTTAGCGTGTCTTCTTGGTGCTTGTACCTGCCTTGTTGCAACTGCAATTATTTCAGAAGGGCTAGACAATTAAGCATTTAAACGACTTGGCTACCTTTAATTTGTTGGATTCATGTTAAACTCAACAATTCGTTAATAAATCATTGTTTTTGACTACAATCAGTTGACATGCTTAAAGTGATATTTGAGTTTAATATATAAACTACTGCATAGTATAGCAGATTGATTAAAGTATCATGACTGTGTATCCAGTAAAGTCAAGATTGACAATGAATGTAGTAATGCAAGTCAGTTTTGATAAACGCGACGCATTTCAGCAATCATGTCATTTACTAATGACAAGCATAGTGTTGATCACATATTCAAGACCAACCAGACTAGACATTACAATACTGTATACATGTTCAAGAGTAGTTATACTAATGATCATATACAAGTTGTATGAATTTCAAGACAATTTACAACAGTTTTTGTGATAATATAAAACTTGGCTTGAAAGTCGAGATCAAAGCAGAATCGTTTCCAATGCAATCTCTGTTGATGTTGACCGGGGTCATCAAACCATTGGCTTGATTAAACCACAGTTCAGGGCTGCTGTTTAGTTTAAGGGCTAGAATTATGCAACTGTATACAAAAGGGCGGCTCTAATGCATTAGACAACTGAATAGTCCAATGTTTGAAAACACGCTAGCTTACTAGGTATAATAGGGCTGCATATACCACAGCCATCCACAAAATCTGTCAATCTAAACAGTACATCAAACATATCGATACCTTGATTTACGGTCATTTCATCATGTGAACCAATATGCTGTCACATAATAGCTTATCATTCTGTATAGATTATTTTAGATTCGGATAAAACGGTTCAAGGAACAAGCCACGATACAAGCAACGCCAATGCCCCGTCATCTCAGTGCACATAAGGCTTAAAATCAAACATCCATCAATCTACACATCCTATTAAGCAGTATCTATATTACGCCGTAGCTGTGTGTACATATGCTTTTATACATACCTCAATCTCAAACAGTTTTGTATAAATTGAGTCGATTTTACTCCAGTTTTTAGTCATCTTACAACAATCTACTTCTTGCATCAACATTTACAATGAAATTTACAATCTTTACCATTGCCGCCACTTGCATTGCTGCCGTGTCTGCTGCTTCAAGTACTCCTGAAAGTGGTGTTTCCACCAATCTCGGGAAACGTGGTTTAAAGTCATTTTTAAAACGCCAAAAATCTGTCAAGCATAAACAGTGCAATCCCGAAAAGTGTTGCAAAAACTATGACGAGTCTTATTGCTATAGTACTGAAAGCCAAACTGGTCCAGTCCCATGCCGTGCTGGTGATCAAGGTGCCTGCAAAGAACGTTCCTGTGAAGATTGTGGTATGGTTGTTGTTTGCTGCATTGCTCTAGCCGCATTTTCCCTGTGTCATAGTTAAGCATTTAAACGACTTGGCTACCTTTAATTTTTTGGATTCATATTAAAAATCAATACACTTAATAAATCATTGTTTTTGACTACAATCAGTTGACATGCTTAAAATGATATTTGAGTGTAATATATAAACTACTGCATAGTATAGCAGATTGATTAAAGTATCATGACTGTGTATCCAGTAAAGTCAAGATTGACAATGAATGTAGTAATGCAAGTCAGTTTTGATAAACGCGACGCATTTCAACAATCATGTCATTTACTAATGACAAGCATAGTGTTGATCACATATTCAAGACCAACCAGACTAGACATTACAATAATATATACATGTTCAAGAGTAGTTATACTAATGATCATATACAAGTTGTATGAATTTCAAGACAATTTACAACAGTTTTTGTGGTAATATAAAACTTGGCTTGAAAGTCGAGATCAAAGCAGAATCGAAACTTGATTCAAAATCTACTTTGCTGCATGGAATTGTTTTCAGTAGAATCAGTGCAGCAAGTGAGTTTGTAACAGGATTATATATGACATATGATTGTTTCTGTAAACACAATCGTTTTTAATGGCCGAGTCTTGTTCATTAAACAGAATATTATTGCTTGAATGCTCGATACTGACCTTGTTCCTTTTAAATGTGCATGTTTGAACAATGACTATATTGATAATCAATAATCACTGGATAGGCACTTCATCAATTATTAGATTCTACAGCAGATGGACTTTTAAAGAAAGATGCCGAGTCGTATTTACTTGAATTCCAGCGAGCTCAGATAGCATGGGAAACTTCCCTTCAATTGCTAGCCATGCAAGTATGAACTCTTGAACCCATTGATACTGTTTAAACCAAACGATTCAAGTCTAGAATACTGACATTGTATTTACACCCGCCGACTTGAATTCTTTCATACTGGACAATCCATCAGAATCCAAGTGTACAACTATTTGGTGCACAAACGCTATATAACAAGCTATTGAATTTTTGGTAAGAATGTTTGCAGAACAGCAGAGTAAACCATGTTTGGTTCTAATAGTATTTCAGGAGCTCGTTTCCAAACTCAAAACTAGATCAGGTTCAGCAAATGCTTGTGCAGCTTTTGGCAAACAGTGAACTGACAAGCCCGTGGTTTGTGACGGCCAAGATTGCTCAAGTGGTATGTGTTTTTATTGTAAAGCGTTATCTGATGTCGGATATTGTCAGATCTTGTCGGATAACAATTATTATTGCTTCAAAATACTGAATGCTGTTGTTCAATAGATTGTCATTTTGATTCTGAAAAGTCGAGTTGATAATCCAGATTTTCATTTCAAACAAACAGTGGCCTATCTTTTAGATAAAATGTCAGTTGCACAGACAGATTCTACAGCAGTAGATGCATCGTATTTTAGCAAGATAATCTTGGAATTGACAGGGTTGATCCCAGAAGAAATGTACAAGATGGATCTAGACGTGGTTTCAAAGTATGTGTAATGTCTTGTTTATTTACTGGAAATTGCATGTTGAATTGTATGGACTGATTGCACCATGTTTGGTTGTTTAAGGAATAAAATGTTTGCGGCTGTTCAAAACATCTCGGTAGCTTCTTCAGAATTTAGCGTTCAAATGCTAAGCCATGTAGATCCAACAGTGCGAAGACTTTCCTTAAGATGCATATCCAGCTGGATTCAGCACGAATTCCTTCCAGTCGAGTATGTCATGCATTTACTATTTTAATGGCTGGTTTTTCCAACGATACACAATTGACATTGGTTACTGGTTTTTTCAACTATTTTAATCTGGGTGCAGCACACTTGTGCAAATTTTAAAAAGTTTATTATTTCAGCTACTTCAGGGATCTGATTTCGAAACAACTGCCGATGCCATTTCGGAGATACTTGGAGAGTGTCGACTTAAACGTGTTCAAAAGTCTGTTTGCGAATTAGCTTTGGATACCTTGACTTCGGACGCTATATATATTAGACTATCCAAGTCAATACAAGGTATGGTTAGATAATATTTGTATAATTTTCAGGAATGGGATTCAGGCATTGTTATTTTGATTGCTTGAGTTAAAATCAAGTTTTATTTTGTATTACCTTGACGTCGGTTTAGATCAAGACGAGTCGGTTGTGCAACTTATTTGCAAAATGCTTTCAGAATTAGGCAAAAACCACGTCGAGTACTTTTGGGAAAATCTGCACACTCAGCCAGTTAGCAAAGCGCTTGACATGTTGTTGGACATTACATCTTTTCCAGGATACTTTGGAGTTGACCAGGTCGTCACGCAAGTATATTTGCTTGTGTGAATTTCAAAGTATTTGTGCAATGCTTCATGTTTTTGTATGATTGACATTGAGTTTAATGTGCTGTTTTATAATACCTAGTGAGCAACCATTTTACTTTTGGTTCCTTTTTCAAGAAGCTGCTGCAGAGGGTATGGACATGTGGGCCAATGATGATTTACAAGAACAGTATTCAATTATCGAGTCTCGCATCAATCAGATTTTTCAAAAATTACTAGAGTCGCTGTGCATTCAAGTCAAATATCCGCCTTTGCATGAATATGAATCCTGGAGCAAAGGTAGTTTTGCTGAATTCAATGCAATACATTATGGTGCCTTTTGATGTTTCAAACTACTTGGTTTTATAACTGATATTTTCTATTGGTTAGACGATAGAGACAAATTCAAATCTCATCGCATAGAATGTGCGGATACCATGCTATGTTGCCACTCTATTTTGAACGATCAAGCGTTTGAGCTGGTTTGTGGTGCAATTCTTCAAAGGTTGTTGCAGTTCAACAGTTTACCGAATACTTCAATCGAGGTATGCAGTTTCCATGTAAAACTATTCGGGTTGCTTTATTTTTTTGAATACATTGGAATGAATTTTTTATTAATAAATGAATTATTCGTGTTAAACTAACTAGGAGTTGGAAGCATTTCTATTTGCGCTCAAGGGATTTAGCGAATCTGTTGATTCAAATGCAAACGTGTGTCTCGACCAAATTATTCAAACACCAGTATTGCAGCAGATTGATTCCCTTTGCACTACCCATGATTTAAGTGGACAATTGCGAAATACATGTGTGTCGTTGCTAGGTAAATCTTGATTTTGTCAGCCATTTATCATTGTAATTTCTCTAGTTATCATTTTATCAGTCGCGTGCACTTTAACGATATTTATTGTACGTTTCTTTATTGAATACGTTGCATTTCTTTAGGCTTATATGCGGACTGGCTTTCTACTCATCATAAAAGCATAGGACCAGCTTTTGAATTTGTTTTATCAAGTTTAAAAACCACTCGGTCGTGTGTTTTGGCTGCCAATGCACTTCGTCAAATTTGCGATTCGTGCCGTGTTTCGCTTGCTACCTATTCTGATCATGTTATCAATACTTGCATTTCTGTGCTTTCCGTAACAGATGTACGTTGAACTACTTATTTTAGTTTATTATCCCGATCGATGTTTCATTTATTGAGTTGATGGGTTTGATGTTTATTAAAACTAGCGAGCAACACATGGCAAGATTATCGAATCCCTTTCAATGATTATTCAAGCACTTCCTACTGATGAGGCCAGTCCCAGACTTAATATGATTCTGGATGGCATTTTATCAGAGCTTGAGACTTTGCTTGTCTCTGCCAAATCGGTAAATTTGATTGTCAATGACCACTATTGAGAATGACTAGACTTTTAAATTTGCAATGCATATGCCTTGACAATAGTTGTAATGTCTAGTAATTGACAGCTTCATACTGACATATTTTACTGTTTAATTTCAACATTTTAGAATACTAATTTGACACAATATCGGCCGGATGTGTTGGCTCAACTTGAATATTTGATTGCCTGTTCGCATGGTGCCAATTCATTTGATGATTCAAAATCAGTTATTGTAAATCTTGTGGATGTGCCCGCTGCTCCAAATGAGCACGAGCTGCGAATTGGTACGAATATAGCAAACATGATTCACACTGTGATTGTACTGTGGCATGCTGATGAAGAAATGATTCAAGTAAGTGCTATGCATACTACAACTTTTATTCTGATTCCATGGCTGGTTGATTATAGGTGTTGATTTATATAAATCTAATGCATTTACGAACTTAGACAGCGTGCAATGTCGTCAGTGAAATGTCTAAATCAAGTTTGCCCCATCTTGGTAGCCAGTGCCAGCCATTGATTTCGTTTTTTTTAAAAGCAGTTGAGCAATTTCCTAGAGCTTGCTACTTGCGCACGCTGTCTGCGTTGACAAAATATGCTGCTTCTCGTCAATCAGAAGATGAAGCTGGACTAGTCATTCGTAAAGAGGTATTCAAGACTATAAGCACACAGGTTGTAGAGCGATTTGCCACCACCTCATACATGGAAAGTCATCCCGATGTGGTCGACGAATTTGTGCGAATGCTTTATAGTGTATGTTTATCATCTATATGACTGATTTTTTGTAGGATAGTTTATTTCAATTTGAAAAAATATGCTGTTGATGCCATTTATTTCACCGACACCCTTATACCATGCATCTAGTTTCTAATAATGCATGGATCAGTCGTACTGCAAATGGAACCAGGATTTATGCGTACAGTCGTGGTCACGGTGATCTTACAGGGGCTAAAGTTGCAGGAGCGACTAGCAGTGACAACAATCCTTAAATTTGTGGTTCGTTGACTTGGTATTTTGACACCCTGCTGATTGTATGGGCTTATATCCGAGATAAAAGTACAAGGTTTTAATCTAAATTTTAATATTGAATAGACTGATTTTATCAATGCTCCATTCGAAGCTGCAGTAGTTGAACATATTGTCAAGGATGTTTTGGATACTACAGGTTTAGCGATTATTCACGAATTACTTATGGTAAACCTGTTGCTTGATTGTTTATTAAACAGCTTGTAAATCCATCCATGTATATACATATTTTTGCAAAGTATTAAATAGCTGGAATTCTGGACTGAATGATATTTTATTAGGCATTGGGTGGTGGACTACCAAGAAGCTTAGTGGACAAAGTGTCGGACGCATTATTTACGTTGATTTGCAAGTATCCAGTTCATACTCGTCAAGGATTACAAGCATGTTTAGCCCAACCAAACTTTCCTTCCAGCCTAGCTACGCCAATCCACAAAGCATCGTTTCTTAAATCCATTACCAGGTGCGTACAATTTTATGTCTGGTGTAAAGTTTACTGCAGTGCTATTGAATGGTTGTATTTTTCTGATTGTCTGGCACAATCTACTTTTTGTCGTTTTATTAAAGTACCCACCCATGTTTATTGTAGCACTCGTCAGGGAAAAACGTTTCGTAGTGCACTTAGAACGTTTTCGGCTCAATGCCGTGGGCTAGATGCTGTTGGATTTGGATAAATGCTCTATTTCACTCAATTGTAACTACAGTCGTATTCACATAAAATGAAGCAAATAAGGGAATCAAAATACATGGTAAACAGTTAATCTCATGAAATGATAGTTGCACCACATTTAGCGAAAAGTATCGTTTCGTGGACTCTGACAAAGTCGAGTGGTATTTTACTGGTGATCGGTGTGAAAACGACGGTTGCATTTCTGAAACATGCAATCTTTGCTTTCTTGAACTGGAACACGAGTGATCCAAGATTAAGATACACAAAGAGGAGTTTGTAGAGTTGTATTGACAACATCAAAACAATTAAATTTAATATCTGATTTTCAACTTGTCGATCGTAGTGTATGATTATGTTGAATGAGGATCGTCCGAGTCGAAAACTATAGTTTGTATTGCATGATGGTCGTTGTTGAAATAATTAAAAATGTTCATTGAACAAAGTCAATGTCTAGTAGGAAGGCACAACGAATATCCAACGATTGCTTATTCTAGTGCAAAATGGAGGCTCAAATTGCAAAATAAATACAAGCATTTTATTTTACATGAATACAGCTGTAAAATATGTGGACAATCAACCGTCGCAAGCTATTGACCAGTTTTTTCTTGGTTTAAAACCTGAAACCAATAAACATTTTGCTTTCACTTATGGCTGCCACTTGAAATCAATTTAGTGGCACGATTATCATGTCTAGTTTATTTATCTGCTTGTGACCGAGTTCTCACCAGATAGTCACAGGTGGAAATATAAAAGCTGGCCGAATTGCTTTCAATCTGCTGCTTAGGCGTCTTATTTTCAGCGGTTGTACACTGTTTTTGTCTGGCGTTCAATATACTTAGATGCTCTACATTATTTTCTTAACATTTGCCCTAGCAGTCAATGCATTGACAGTACATAATCCACCCGTCGATGGCTCTGGAGGAGCTGCTCCTTCAAAACCCAAATGCCACCATCGAGTTTCAAAACATGACGAATATGCATCGTATCCATCAGTCCAGTCTAATTCTCAACCAATGCCAATTGGCTGGGAATCGGGACTAAAGAATCAAGTCACGTATAGCACAATCCAACCTTTATCAGCATCTTCAATCGTGCCTGAAGTCAATCCAAACCTAGACTTTTTTATTATTGGAGATTGGGGTCAACCCAACGAGCGTCAATCTCAGGTAGCCAAAGTAATGTCGGATCTTGCATATATGACCAAGCCCGATTTTGTCCTGTCTGTTGGCGACAACTTTTATGCTACCAATGAGACTAAACACGACGGTGTACTATCCACAAATGATAGTAAATGGAACGATTTCTGGTTGAAAGTATATCAAGGATTTACCCAATCAATTCCGTGGTACTCAGTTTTGGGAAATCATGATTGGCTTGGCGATCCACAATCTCAAATCGAATATTCAAGATTAAATCCAACGAAATGGGTCATGCCCAACTATTTTTGGGAACGCACCGTCAAGCTTGGACAACATGAGGTTGCATTCATTATGATAGATACCAACTATTTGGTTTATTCAACAATGGAGATTCGGCCTATCATGCTGAATAACTTTCAACGCGCGGGCTGGACAGATGGCAATCAAACCGTCAAGATGCATTTGGATTGGATCGAAGGAGCTCTTCAACGACACTTGGACAAAAAATATGTGTTTGTAGTAGGTCACCATTTCCTTGGTACTTGCAAGCCTGTTGGACACATGGTTGAACTACAAGCACTTTTGGACAAGTACCAACCGACAGCATATCTTTATGGACATCATCATACTTTGCAAGCAACCAGTCGTGGAAAAACCCAGTATATTCAATCTGGTGCTGGAAGTGTAATGGAAGATTCTTGCCCAGATCATGACGGCTGGGCTCTTGGACAAACCAATGGATTTGTTCACGCCAGTGTAACTGAAGCTTCAATTGTGTTTAATTTCTGGGACTATACTGGTAAAATTGTGCATACTGTCAACGCATAGTCCAGCACATTGAATAGTCGATTGTACTCCTAAAACAGTATCATTTTAGAATAAATTGTTTTTACACTATCATTGTACTATAATATCTTTTGGATTGGAGCACAATGCAGTCGTATTGCACTTTGAACATTCTTGTTGATTGATCTTGAGCTAAATTATGAATCAAGTTATCTACCAATTATAAAGTCTGAGTATATCCAGATCCTGCTGCTGTTGGTGGAAGCCATAGCTTATCCATATACCATTTTTTCAATAAGATTCAATAATCTAATACAACGATTCAGCTATGATATCTAAGCTACCAGAATAAAAATTCGTGAACAATAATTTCGTTTGGATATGTTGCTCAGTTTCCATAGTGTTTTGTAGCCATATTGACGTAGAATGAAACACTAAATAAACTAAAATACATAATAAACGGCCAGTCTTATATTTGATTGGTGCCAGTTCCATCAGATTTATTGGGTAACATAGTGCCTTTTGAACTCATTAAGCTCACGGGATTTTCCCTGCTCATTCTTGTACAAGATCACAGAGTGAATGTTCACATCTCTGTTCCAATACATTTCACATTTATTCAACCTCCAGACTAAGCATTATGCTATTGAATGATCGATATAGAAGCAACAGTTGCATTCCTAAGATTGCGATCGTTGGTCTGTTGAACTAGAGCGCGAGCATATGATATTAGGCCACAGCAAAGCTTTTATAGAAGCAGTTTCTAGTAGGAAAGCAATGAATACTCAACCATTGCTTATTCCAGAGTAAAATAGAGTCATTGCAAGATAAGTGCAAGAAATGGTTTATTTTACGTGAATACGACTAAAAATTTATCCGTCGCTGTACAAGATATGGCTGACAGGTAGCACGGTGGATATATTTTTCTTATAGTTCAAATGCATAGATAAAGTGTGTTGATAAAAACCCAAGGGGAATCGCCACCCAGACATTTTGATTTGCTCAAATGCTGGTGCACTTTTGTGTTCAACCACTGCTGATATGTATTTAAAATTAGTGGGCTATATAGATGGCGTCTTGGCTAAGCATAAACAAAGGCTGAAAATTCATTGCAAAAACTCTCGAGCTATGTGACTAGTGGAGCGTTTATGCTTTTCTTTCGTCTAAATAAAAAATACAGCCAGTTATACTTTGAAATTGACCGATAGTAACCGATAAACAATTGTATGATGATGCCACCTGCCAAATTTACGAGTTAAGCCACTTGCAGTTTTACAAGTTATAAAAACATATATTTCCTCATCAATATTGCCCGTTAAACATATACACATATACGTACACTTTTTGAAAGAGGTTCACACTCTTTCTACCACTTCATTTCCTTATACATTTAGATAAGATTTCATTTAAATAGCTGATATTAAATAAGTATGCTCTTTAGCCTGTTTCTTCAGATCGTGTTTGCTACTACTATCTTTGCCGGTACCCACAAACGTAAATGCCACCATCGCGGTAACCATCCAAAAGGTATTCCTGTTCGTTCATCTGGAAACCTCAATCCATTGCCCGACTATGACCAAGGATATGTCACTCCTACACCTGGTGGACAAAATCCTCTTGCAACTCCCGATATCTCTCTCGGTGGACTTTCGCCTCCTGGCTCGGGTAATCCCGGATATGACCAAGGATATATCACTCCTACACCTGGTGGACAAAATCCTCTTGCAACTCCCGATATCTCTCTCGGTGGACTTTCGCCTCCTGGCTCGGGTAATCCCGGATATGACCAAGGATATGTCACTCCTACATTTGGTGGACAGCAACCTGCTGCAACTCCCGATGTACCGCTCGGTGGACTTTCGCCTCCTGGTTCGGGTAATCCCGGATATGACCAAGGATATATCCCCCCTACGCTTAGTGGACAGCAACCTGCTGCAACTCCCGATAAATCGCTCGGTGGACTTTCGCCTCCTGGTTCGGGTAATACCGGATATGACCAAGGGTATGTTGTTTCTACGTTTAGTGGACAGCAACCTGCTGCGACTCCCGATAAATCGCTCGGTGGACTTTCGCCTCCTGGTTCGAGTAATCCCGGATATGACCAAGGATATATCGCCCCTACGCTTAGTGGAGAATCTTCGTTTGCGATTTCCACCGGAACTGTTTCTGGTGCTCCTAAAGCGACACCATATGGACTTAACCCAATGCCCTATGCTATGCCCGACCCTCAATCTAGCTATTTTAGCAATTTGGATCCAACCAGCACGCAGTTGCCCCATGTTAACTTGGATGGATTTTACTGCAGACCGGGTGTATTTCCCTGCGGACCAGGCGGCATTCCTCCAATTGAAATATCCAATCAAAACAACCCATCTATATATAACTCTCAGCTGAATGGGCCTTTGCCCAATTTCGCACCGGGAAGTTTCCAAAGTGATAATTTCAAAAACCTAAGCTTTATGATTTTCGGTGGTTGGGGTAATCCCAACGAACCTGGCCAATCTCTTGTCGCCAAGACTGCCACAGAACTGGCACTCAAATCCAACCCTCGTTTTGTCGTTTCTGTTGGCAACAACTTTTACCCAACAAACACCGATAACTACGAAGGTGTAAAAAGTTCTACCGATTCCAAATGGACCTCGGTGTGGAAAAATGTTTATAATGGACTGTTGACTAGTATCCCTTGGTTTTCGGTTTTGGGGTATCACGATTGGTTAGGTAATCCATCTGCTCAGCTTGACTATTCAAAAAGCCATCCAGCCGAATGGGTGATGCCCAACTTCTTTTTCGAGCGAATTTTCCGTATTGGAAAGATTGAGGCGGCATTTATTTTTATTGATACAAACTATCTGGCTTATGGTCGCAATTCTCCAAACGAGGCCATTACAAATAACTTTAAGCAGATTGGATGGGCAAATAAAACCGATATGGTGAGTATGCAGCTCGCGTGGATCAATGATGCTCTTAAACGTCACCAGGGAAAAAAGTATACGTTCGTGGTAGGCCATCATACGCTCGGGACATGCGATCATCAAGGCAACATGACCCAGCTGATGGATGCTTTTGATGAGATGCAGCCCACCGCCTACATTTTTGGAAATCAGCAAACTCTCCAGGCTACCACGCGTGGAAAAACCAAGTTCATTCAAGTAGGTGCCTCGGGTAAAAAGGAGGACGCCTGCAAGGGAGCGGATGGCTGGTCAGGAGGCAATACATACGGCTTTGCCAATGCCATGCTTACTGAAGACAACTATCAGTTTGATATGATTGACGACAGTGGCAAAGTCTTGACCTCCATCAAAGGTTAATTATTTTTAAACAATATTTTGTATCAGTAACACCATCACATTGTCAATGTTGAATCGACTTGTTTCACAACGTCTTTTATTTAAGCTATTTATATTTTGAATAAACTGCATCAAAACATTCTTTTTAGCATGCTAGTAGATATCCAAACATTGGGTTTGAAAATCACTTTTGTTGCCAGTAGCCATTAATAGCAAACCTCGGTGATAGTGCCAATTTCAAAAGTGAAGAATTATAAAAGTTATACTCCAGGTTGCTGAGAGGCCAGTTCGTTGACCGTCATGGGTCCATCTTTACCTTGATCAGGAATGCTGTATCCGCGAGAAACACGCTCCTGGCGAGCATCCTCGGCACATTCGCGCAGTTTAGCAGCAGCAGCATCACCCGTCTGCTCAACCAAGCTTCTAAAGACACCATCAGGAATATCCAACAGCTTGATTGGTTCATCAAACTCGACCACCTTGCCAGCATCCATAACCAAAACTCGATCGCAATCAATAATGGTATTGAGACGATGAGCAATGGTTAGCATAGTCAGGTCTGCAAAGTTCTTTTTGATGGTTTCTTGAATCAACAAATCGGTTTTCGCATCAAGAGAGGCAGTGGCTTCGTCGAGAACAAGAATCTTGGCTTTGGATAGAATAGCTCGAGCAATGCAAACAAGTTGGCGTTGTCCTTGAGAAACAGATTTGCCATTTTCAGTCACTGCAGTTTCAAGCTTGCTTGGCATGGAACGAACCTTGTCACCCAATTGTACGGCATCCAATGCCTTCCAGATCTCTTCGTCGGTAGATCGACTAAATGGATCTAAATTGGACCGCAAGGTACCAACAAACATGACAGGCTCTTGCGGAATAATGGCCACCTTGTTACGTAAATCATGCAAGCCAATCTGACTCACATCCAACCCATCAATGGTGATTTTTCCTTCTGAACTTTCGACAATACGCAGCAGTGAAACCAACAGAGTGGATTTTCCCGAACCAGTGCGTCCAACAATACCAATTTTTTCAGTAGGATAAATGGTGCAGGACACGTTCTTGAGGACAGCAACACCAAATTTTTGGTATTTGAGAACAATATTATTAAAGTTGATCAAACCCTTGGTAGGCCAGTCCGCAGGAGGTTTCTTTTCAGGAATTTCAAAAGGTGCTTCGGGTTTAGTTGCGCCATAGTAGACAAGCTGACCAACAGATGCCATTTGAGTCTCAACCTCACCCCACATACGAACGGTCCATTGAACAAAGACGAGCATTTGAAGAGCGTTGGAAAGTGCAAGACCACCGACAGAGTCAATTCCTGGTTGATCCCGGTTGACAACAAGCAGCAAGGAGGAAAAGTAGATGAACAGTGATGACAAAATATCGAGATACAGAGCTTGGAAAGATTTGACACATTGCATAGAGAATAGAGCTTCATGGTTGGTATCAATACGCTCCAAGTTTATAGAATCAAAGCGGTCTTGGGCATGATAGGCACGAACAGAAAACAGACCCTCGAGCGTGGCAGTTAAATGAGCATAGATGGGAGGCTTGGAAATGGCTTCAAGAGATTTGGTCTTGAGATCTGCAGGGTTGGAGTAGCGAATAAAAAGATATGCAATAATAACAATACCAATCGCAGGAGCCCAGCCCCAAGGAATAATAGCAGCACACAAAACGAGTGCGCCAAGTCCTAGAGGGAAATACTGAAGGGCCTGCATGGCAGAGTCGAGCATAGTATCATCAACATGCAACTGGTGTTTGGAAAAGGCGGATAAAATACGTCCAAGAGGAGTCATGTCAAAAAAGGACATGGGAGCGTGCATGACAGCATGGAATAGTTTCGAGTGAAGAGTAAATGCCTTGTATGAGGTTGCCTGAGAAAAGAACAGACCACGGAAAAATGCACCAATAGTAAACGCAATGGCAAAAACACCATATACACCAATGTAAACAGCATCGCTGAATCCACCAATACGAGGAACCCACAAACGAAGCCAGTAATCACCAGCAATACGGATACCGTGAACAAGAACAAACATAATCATGATTGATATGGTGACTACAGACCCACTACCACTGCGAGCATATGCGACAAAATCACCAAAACCGGCAGATTGAGTAGATAAATCGTCTTGAACAAGTTTTCCGCGAAGAATTGCATCTTCTTCATCATCATCGTCGGGAGAATCGTGATGCGGTTGTCGAGTTTGTGAGATGGAGTAAACAGACAGTTCATTCTGAGCTGTAATTTTAGCAATATCGTGAGATCGCTCAGCGCCAATAATGAGATTTGCATTTTGTTTGTCAATAACGGAGCGGATTGTGTTTTCATTAAAGTCGCGATAGTTGCGGCATGAGAGCTGATTGCGTGAAGTGATAGAGAGACCATTGAGTTCCATCATCTCCATGGCATCGTGCTTCTTTTTACCAGAAACAGAGCCAGGAGCAGACGATGAGGCATGGGAGTGACCGACTGAGAAAGGAGCAGGAGTGGGAATATCAAACTTGGTATTATTGATTGGGATATCACCAAAGTCTTCGTCTTCGACTTCCTCTTGTCCGCTTTCGAGAACGTGAGAGTTGACCAGTTCAGAAAACACAGTATCGGTTTCCATCAAACTAGAGTAAGTGCCTTGACTACGAATGGTGCCGTTTTCAATGAAAACCACATAGTCCATCTGAGAAAGATACTGCAACTGGTTGAGGGCAATGATCAGAGTCTTGTTACCTAGATGCTTAAGGAAGCACTCTTCAAAGATATGGCGACCAACATGCTGATCAACGGCAGATAAAGGATCATCAAGAATCACAATTTCGGCATCGTAGTATATAGTACGAGCAAGCGACACACGCTGACGTTGACCACCAGAAAGATTGGCGCCACGCTCAGCAAGTTCAGTCTGATCGGCAGAAAGTAGCAATGTTAGATCACGTTGAAGACCAGCAACACGAATAACTTCTTGATAACGTTCCATGTCCATGTCTTTTCCAAACAAAATATTCTGACGTAGAGTCATGTTGAGGATCCAAGCTTCTTGAGACATGTACGCAGTGGTTCCATAGAGTTTGATTTCAGGTCCAGAAACTTGACGAATCTGTCCAAGAAGGGCAGCAATTAGGGATGATTTTCCAGAACCCACATCGCCTACAATAGCTACGCGGGAGCCCTTTTTGATGGCAAGAGAAACGTCGCGAAGAGAAGGATCATCACCCTCGGCACCATCCCATTTAAAGTTGGATTTGGAAATATGTAGAGCAAGATCACAATCGGCAGGAGCAGGAATGACTTTGAGTTCCTCAACTTCTTCAAGATGGAAAAAGGTTTCGAGACGACCAAAGGCGGTAAGTGCACCAGCGGTAGACTTGACAGCCATGGGAAGCATAAAGAAGGGATAACGAAGTGTATTGAACACAGAGAGAACAGTAAACGACACAGAGGCAGTAAGTCTATTACCGGTGCCCACATAAGTGGAAAGACAAGTGAGAGCAACAAGAACAGGAACGGCAAACACAACAGCAAAATTGACAGTCTTGACGATAAGGCCATTGTAAATGAGTTCCATTTCGCGCTGACGGATCTCGGATATCTTTTCGGTAAAAGGTTTTTCCCAGGCATAGAATTTGATCAACTTGATGGCAGTAAGAATTTCAGACATCAGATGGACTCTCTCGGTTGTGGCAGAAGTTTGATCACGGTTATAGTCATTAGTGAGTTTACCCAAGTATACTTGGATGGGGAGCAAGATGAGCACCCAAGCAAGAGCAGGTAGGGCAGAAACACCGATTTCGGAAAAGGAGATGCCAAGAATCAACACGACTTCAACAAAGGCAGCCCACAGAAAGTGGAAATTGACAACAGCATCGTTGATGCGAGTGACATCAGTGGACAGGATGTTGATGACTTCACCAGCACCGCCTTTAAGACGAGACACACGAAGAGATTTACGATATACCATTCCAGTGATGGCAGCACGAATTTTGATACCAACACGATTGCATTCGGCGTACTGTTGGTGAATTGCAATGGAAGAAAAAAACGAAGATAAAAACAGAGCCAAAGCGTACATGTGGCCATTCAACATGATTCCGCGAGTCGTCAAGAAGACCAACATGAGTTTTAGTAGATACCAAGCACCTGCCCAAGTAAAGAATGTCCACAGAATCTTGTAGATACCAATCATGCCATATTCAAATCCATAGGTAGTGTAGAGAGCACGCAAGAACCTCGCATTACTATAATTGATATGTCAGGGTTAGAATCATACAGCAAAAACAGGACCATGAAAAAATTGGTATCGACTATTTTCCACCAGAAATGAAATGGTAGCAGACTATATGGGGATTAGAGGGGTGGATATATTCATGTGGCCATATATAAGCAAATTCAATCTGTATCCAATCATGTATCCAATCCTGTATCCAATTGTTCCATGACTAATAAAAATGGTGGCTGGCAAGTGCTTCCAAGCCAAGCACTAGTGCATTTGAATACACTGCCAATAAAAAGCGGCAATTCAAACAAAAGCCGACTTGCATTATAGTGTAGTCTGAAGAATGATGGGTTCAAAATAGAAGTTCAATGCAGTGTCAACCATACCTAGGATCTTCCTTGTACAAACGAAGCCATTCAGATTCCAGTTTTTCGGTATTCGTTCGAGCACTTTCGGCTGGACGCAGTTGCAGCTGAATCTTTGCAAATGCAGAAGTAGTGTGGGTTGAAGCTCTGTGTACAATGGGATAAACCCATACAAAAAACCAATTCGAAATAAAATGGTTGCTCCATAAATGAACCATGCCAGCAGAGTTGGCTCGGGCTGGATCCTGTTTTGATTTTATTGGATCTTTGGATTCGCCATGGGTCAGTTTCAAAACAGAAATGTCCTGCTTATCAACAGGTTGCTGAGCCGACATAGTGAGATAACTGCTAGAAAGAAAGGCTAGCAAATAATTCCTTGAATATAACTAATGAATGGTAATGTAGTTGGAAAAGTAGTTTAGAAGAAAGTCGAAAATCGAAAAAGGAAACTTTTATCAAGAGTCTGAGCAATTTAATCGATAATTAGGCTCACCACCCTTTCATCAATTATTAAAGGGAAGATGAGTTGTAAATGGATGAAACTAAGCATTATGGTAAAGGGATTGATGTAAATGGGGTGGATAAGAGTGCCCATCCACTCCCCTAACCATTAGTAGGGTGTAATAAGGGATCACTACGCATTCATGATAGTAACAAAGCTAGGGCTTGAAAAATAGTTGAATCAGTCCTCAGACAGTTGTCAGTCATGGTTGTCAGTCATGGATTCATGTAGCAAATACTTGCATTGGTGAAATACTCTTGGACGCTTTTTACACTTGGGTATTCAACTCGACCTATGCAAACCTGGACTGGGGTGGAGATTCAAAATAATCGATTAAAGTGAAACCTGGAGAGTCAGTCGGGGCTTTTATCCTTTTCTGTAAGCTTGGTATGTCCAGTACACTAATCTTTAAAACATATTTCTACTGGGCCCCGGCTACATTATAATAAGCTAGAATCGCTTCTGCTTTGATGGCAACTTGATAGGCGCGCCAACCCATTTACAGGGTTATTCACGTAAACTGTAATGCTTTTCTGTACTTGTCTTGTAGTCAGGACCTTGGAATATTCAATGGCTGAATATCGGCTGTATTTCCTTATTAAACACTGACTGTTTTTCAAGACATTCTTAATACACCATCGATCGTATGATGTACAAAATCAAACTATATAGTTTTAAGCATGTCTTTTCTCCATGTTTGATATAGCCACATGTTGTACAATGGTCAGATTCATACATTGGTCCAGATATTAGCTCATGTTGTCAATACAACGCTATAGACTCTGTATCCTAAAATACTATACACTCTAGTTCAAAAGAACAAAGATTACAACTGTACATGCCAATCACTCAATATCTAAACGCAAAGTTGAAGACTAAACAAGTGCGGGATTGGCTGGAGCCGAGTGCTTTGAACATGTCTAATTCTTGGCGTTTCATTTTACGTGAATACAGTTGTGGATGATATCCACGACCATCACATCTGCAAAACAAACATTTATACCAAACTGATGTTTCAGTCATATTTGTCAATCATCTGTTTGCTTGATATATAGCGTCATTGGAATACATTGATGTGAGCATTGCCATCCAAAGTATAATACGAAACAGGCCATGTTTCATGTTTAGCTGCTTTGAGCCCAAAGCATTTGAATTCTATCATCGATTACAAGATTATTAGTGTAGTAATAAATAGATTGGCTCATAATATGAGATTTAGAATTGATGGTTTATGGAATGGGTAAACTAGAAGCGAACAATCGAAAGCACGAGAGGTCTGAGCATTGAGTTGAAAGCTTTGACTTGCATCGGCCAAAAAGACTATCAGCCAGATCCACATACCTACCAAAGCATGCCCATCCACAACTACACTCCTAGAATCAGTCCTATGGCTGAATTTGTTTTACTAGCCGAGTTTGATATTGATAAAGGCTCGTCCTTGTCTTGCCAATATCCTACTCCGACTGGTGCTGATCCTGCGTAAGAAGTTTGAATTCGAGCTGGTTAGCTCATACTGGATAGCAAGTGATAAACTGCATTCTTGAATGCATGTCTGGATGTTCAATGTTATTCACATGCATTGCTTGCTTCTCATGTCACTCTATCACTAAATAGCACTTTGGCTGAATGGATGCTTCCTGAAGGTGCTCACTTGCGTCGTGAAGACTGCTCATACTTTATCTTGAATCGAACAAAAGCTGGGACTGTAAGACTTTCTCATATTTCTTCATGTCTATTTTTGAGTCTTTGAGCATAGTGTCTGCTTGATTTAAAATAATAAGCTAATTCACAAATCATTTTAATAGACTATACCAAACGAGTCAATTGCATTGGCGCAGTTACAGTCCAGTCCGCTCGAGCAAGTATTCTTATGCTTTGAAAATCTAATACTAGTTGCTTTACACGATTGTTGATTCAAACTGGTCGACTTTGTAATCAGGGTCTGCATTCAAGCTGTTGCTTATATTAAGCCTCAAAAAGGTAGCTGACATGTGTACGAGTCAATTCAAAAAGAATCCATGCTATTCATTATATCTTGTTCTAATCTTACCGTTGGCTTAGTTTGGGAGCTATGTTTTCCTCGCGGGGAACTTATTATTGCTTTGAGATCTGGGTCGCAAATAGTTGTAACTCATCCTGATTGCCAAGAGACTGTATGGTACGTTCAAATTGATGTAGATATGTGTTCCAATTATTAATACATCTTGAACAAAATTCATTTTTTTTCATATCCTGTGTCTTGCGTCATACAGGAATGTAACCAACGCAACGTGCGAGTACTGGGACGAATTGACTGTGTGTTTTCGTAAGATTAGTCCGCCATTAGGCAAGTCCAACTACACTGCTCAATTGCTATAAAATCACCAGTTGTGCGTCTAAACTGAGCCATGATTTTTCATTCAACTATTTAGTTGTGCGGTTTAGATCTGCAGACGATCGCATGTACTTTATGCGTTTTGTACATGAATCAGCCCAAGTTTTGCCTGCTCAACGTGTTTTTCCTGAAGGTATACCACTTATCATTTTGAATGCCAAAGCATACTATTTTAAACATGCAGAATGCACGTTTCTAGTCTACTATCAGGTCGATTGTCAAATTACAGCTTGCATTGTGTATATCAACTCATTTTGGATTTTTACATTGATAGACCTTCCGGAAATTCCAACCCCTGATGAGCCACTATTATATGTAATCAACATGATCAGCATGAAAATCATTGCTGGTGCAAGGCGCAGTGCAAGAGTAAAAGCCATGGCTATTGCATCCCGCCATCCATGGGTGCACGTATTCAAGGCAAGTGGTTTGAACCTGTTTACTGGATTTGACTAGAAAATTAACAATCAAACGTGTCATTGCATTGTAGCCACTATTGATTTTAGCTCTCGACAAGTACTTTTCAAATCCAAGCGAGCAAGTCATTACTGATTTGTTTTATATTTTAAACGGAGTGGATACACGGTCTATACCTATTTTGACTTTACCAGAACGAAAAGTAATGCGGATGTTGATGCGCAACACTGTTCCTCATCATAGTGCAAACTTTGATCAGCAAAAGATTTTTTTAAAGCACTACGATTCTAAAGGTTTAAATACTCTTGATTGCATGAGCCTCACAGTTAGTTATTGCATACTAACTTGTAAATCCATTTTAGATGAGCCTTTGGAGATTCGAGATTATTTAACTGATCCAGAGATTCTCATTAATTTTGCGCATCATTCTTTGCCCATCAAAGTTCCAGTAGCAAGTCTGCCTTCTGAATTTGGAGATGTAAGTGCATTGGGGACTTTGTTTTGGACCAATCGCTTTAAACTTTATTACTGCTAACCAGCTTTAATATTGTCTTGCTTATATTTTACAATATCAAAGTTTTCATTTACGACACTTTTTACCACATTTGCGTCTCCGACACTAACTAACCAGACCCTCCCATTAAAATGGCGCAATGAATTGCCTTACTGTTGGCATCCCCATCTTGACTGTGGATCACTTACTCACCCCATAATTGTGCTTCTTTTTGCTCTTTTGACTGAAAAACGAGTACTGTTTCTTGGTTATGGTAAACCTAGCAGCGAGATTTCATCATGTGTGTTGGCATGCACAGCTATTGCTTCAGGAGGCGGGTTAGTGCCTGATGCTATATCTCGATCTTTTCCATGTGTTGGATTGGCTAGTGTAGATATGCTGTTGAAAGTGTGAGTCATGGCGCCATATTTTGTTTTTGGGCTGCAACTGTATTTTACTTTGAACGAGTATAATCGAATGATGAAATTAATTTGGATTTGTATGTGTTGACCTTTTTGTTGATAGGCCTGGATACATTGCTGGTGTAACCAACCCAGTTTTTGAAGAGCAGGCAGCATGGTGGGATATACTCTGCAATTTAAACACGGGGAAAATTACCATTAGCTCAAGATTGATCTCCAACGAGGTTCCTGGAGATACTTTTAAAGACCGATCGTTTGATGCCACTCAAGCCATATCTGAAGAAGACGATACGTTGATTCAAGAGGTGGATGCATTGCAATTTTGTAACCTTGATTTGGCAGTCGAGTATGCATATTGACTTGGTAATTTATAAACTAACTGTATTTATAAAATGTGTCGATTACCAAGATTTCAATGGGATTACAAAAGCATATTGACGAAATGCATCTCCGTCAACTTGTCTATAACTTTGTGGAGCGGTTTATTCAGGTTTGCACACCGCCTGTTGACGTCAGTGTATCGGTCAGTGCCGTGCTTCCAGGCTTAACAACCTCACCACCAGTTATGCCAGCCATATCAGGAAACATTACTTCCCCAGTGGTCCGGATTCCAATGCAATGGCGAGCAAGAGCTGAAGCATGGCAAAATACTCAATCCATGAAAAATCTTTGTCAGTCGCGACTCTACATGTCTCGAAAAACCATGTTTCCTCAATACGATGTCAAATCAGCACTGGTTGAAATGGCAGCTGTTGCTCTTCCTAATATTCCTGGGATATCGTCATCTAGTAGTCATGGAGGATCAAGCATTGGCCGAAGTAGTGGTATATCTACTGGAAGTGGTGCTGCAATCCTATCACTGCAAATCGAACGTGTTGTTTCTAATTTTTGCATCATGGACTATTTGGTTCAAGAGGCTTCTGATGATGAGCTGATGGAAATTTTGTCGTATTTACCTACTACTGATGGTGGTTGTTTGCCTTTTTCTATTGGGCTGTACCACGAACGACCCGAAGTTCGTATGGCTGCTGCTCATATCATTCAGCGCTTGTTTCTTCAAAAGGTCAGTTTTTATTTTAATAGTATAAAATATCATCATATTTATCATAATACTAAACCGTTTCATTGTATGTTTGACTATTTTTGTTTATTCAAGATGGGCGAAGAGTATGTCAACCCCTTTATTAAACTCTCAGTAGCGAGATTATTGGAGAATACAGCAATCAGTTCACATGAGCAAATGGGCAAGTGACTGATTTTAAATAGTTGATGTACATGATTGTTTTGAGCAGTCATTTGGGTTTATTTCAAAGCAGCTCGGTTTTCTATTTTGTGTTGTACTGAAACTAACATTATTTTTTGGAATGTGTATAGGATTGAATCATCTGAGTGAGCATTGCTTGAATACACCATATAGCGATGACAGCGATATGAACTATATGGATGATATGGGTTTAGACGATGATGGATTTTATTCAGACGATTCGGATTCAGAAATAAGGGGTGTTGAGGCGTATACAGAAATGTCACCAGTAATAGAGTCCATGGTTAATTTATCTGTATCCCAACCTTCTCAAAGTGCAAGACGAAATCGGTCGAGTTTAACTTTGGATGATACTGATGTTTAGATACTCGAAACTATGGCAGGGGTTAAAGTGAATTTTAATAAACTAAATGCTAAAGCATAACACACCATGTAAGCATTGATTCAAGCGTAGACTGAATTTAAACATTGACTAAAATTATAATTTTTACAACACACCCACTCATGCTAAAATAGCTTATATCAACAAGTAGTTAGAAATCAATCCAGCATATTTATTTCAAAATTCATACAAGTTGGATAAACTAAAAGTCTCAAGTTTACAGAACTAGGTTCGAAAGATAACATTGGAATATACGAGTAAAACACAAGATAAAAGATCAAGTCTAATATCTACTGGTCACAGCTGCGACCAATGTAGATACAGCAGATATCCATGGTAGTGCATCCGGAGGAGGTGGGCTTGGGTGGACGGCGGGTGGTGGTAGTCTTTCGGGTGGTAGTCTTTCGGACGGTAGTAGTCTTCCTGGTAGTGGTGGTGGATGGGGGTCTGGCACCAGAGCCTTGGGTGCAGGACTGAGTCTCGGGATCCCAGTTCATCTGAATGAGGAAGTTGTGTCCATTCCATCCACTGTTGTACGAAGCACCGTTGGAGTCAGTCTGGGTACTACCGTACTTGTAGGCACACTTGTCACCATTTTCAAAGCCTGGGGTGTCGTTCCATGCGCGGTTTGCAAAGGGATCGGTGACAGCCTCGGTAATTTCATGAGCCATGACGGAAATCATAGCATCAGTGGCAGTATCACCGTTGGGAGAAACATCCTGGTTGGATGGGGGGCCACATCCGCCGATGCAAGAGCTGCCAATTTTACCAGAAAGAGCATAGGGGAAAGCTTTACCGCTTGAAAAACTACCTTGGTTATGGTAACCACAGTATCCACCGCAGAAAGACGAGCCAAGAGCGTACTCTGAAACAAGCTCGTCAATCAGAACATAGTAAAGCGAGTTTTCACTTTCGGGGAACGAACCGGCAGCAATTGCATTCTTGACAATGTTGGGAACATCATCACCACTGAGCGACTTGCCGAGAGAGTAGTTGTCATCAGCAGATCCAGCAAATCTGACCTGACCATCAACATAGACCTTTGGAGACGAAGCATCGGCCTGGTAGTAGTACTTTTTGGTGGTTGTCCACCAGTCAGAGTCACCAAGACCAGAAGTGAAGTCTTGGGCGAGCTTTTTCTGAGCCGAGCTCCATTTACCATAGTAGACAACTGTTCATTAAAATGCACATTAGAATCGCGTCCAATTAAATTGTTGGATATACCAATCGATCGCATTTAAAACAGTCGATCAGTCACTTACAGTAAACGTCAAGTGGTCCGGTAAGAAGAGGAGCACCCATATTGTAGGTAATAGGACCATATGGGGTAGCAGCAAGAGTCTTTCCGCGCATAGGAGCAATACTCTGCAAATGAGCAGCAGTAGGCTTGGATGGGGTAGCAGTCGCAGCGATAATAGCAAGCGAGGCAACAAAGGTAGTAGCAATCATTATTGTATGGATAGTATTGATAGTATTGTACTTGATGAATACTAATTTGATGGAAAATGTATTCTCTTTTATACACAAGATATCTATAATAGATCCCGAGCTTCATAGTCAAAGTCACATTTACGCATGGAGGGGGTTTAGACACATGTACAAGTGTTATTTCACATGATGCTAATATGAAACCTCCGCCCTGCCATAAGTATGTAGCATCGTGCTATTCATTATTTGAATGGTATTTAAAAGATGTTTTTCCAACACGTTTCCCGATAGTATGCTTTTCAACGTGATAAAAAAGTTTTGACAATGGGCTGAACCTAATAATTTGATTCCGCCCATGTAACTACTGCTTGGACAATAAGCTTGATATTTTTCACATGAATAGTTTTGAATGAAATAGTCAATGCGTTCAACCTTGTGTATTTAGCATGTGCTGGCATGGGTCGAGCACACTTGAACACATGTGAATATAATTTTGACCGATTTTATTTATTCGAATGCTCAAATGATTTTATGAGGGAATGCAATAATACGGCATTCCTCGCCATGCTTTGGCATCAAGTTGTGTAGTTGACCAAGAGTAACTACTGTACAGCTGTTGTAAATAATATTTTTACAAACCAGTTTCTATTAGGGTAGTTTAGAAATATGCCATCAAACAGATCTTATTTACAAAGACTTGGATATTACCAAGATTGAGTAAAATACCAAATAAACGTTTGATTGGATGAGTATGTCTGTAGATTGATTTGCTTGATGATATGCAAGACTGTACTGGAAAGAGAGCTTACAACATGCATTGTTTATCATTATACTATTGTTTACTGTCATTCCAGTCCATGAGTTTGGAACATGTTGCGATGTATCGATTAGCTAGAGGATCTGGGGCAAATCCATCAGCAAGTCCAGTGCTTTTTACCGACTATATGGATCGTATCAGACTGGCACTTGCAAATAACTCGATCTATATATTTCAATCCTAAAACGACAGCCATGAATAGCCTACAGAGGACTGATGTTTCCATTACAGAGCACCAGTATCTAGTCATGACAATTACAATTGATCGACTCCGATCAGTTGTGGTTGTCAGAATCTGAACATCTTCAACTTACAACAACATTGCTATAAACTCGGATCAATCGTTCAAGACATCTTAATACTACTATGAATATTGGCACCAAGTCCTTGAATGGGATTTTATTTTCCAACTTCAACCAGGACTACAGGTAAATTGGCATTGCCAGTTTTTGTCTTGGATTAGCAAGTTGCATTCTACTGTTTCTATTGCTATAATGGCATTATACAAGAAGCTACTTTTGAACTGGAAGCTTCTTAAATACATTCTGTTATTTCTATTTATCCATACTTGAATCTTCTGGCTGCTACTAGGATTATTACAATGCTACTGACAGTCAAATCACCCTTGCCAACACTTGTGGTGTTGCTATCAACCTTTATGATGGGACTGCTCGTTTATCTATTCAACTGCTTGTGTGGTGGGTTTTATTTTACTGGTGAGATCTAATCTTTTGTTTTCAGCTGCATATCTGTGGGAACTCGCACTGGATACAAGATATATAACTCGGATCCATTTGGAAAATGCTATGCCAAACGTGAGTGTCATTGAATAGTTTTAAAAGTAGACCATCTGGATTTCTTTTACCAATCTACTATGCTAGGACTGGATGTCCATATAAACCAAGTCTTTTCGGTAGATTGGATAGATTTTGTCATATGGAAATAATTGAATAGTTTTTAATCAATCTTGATGGTTTAAAACCAATATCATTTTGATCACTATTGGCTAATGCATTGTAACATGTATGGTTTAGAGGATGGAGGGATTGGGATCGTAGAAATGCTATTTTGTACGAGTCTCGTGGCACTTGTTGGCGCAGGAGAGCAGCCAACATTTTCTCCTCGCAGACTCCAGATTATAAACACAAAGGTATTCATACTTGATTCTATCAAGGAGCGTAACTTTAATCCTAACCATGCCATCTTATGCGGATAACGACTTTGAAAACATAATGAATTAGCGGCAATCGACTATTTGTGAATTGACATTTTTAACAGCAATCCTGGCGGTAAAACTCAATCGGATGCGTCTTATTGTTATTTTGGAAGAGCATATTTACATTTATGACATTGGAAATATGAAGTTAATGCATACAATTGATACCAGTCCAAATCCCAATGGTAATTGCTCTGTCTTTTGAAACTGCTTGATTTCCACTTGATGGCTTGTTGATACAGCCAGGAGTATCTTTTTAAACGATTCAAGGTGCTTTTTGTGCAAATCTAAAACTAACCTTTTGAATATCTTGTGACACGCCAACTGTTTTTCCACTCGACATTTTTCATCAGCATTATGTTCGCTGTCGCCGTCATCAGAAAATTGTTTTTTTGCATACCCTTCAAATGCTTCTACATCATCTGGCGAAGTTCTTTTATTTGACGCCATTAATCTACAAGCTGTTAATATAGTTCAGGCTCATAAAAGTTCATTGAGCTGCATTGCATTCAACTATGATGGCACACTTATTGCTACTGCAAGTGACAAGGTTGGATTGATACTTTGCAAAAATCATTCATTACAATTGAATATTTGGTGTGAAATACTGACAATGTTTTATAAATGAAATTGCGACTGCTACCAGGGAACTGTCATTCGAGTATTCACAGTACCCCAAGGACAAAAACTATTCCAGTTTCGACGAGGAACATACACGGCTCGCATCTTTTCCATGTCATTTAATTTGGACAACACTATGCTAGCAATATCCAGTGATTCAGATACTGTACACATTTTCAAATTGGATGATAAAGACAGAGTCAAGGACGCACAATTGGTGCCTGGCGATTCAACTGGAAACAGCCCTGTTGATTATGCTTTGTCATCCCAACCCCAACTATCTAGTGCAACACTTGCTTCATCTAGACGATCAACAATGATTGATTCTTTAAAATCACCTCTCTTTTCAGCAGCAGGCGCCGTCAGCTCTTACTTTATTCCTGAAATGATTACAGATATATGGGAGCCCACTCGTGATTTTGCGTTTGCAAAAATTCCTTCAGCAAGTAAATCCACGCAGAATCTATGTAGTTTGAGCCGTGCATCTGGGGTACTGCAGCTTTCTGTTGTTGTTGCAGACGGATCGTTTTATGTGTTCAATGTATTGGATCAAGGCGGCGAGTGTGTTTTGGTGAAGCAACATACTATTATGGATTCCGAAGAAGAAATGTAATAGATGTTGATTATAGTCTTGCCATTCCGTTTGCTGATACTATTGATAAGAATTTGGCTCTTGAATCAGATTTGAGCATTTTAAATACACGTTTATTAAATTGATGAGCAATGAATTGTCAAACTCGAGTCAAGTTTCAATAAATTGGTGTTTTTGCTTCATGTAAAAGTTTGGCATTTTGAAATGGACAAACGTATATCGGATGAATCAATACCAAGTGCAGATGTGGATATTGGTATCAATTTGGCATCATCCTTGACTGCTGATAATAGTACTCAACATACACCAAATATACCGGAGCAGCTTCACGCTGATATGGTCGTGTCCACACCAACAAGCCAAGTTGTTTCTACAGTAAGCACCATGCAGAGTATCTATAACAACAGCAGATATAACAATCTAAATATATACCATATACTTTTTAGAATTTTGACAGCAATGTGAATATTACTCCATCATCTCCAGCCGATGGTTTGGGTTTAGCTGCAGACATGCCAATACATGGCACGACAGCCAACACGTCAAATACTATTGACATGGCAGAACCTGACCGTGACTTGCCCAGTACCGAGACTTGCAATGACCTCGACGAGGGATCAAAAAATCTATCTAATTGCCAAATACAATATGACACTGTAAATCATGACAATAATGAGCCAGTTATAGTACTTGATGAGCATAAGGATGATGGCATATCTAAATTAGATTCAAACACCGATATACTAGTTTCTAATACATCTTCCAAACACAATATTTTTTCGAGCTCAACTGTGGATATAAGCAATGTTCATATCAATGCAACGACTGATTCTGTAGGCGTGACAGCGCTTTTAGCGGCAGATGAACAACTAGACGTGGTTGCTACAGCTTTACCACCTCCCAGTCAACACAGTTTTACTGGTGAAGAATACGACAGTGAAACTGGTTTAGATCATCACGATCAAGGTATGTAGGTTTATATTTTACTGCTGTTTTGAAATATTTGAAACATTTGAAGCAATGTTTATACCAAGTTTTCAACTCGAATGTGTTGACACCTACTTGAATTGTAGATTCACATGCGTATGGGGATTCATTGGCTGGCGAAGCACCAACTTACAATTGCACTCTAGTTAAAAGCAATCTTTCACAATGGTTTGGCAAACGCTATTTGGGTGGATACCGAGACAAAAAAAGGGGTACAGAGTATTTTCATGCCGAAACTCAAACTCTTACTCCCCAGCAGTTGCAAAACAAGGTATACTATCCAGACTTTAAAAACATCATGTGTGGGGTTTCAAATGTAATAAGATATACATGGTTTCAAACGGATACATTGGGTTTATTGATATGCATTCATGGTTTAGACGGTAAAGGAAAAGTTTCATAGAGATACACAAACAAAAATCGGCAGGAATCGATTAAATCAAACCTTTCAAGAAATGTCGACACAAATGGTATACTTTTAGTAAATAACTCAACCACCTGTACTGTTGGCCAATGTATTCAACTTGAATTCACTGACTAATATGGTTACTTTATAAGACCAAAATTGGGTGTTATGTTACAACGGAGAAATCTGTAATCAAGTGCGGTAAGCCCTATGTGATGGCTGACGAGTTTCATGCGATTAAAAATCGTAAAGCAGTCATTATTCAATGTTTTGTACGACAAGTCTTGGCAAGAATGAAGGCCACTTGGCTTCGTCAAGAGCGCGATCGACGAGTCAAGTCCATGGCAGAGGTAACTGTATATGTATTCAACTATATGAGGAATATTGGTAATGCTGACCATCCAGTATGATTGAGGGTTTAGAAAGATAAACGCCGACTGATCTTGTCGGAGAAGAAACGCTTAAAAGACATTGAAAGCCGACTTCATCCAAAAACCAACAAAAATTTCGAAATTCTCTACAATGGTCTTGAAAGTAGGTGTTTTATAGAATACATGTGTACTCGAAATGATTATATTAAATCAAGTATTTCATTTGCTACCAGATTGGAGACTACAAGAAACGTCGAGAATTAATGGCATGGGGTATACCGAACCGGCAAGATTAGCGGCTCTGGCGGATCTACTGGATCAAGAAAGTGCTCTGTTGCAAAAGATTGACCGGCTCAAACTTGCAGCCAATGAGGAGAATAGGGAAAAATCCATAGTTCAGCTCCTTGAAAAGGCAAGTCTTGATAGGTTTACCTATATTTTACAAATCCATGCTCAACTGTTTTTAGATGGCGTCTCCAAAACGATGGGTATGTGGCGGAGAGCTTACGGTACTGGTTGATACACCCAACACCATTCGAGCGAGAGAGTTACGCGACCTTTATCATGCGCTTAACCTTCCCTTGCTATCGATAGACGAGCGACTTCAAATCTTACTGCATGTCAAGTACACGGTCAAGGAATTCGACTGTAATCTGTCAAGGGATATTGTTGAACTGATTGATCGCGAAGGAGATTTGGTCAGTCGCGGGCGTGATGTATCCTCTCTTGAAGGTAAGGTTGCTAAAGATAATTCCAATCAATACTCGACAGGTGTTGCTTTATTCATTTGACTAAAATACTACGGTGCAGGGTTGCGCAAGCGTATCAACAGTCTATTCCTGCAGTTTATCAAGACGCCTGAATTTAATCCAGAGGCAGCATCGCATCAAAAGGTGATTCCAGTTGCATTTTTTCGATTTGACTACTTGATAGTACTTGCTGAATCATTGTCATCTAGTATGCAGAATGTGGGCAACACAATAACTGGAAACGTGAATCAGCAGTCTACTACTGTCGTGGCTGTACAAAATACAAACAATCAACCGAGTTCTATCTCAGTACAACAATGAAACATCTTGGAAAATGCAAAGAATGTACTACAAAAGAGAATTTAGCAACAAGTCGCAAGGATGATTCTGCTTATGGCGAAATGCTCAAACTAATTCGTATCCATGAAACCTCGCGACGTAAACTAAGCGGATTTCCAGTGGATTTGTCTTACAATGCCATGGCCTTATTACAGGAAAGTGACATGCGCTACCTTGTAGATGTCATATGGAATCGAAAAAGTGCTGTATGTGGAAGTCACAGTATGGAAGAGTTGGTATTGACAAGATGGGACCCTGCACAAGAGCTGAGTCCTTGGAATTGTATTCTACTGACCAAGGCAGAATCTGCCACGCATGACCGTAGACCAGATCCACACCAGATGTACTCGGAGGATTTTACAAACAAGGTTAGACAAAAACATCTCTTGGCTAAACAGCATTTTGGTGGATTGCCTGCTATGAGCAAGTATTTGAAGCATTACTACAGTGAAGATCAGAATGGAAAGCTTGTACCAAAGAATGCAAATACAGCAATGATTGCACCAGCTGTATCCCAAGTTGCTATCCAATAAGACTCACTTGATGCATTAAATATTCGTACTATTTTTAAAGAAATAAAGAGTTGATATAACCAACAACAAAACCTTACAAAATAGATTAACCCATTAAAATAAAAACAATCGGGTAAGCGTGATCATCACAATATATTGTGTTTTTTGAGTTCATCTGTGTATTTAGAGTAGTCGTATTTATAGTCGTAAGATCCACCAAAATCTTTTTCCAAAACTTTTTCAGAAATCATGTTTGACAGCTGAACACCAAGCGAAGGAGCCAGCTCAGGTTCCGAATCCGCGTGTCTTTCTGATGGTTTCAAAATAAAAATCAGATCAAGTCTTGGTGTATGATTATGGATGAAGAATACTTACTTTGATTAGTCATGCCAAATGAAAAGAGCGACCAAGAACTAGCTGGTGTGGGTAATGAGACTGTTGATGTATTTGACAGTCCGTTGGAGATATCTTGATTGTTATGGGTATTTTCCCCTGCATTCAGCCTTTCCTGATCCAGTTTGATAAAGTAGATTTTAGACTTGGTTGCAGGATCTAAAAAATGGGAAATGACATTCCATAGCATGCCAAACACCCATGGGGTGTTTACAAAAAATGCCACACCCATTCGTTCAGGATAATGCGATATGATGAACTTGAGCATCATACGAGTGATGTGAATGGGAGGAGAATTGGCTTTAGCGTAGTGTGTAAAGTCGAATATCATGGACATTTTTTCTACGCCTAATACCACAGTAACATCATATATTTTAGCAACCATGAACAACTCTAGATTAACAAATCAAATGGATTCTAGCCTAAAAGTACCTTGTGGCATTAGACGAATAGCACACTCCATGGTATACACAACCAGTCTGACATTCTTTTCTGGGTCACCTAATGCGCCTCGTTTTCTGACATATATGATGGGCCGACCTTCTTTATCCATGCCATTAATATAGGTATTTCCATTGGCGGCCTCACTTTCCACATCTTTAGCAGTAATCAAGTCGGGTCGATACTAAAAATAAATGATAAAACTAAATAAAATGCGTACATGTATACGAGGCAGTGCATTATATACCTCTTCTCTCCAGACCAGAGTTTCACGAATGCACTGTTTGGCATGAGCAAGGTTCCATTTAAGCGAAGTTAGATGACGACGCAGACAAGGCGTGGTGCAGTAGTCGACTGCACGTTGGTAGCTAGGAGAGCCTACTTCAAATAGATCCGGAATCAGTTGGTCGGAATCGATAAATGCTCGAAGCTCAACAAGAATGGCAGCATTGTGAGAGGAAAGCTCAGGCACAGTTGGCAGTTGAAATGGAGCAGTAGGCTCCAGCTGTGGAAGTGATTGTATCTGATGCAAAAACTTGGGTTTCTTTTGTTCGGCAGTGTCCAAAGCGGAACAATGGTTTAATAGAGTCGAGTCGCTGATATCAGGTGCAGACATGGCAGCCATTCAAAAAGATATAAAGGAATCAAAGTATAGATTGAGCTGTTCAGACACTTTATTAAACAATAGTCTTGAAGTATTCTTCAAGTAAGCGTTTGAATAACAGTAATTTGAAAGGTTTCCTTCAAGTTTTAGTTTTCAACGGGATTCCGAAAGCGCTGTTCAGTTAGAATTCAAACTCGTTGAGCGTACTTTTATGACCCTATTCACGCAATACATTAAGGGTGTTGATTCATAATCAAATGTATTGACAGTATTGTGCCCTGAACTCCCTGGCAGAGATCTGTGGTTTGACAGCAACTAAACCAGTGTTTGGATTAAAATGAATTTAGTGATTGTACAGTCATGACCATGCAAATAAAAGTAATCTCAATTCCAAACTATAATTCAATTAGGATTGTATAATGAAAGTTGTTTATTGAAGAATGCTAGTTAGTAGTATGTATAAAGCACTGAGTAATACCATATTTCTTGCTTGATATTCGCTGATAACTTGATGAAAATGTGCCAAACTATGACTTTTATGACAGTACTGTACAAACTTACGAGTTTAAGACTATTGATGACTGCACTTTGGTTGGTTTGAGGTTCTTGTCAAAACATCAAATGAATATTGAAGCAACACAACTTTTAAATGAATATTACCAAATCAGCACTCAAGCCATACCAACAGAGACAAGTCTCAGTGGCAGGCTGACAACAAGCGAGGTTTCTTGAGAATCATTCAGGAGAAACCTCACACATCACTCGATTGCACAACCAGTCCGCCAAGCAGCAGGAGTTCTCAACCAAGGTCCAGTTGGCAGACTCAGAACATACTCGTACATTTATTGACAAGATGTTCGAGTACTACATACTACCTAAACATGTCATCAATGAGTGTACGAGGATGTTCTGGGTCTGCAAACTGGACCTTGGTCGAGAACTGCCGCTGTGAAGGTGAATTGGTTGGCAGCCAGCAGGTTGTACAAGATTCCTCCCTTTTGAATGATTCCCAAAAAGAATCCTAGTTTGTTCTCAGCCTGCCATAGAGACTTGGCTCTTTGATCTGAGGTGCTGATTTGGTAGTATTCATTCAACAGTTGTGTTGCTTCAATTTCATTTGTTTTTGGAGGAAAGAAAAATGAAATTCGAACCAATCAAATCGGAGAATATTCACCAATAATCTTTTAAACTCGTACAATGTTGTCATAAAAGTCATGGTTTTGATGAATTTTTATCAAGTTACCAACAAGTATTAGTGAAAATCAATCAATAAAACTGATACCATTTGGTTGATATATTACTCCAGTTTCTATTAGAAAAACAACGATTTTCAATTATTATGTTGAAAACAGTGACTGCAAGATAGTATTTTGCATAAATACGACTGCAAATTTGGGAATATAATTGTCGTTGATTCAACTACACTGGATTCAAATACAAATGCTTTCATGGCTGACAGAAATAGTTGGCGGTTGCATTGGCACTGGCACTGGAAAGGGACTGGAGAGCAATAGACAATCAAACATCAATGGATACTTGGATTATACCACCACTACATACGCTGGAAGACGCACACCATCCATCAGACAGGTATTTACACATCAAAGCAATGAGTACTCTTCTGTTCCTCCTGTTGGTTTAGATACAACAATCGATGATTTGGATATACTCGCTGCATTCCCACTTTCATCACAGGACAGATTGCATCACCAATTTGGTGCTGACAATGAGTCCTATATCAACGATTGTAAAGAGCAAGGCAACAGGCTATACGCAGACAAATTACTTTTTCAAGCAATTGTTGAATACTCCAAGGGATTGGCTTGCTTTGTCAATCCTCAGACTACTTTGGAGTCTTCCAAGCGCATTTCAAAGAAATGGTCATTGAATGCCAAGGCTTCCTTGTCCGACCTTCGCAATATCGTTACTAGAAAAAAGAGTAGTGTCAGTTTAAACGACTGTGCTAGAAAACCCAGCGGAAGCAACGTTGGAGAGATTAACCCTGATGAGCGTGTAGAATCTGGTTCTGAAAGTACTGCTCCTGCAGCTCGTTCTTTGCCTGATATCGACAATGCAAGTCCAGAAGATATTGCTCGGCGCATCAATCTCATGACCATACTACTATCCAATCGGTCTGCTGCTCTAAGCACTACCAACTCGTTCGAAGATGCTTTATTGGATGCCATGACTGTAATCAAGTGGCGGCCTGATTGGGTCAAGGGTTATTTCAGAAAGGCCGAGGCATTATCTGGACTGCAGCTATTCACAGAAGCGCTCGAGGCCTATTATGCTGCATCTGCACTGGTATGTTTTTATTTATTCAAGTTGCTTTGTATAGCTCTCACATTAAAGTGCTGAATCTAAATCTGTCTTGTTGATTTATACAGGATCCGGAAAGCAAAACTATTAATCAAAAAATACTGAAAATGCAAGTCCAAGTTGGAGATCTTGCCAACGGTCTAGTCATTCATCAGCTTTTTCCCGGTAGAGAGATTTGCAAAAAGTCAATGATGAATCCTATTCAAAGTCTTGTGTTTGATTTTGCCACAAAAATGCGCAATTTCATCTATTTAATTGTAAATGCAGATACAAAAGAGTGTCTGGTTGTCGACATTTGCTGGGATGTTGATGGAGTTATGAGCTACGCCAAGTCGAAAGGGCTTACGATTGTTGGTGCTATTGTAACACATTATCACATTGACCATGTTGGCGGTATTCCACCACCACCCTATGATAGCTACGGTGTCTTGGTTGACGGCTTGGCAAAACTGCTCAAAAAATTACCACATGTCAAGGCGTATGCTCATGAGCTCGATATTGATGCAATCATCAAGGGAAATCCTGAACTTTCTCGGAGTAGATTTCACCCCACGACAGATGGTACCGCTCTATTGTTGCCACTTTCTGCCAACACATCTCCGAGTCTGCTAGTTCGGACATCTCAAAACTCTCTTGCGACAACCATTGGAACGCATCTTACTGAGATTAAATTTATGCACACTCCTGGACATACCCCTGGATCTCAGTGTATTCTTGTCAATCGCAATCGACTGCTTTCTGGAGATACGCTGTTTATTGGCAGCTGTGGTCGCGTTGATTCTCCAGATTCGTGCAAAATGGACATGTACAACAGCTTACAGGTTTGTCTGGCCGCACTTTCAGATGATGTTGCTGTGTTTCCTGGACATGACTATGGCGGTGAGATTACTTCTATTGGAATAGAGCGGACTCGAGGGTTTTTGCGTCCAGTCGATAAGCAAACTTTTACCAAACAATTTTAGAGGATTGGTTTTTGCAACACATTGAGAAAATAGGTATTGGAGTTTTACGGTTTGAAAGTATTGTCAAATAAAAATTGATTTATTTTGAGTCAGGGGCATGCTTTACTAAATTTGTTTGCTTTAAATCTGGGTTCGATACGGACGTATAGGCATGTTTATTGTCAAACTCGACTGCGTTTTGGGGGTTCCGACATATTTCATGAACAATGAATCAAGCTTGGCGCAAGTGTGTTTTCAATTATGATTTGATCTAAATACATTATAGACTAATTTTTATTTTTCCGATCAAGTTTCCGTTTGTTGTAGCAATACCATGCTGGCCGTGAACAAAGCCGTCATCTTTTCTAGAGAAACAATCTAATCAGCCACGTGATGTCCCAAAGCAAATCTGGCCAATGACGCGTCGTGTCCTCGCTCGAGATTCTGCATCACTTGCTGTACAACTATATCCAAAATATATAAGCTTACTTGCTCTAGCCAAAGGTGACAAGCTTGGAGTCTAGAGCATATATACTTGCAAAATATCCAATATCTAGATATATCAACCGAAAAGCAGCAAAATATCTAGTAGTTTGGGACAGGTGGCAGAAAGTAGCGTGTTTATAAATACATGGCCATGTCATCTCTAGGATCAACAGATGAGATAGCTCCAATGGACGACTTTCAAAAATCATCGCCTTCTGATGATATAGTCAAAGATTACAGCCAAAATACAGATCAAACCGCAATTCTCAATGACAGTATAAACCAACTCGCTCAAGAATCTCACGAACTTATTCTTTTCTTCAAATCTCAAGTCGCTTTCGAGGCCGAGAATGCATCCTCTAGCCCAACTCGCCAGACAACACTTTCCTCTAATTTAGTTCTTCGCGCTCAACGCATCAAAACCAACGATACTCTTACGCTCCAATTCAATGTTTTTTGCACTCTGCTGATGCTTATCACTCATACGATTGCTGAGCGTGGAATTGTATTTGATGTTGCGCAGCATCTTAACCCTGTGAAAAAAATCATTGACAGTTTGGTTAGCGGTAAAGGGTTTTTTAAAGATCATGAGTTTCATTTCCCACTTTTTGTTGTGCGGTTGCTTGGATCGCTGAAAAACTGCGTTTTGGATTGTGCAGAGGAAACCGTGTTGGAAAAATCAAGCAGGCTAAAATTAAATGGGTTATCAGGTATTGCTCTTGGATCTGCGGCAGTAAATCGCTGGCAGAATGCTCAACAGTATCAAGCTCGACCTTTGGGCGGCAGTCCATCTCAGCATTATGGTCCAAATTCAGCAACAACTGACCTGCCTGCCTCTGGGTCTATAAACTCGGCTAGTACTTATGCATTCCAGTCTCCAACTAGTGCGAGTACTGCCATTGACCTTAATGATTATCATCACGGATCTCCAATTAAAATAGATACTTCTGGATCTACTATACATGCTTCTTCAGCAACGTCACCATCTCGTGTTTCTGGGACACCTACAAAAAAAGTGAATGTACGTGATACTGCCAAGCATTTTGAAAAAATTGAAGCAGATATTGCAACTTCTGCTGGAAAAATGATGCGGAAGCGCACTGAAAAGCATGTAAGTTGAAAAATGAGTTACTACATATTTTTATTCAATGCACGTTAAATTCATTGCCGATTATTTTGGATTGTGATAGTATTTAACACCATCATTGCATGGACACGAGGATTCGGTTTATAATGAACCCCATTCTGGAGGATCTGTGCATGCTGAACCTATGCTGCGATCTAAACCAACTCTGTATCAGCCAGCTACAAAGGTACATGTTGATTTGTGTTTTGATATGCCCGACTTTTCCAATTCACCGAATCAAGTATGTATATGCTGATCAATATACTTATTTTGTGTATTTAAAGGTACCTGGTCAATCTTTGGACTATAAATTAACAATGCAAAAACAAAAAGGAGGAATGAATGATCATTTGCTCAAAGAGAAAGTTCAAGGTAATCATTTGAAAGTCGCCATGTTTATTCAATCTTTGCAAAAATCCTAATTTCAAAGGTTGATTATTTTATGAAATGCAATATCAAAAGAATTTCATGATCAGCTACCAAACAAACCATTTATACTCACGGACCAAAAACCACACGATTCCGAGGTTCCCAGTTTTCAGAAAAACGAATCAGAATCGCCGTTTGGACGCAGCTCTCAGGTCACAGTTGCTAATCATGCTGACCTGAATGTACTTTCCACAGACACGTCAACACCACCAAAGGTAGAGTCATTCAAACAGGTACCCGAACTGATGCCCGTCGCCGTAAAGTCTTTATCTACAACAACGTCTCCAAATACTTTTGAAAGTAGCAAGATCACTGTTTCGCTCCCAATAAAAGTTTCTCTTAATATGGCAGACACTTTGCATGGTTCCGAGCCTCAAAAAGCTCCTATATTGCTTCCCGGATCTATGCGCGCCGCAGCGCCTATTTTTCCATCAAAACCTACTACCATGGCCGAGCCCACTGTATTTGAATCTCATAGCGACTTGGAGCATCATGAGCCAATCCAGCCTGTTCAAGATAATGCAATACCACTAAATCCAGTAATCGATAACACTGAGCTTGGCATAGTAGAGGAGGACGATCAGTCTTATCATAACTCTGTGAATACGCAAAACTCGGAGTATCCCAACGAAAATGAGCAAAGCAATCAAGTCACTGGTTTTGATATTGGTACTTCAAACAGCGATTTTCTTACAATATCTCGTAACGATAGAAGCTATAGTCGTAGTCTTGAATCTTCAAAAAACTCCAACATTGTTGTACAAAACACAAATCGGTCATCTTTGGCACAGGGAATCAAAGACCAAACCATTGTTAAGCTTTATGATCAAGCAGATGATTCCCAAGACAAGAGCGTAATGGACATAATTTTTGAATCCAATTTATTGGGAAATCCTTCTGATCAAAAAGAAAGCGAGACTGTTGAATCCGAGAAAAACCAAATTGATGATGAGCCTGAGCTTGAAAACTCTACAGTCAAGCTTGACAATCAAAGTCAGGGTGTAGATACTTATACACACGACGATATTACTGAAACTTCACTGCCTACTTTTCAGCATTTGGCCTCTGCAGATAATTTGAAAAACAACCAGTCTGAAGAAGATGTTTTTCAACAAGAAGCGATTGATCAACTACCTTTAAGAGAAAAAACCAACGAAACCAATACAAACAGGAGAGTGCGACAAAGCCGATTTCTTATGGCCGATTTCGACGTAACGGAAATTGATGTAGCGTCCGAGGAAACTAAAAATGAATTACTCGCGCTTCAAAGTGAATTGTTTTCGTTCATGTCTGTTCCAAGTAGTGATGGTTCTCGATTGGTTGAAAATACCGAGATGCTACATTTTGATGCGTTGGCTCCTTTGTCGTCACAGCCTGCTCCACTCACATCTCCACCTCGAGTAAATAAGAATACCAAACCTACTTTTAAATCAAAATCACCCAGTGGGCCACAACCTCCACTTTTGGATTCAAAGCAGCCTATTGTAGACACACCACAACCTCTTGAATCGTTACAGATTTTACGTCGTGCAAATGAGCAGCTTGCAAAAAACAGACAATGTCGTCAACAATCGATTATTGCTGAAAACCATAAATCCATGCACAATTTTACTGCCATGTTTTCGGTATTAAAAGATACAGATAATGAAAAATATACCGAGTCGGAAAAAGTATCCAAGGAGTCGTCAAAAGCCGTTTCGCTTGGCCAGTCCAAAAAAAAAGATTTGCCTGGAAATGTATCTCCATCCAAACCAAATATTACGTTCAACACTAGAGCAAAAGATGAAAACAAAGTGTTGGCAGATTCACCACAGTTTGATAGACTGTGTGACGATCCAAGTTTTATTTCAAGAACAAAGACACTTAACCAAGAAAGAACGCGCGGATCAGACTCTGCCGAGATGCTGAATCAAAAACAAGCACCCATAGGTTCAAAAGTCGCAAAGTCAACACAATTAGGAACTGTTTTGCATTCTGGTGATGAACATTACTGTAATGATCGTGAACAAGGCGCATCCAAACAGGGTACATCAGACACTAATTCGAACAGATCTATTGTACATGGCATAAGTATGTTTATAAAACCGATTTCACACGATATGTCACTTATGAGCAACATCAATCAGATACTTGGTGCGTACAATACCGATTCTGACAATGCCAGCGTTCCATTGACTCTAGATAGTATTGTTCAATATCAAACTGCCGAGAGAAAAGATACTGTTAGAGAGGATATGCTGGTTGCTAATATACATACTGCATCAGCAGAAAATGCAGTTGGAGGTTACTCTCGCATGTCTGCTTCACAAAAGCGTAGCTCATTGATTTCAAAATCCATCGATTCTAGTCCAACTAGAACAACCCCCACTGATCAAAAAGAAGATGACTATTGTGAAGAAAGCAGCGATAATTTGGTGTACGTTCCACTCAAAGTTGATGCGACAAATATGATTTCAAACCCTGACATGCCAGAGTTTTCAGATTCTCATATGCAGCTTGATGCAAACAAATTTACGCATCATGAACCAACATCCAAAGTTATTGTTGCCTGCATGTCCATCAATGATGCCAAATCACTTTGTATTCCCGTCTTTAATCAATCTGATCACACTTTTGATCGCGAGGACTTGCCCGGACCCGTATTTACTACAAAAGTTCCACCGGGCATCCCCGATTACGGTGTCGATGCTGAATCAATGCGTTTGCTATTGATTCCGCTAAATGGTATGCTGGAATTGACTATGATAAATCTATCAATGCCCAACCGATTTGGTCGTAATAACTCTACTGAGCATCCACACTTCAAGGCGTTTGGAACACTTGTGGTATCGCGTAACCATATGGAGTTGTTTGAACGTGATGGTCATGTAAGCGTTGTATAGTTTTTTAAACGGATACATTTGGAAATATGCCAACTGATTGAACTGCTGTATAAACTCAATACAATGCAATATAGGTGTATATTAGGGATATTGGAAGCAACAGCGGAACATTTAGAAACCATGCGCGAATTAGTGCACCTGGAGTGATAAGTCCAGATGTGGAACTGCATACTGGTGATAACGTCCAGCTTGGAAAAGATTACGTTGGAGATGGAGTCGAGGTTGATAACGATGGTTGTATTACGGGTAAGGAAACAGCTGGCTGTTTATATTGGTAACTATTGAGTTTAAGTTTCAGAATCAAACTTTTGCACTTTTTGACGTCCAATTCAATTAGCTCGACGAAGATGCGTGCAGTTTCAAGTTGTATTAGTGCCTCCTCTTACTACAGTTAAAGAAGCGATTGAGAATCAAGGGTAAGCCAAAATCACAATGAGCATTTTAAACTATCTCTGACGTGAGATTCTACTTTTACATTATTCAACAACTTTTATCTTTATGATTTGGCAAACAACCGTTTGTAAAATAGAATTCCAATTGAAACGCCAGTTTTACCAGTATCAAAAACACGAGAGCAGCGTGCAGAAAAGTCGGGATCTAGCAAAGGCGAAACACAGGTTGAGGAAGACTCTCAGCCGTTTAAAGAATCTACCTCACATGCACCGCCTGTACGAAAACCTTTACATATATTACCACCCACACGTGAATATGCACCTGAAGCAGGCCAGATTTCTACTGATTATACACAAAAGGCCGAGTTTGTTAGTATGCGCGAGTTGGTTTTAAATTCTGGCGACGTGGATCTGAAATCGCCTATTCAGTTTACCAATCCTAAAACTTTTGATGAACCAAAAAGTCCTAAAATGTCTAAAGCGGATGATAAAAAGCTTGAAGAAAAACACAATCCATCATCACACGATCCACTGAAAACTTTGGCTGGAGGTTCTGGCGCTTTTATCAGCCCGACTGGTAGAAACAAGGATGAGCGCAGAGAAAACTATATTTTTTCGTCATCAGTTGTTGGAAATAAGGTCCGAAAGCTTGAGGTATCGTCCTCTGAGGGAGCCAACATATTTGATATCAATCTTAAAAAATGGGAAGATAAAGGGTAAGTCAACAGTTGGATATTTGGAAAGGTATGCATTTCAAAGTATTGATAATTTTAAACCATGGCAATATGTAGACGATTGCAAATATCAGACCTTCGTCTTCGGTCACAAAATAGAGTGTTTGGAATTGTTCCATTGACAGACAGGAGTGGTAAAATACCTGTTTTCGGAACAAAAACGGGAAACAAGATCACCGACATTTCATTTTCTGTAGTTCTCCCAACAGGCGTGAAGCTTGGCGTATTGGAATTTGCAAGTGATATCAAGCTCACCATTACACAAGAGGGCGACGCGGAGCAGCCTGATGCCCCAGTAGTTGCAGTATCTGGCGATTTTAAAGAAAGTAGATATATTCTTGTCAAGAAATCGATGAATTCTCGAGAACAGAAGCTGTTTGGAGAAAGTAAAGGAAGACATTTGGTTCGCAAGGGTGTAAGGGAATCAGTTTGGCTGACCAATGTTGATATTGCAGAAGCCGAAGTAAATCCGTTGGTGATTGCTGCAGTGATTTTGATTGCAATGGTGGTTTGAGCTTTAGCTGGTGGTAATTTTTTGAAATAAACACGATTGAATGTTTATTTTTCAGAACGGTTTAATCACAGAGCCAAACTTATGATTGATGATAAAGGCATGAGAATGAAGAGATACAATGAAAAGTTGTCAGCACCATCACTTTTTGGGATGCTCCTGTGCAAATATCGATAGATTGTCTGCTGACTTAATGGCAGGATCATCCATCGCCCGTGTTTCTTGTATCATGGCCAGTTTACTGAGTAGCTTACTACTTTTGTTGATTTAATATAGGACAATGGTTCTCATTTGATCTTGTTCTGATGCAATCTTTGGCATTCCATTTAAAGTGCATTACCCTAGAACAACTTGCAATTTTACAAGCGGATAATTCATGTTTTTGGAATGCTGCAACAGCTGCTTGTTGGATGCCATTAAAATGTTCAACTCATGATGAGTCGACTTTTCCATATAACCAAAATAAATATTCCCCCTTTCGTCATCCCCATTGTCGCTAGCTGTAGATTTTAGTGCTGCTTCCACTGTTGCTGTCTCGATTAAGAAAGTTTATGGGCCGTGGCATGTCGTATCAAAAAGACACAACATCTGCAGAGCCTATTGTTTCTACCCAAGGCAACGAACTAGCCACATTCGGTGCAGGCTGTTTTTGGGGAGTAGAAAAGGTCTTTAAGCGCAAGTTTGCGAACAGGGGACTATCGGCCATTCAGGTTGGGTATTGCGGAGGTTCTAATGGAACACCTTCCTATCAACAAGTGTGTTCAGGAACTACTGGTCATGCAGAGGCCGTACAGCTTCAGTACGATCCTAAAGTACTAACGCTTGCAGAGTTGATTGACTTTTTGTAAGTTGTTGAACATCATGTATTGGCATGCAGATCAAGCAATGTCCAATGATGCTGACCAGCATTGTTTTATTTCAGCTATCGAATGCACGATCCAACTACACTCAACCGCCAAGGCGGAGATGCAGGTACTCAGTACAGATCGGCTATTTTTTATCGCAATGATGTAGACAAGCAAATAGCAGAGGAGCAAACCAAAGTAGCACAGATGCATTTCAAGACTGCCAAGATCCAGACAACCATTGAGCCTATGGGTGCATTTTGGCCAGCAGAAAAGTATCATCAAGAATATCTGGATAAGAATCCCCACGGCTATGAATGTGCCATGCACTATGAGCGTACATGGGAGAGTATTGAAGCTGCCCATAAATAAAGCTATTATTGGGAATACATGTTGATTACAACTCGCTCAATTGAGCCAAATCTGGCCAGATGGTTTGGCTTAATCCTAAAAAATTGAATGCATTTGGTGAATATTTTCCCCAACATTAACCTTGTCGGGGCCAATATGGACAATGCATTGCAAAGGGCAGAAACTTTTGAATGCATTATAAACAGTGACAATGACCAGCATCCTGCAAAACCTACAAAGAAAGACCAACTCAAACAATATCTGAATCATAAAGTACACATCACAGTCACTGATGAAAGAGTTTTTATCGGATTTTTTGTCTGTATTGATAGGAATTGCAACTTGGTCCTGAATGCTGCAAATGAGCAAGACAATGGTATAGCTGCATCACTTGTACAGTTGATTTTAAAGAGCCTATTCTGTCAATAGTCTTGTATATACTCATTAGAATATTGGACAACTGCTCTACAGGTGTACTTCGGTTTGTTGGCACAGTCATTATCAAAGGAGAGGACATTGTCAAGGCTCAAGTTGAAGATATTTTGTAGCAGCTCGTTCATTACCGTATTCATGTAAAACGGAGCATTAAATAAGAATCGGTACAATAAACAGCTAATCTCATGGAGCGATTGGTGACAGTTTACTGATCTTTTGATAATTGGCATGGAAACAACTGCTGCTTTTCTAAAGTATTCAATCTGTTTTTAAACTAGAGTGCAATCGTACCGGCTTTTAGGATACAAGGATAAGTTTGTACAAAGTTTAATTGAAAATATGAAAACAGTTGAACTCGAGATCTAGATTGCAATGGATAAATGCCTATTGAAGCAATGCAATTAGTTTCTGGCAGAAGAATACAATCAATATTCATCCATTGTACATTTCCAAGCAAAATAGTGACTGCAGGATAAATACAAGTGTCTCATTTTATGTGAATACGGCTATAGTCGGTCATCAATATCTGCATTCTGCAGCGTGGTAATTGATGCCAAGCATATGTATAGAATGTGCTAATATTGCCCTTGTTTCTACTTTTTCCATTAAACATTTGCTTTTCTATACAGACAGCCAATGTCTAGACTATACAGTACAACCAATCGCCATAGCTTAATAGTTTTTCAATCATCGTACTGCCATACGTATATCAACTAATTAAACTGCCACTCGACAGTCCATGTGCACAATAAATAGGTTTTACCGCAAGGTGCTTTACACTCGTTGCATTGACTATCACTATGGGTTGCTGATTATTTGATGATTTCAGACCTACAAGGAAGCCGAGTATTATCCATTGGTGATGCCCACTCGAGACATATTAGAATAATCGTATACATTTAGTATTGCAACTGACTAGTTGAAGTGCAATAATAGCTTGCACGAGCCACCGCATATGTGGTGCATAATAATAGTGCAGCAATATTGTATGTTGAAATGCCAATTTCCTCAAACTTGCTGATACCAGATTGTAATCAACCATTGCAAAATTAAGTGGAGTTGGATGCTATACCGTAAAATTAATATGGCCATGACCCACAACGATCGTCTATTGATTGGGCGTCATTAATGCGCTTAATTGTGTTGACTAGATCTAGATTGATACAAGTGCTTTGCATGTGTGGTAATATTCAAGTTTATATTGATCGTATACACTAAATTTGGTTGAAACGAATTGTGCCAGTCAGATGATGGGCTAAGCCCAAATGGGGATAAATTAGACTGTAACCCCTGAATGTAATAACGCCTGCAATTCATACCCTTTGTTGCTAGCTGTAAATGGTCATACACACGCGGTAGTTCATGTGCTTGACAAACTTCAAACTCGAGCGTGATCACTAATGCAGAGCAATCATTTGAAGATATTCACAATTCACCTGTGTGACATGCATGTTTTGGACATGTTAGTTTGCTTGTGCAAGTTTATGGGTGATAAGCATTATTTTCAGATTGTTTTAATTTTAAATATAATTCACATGTATAAGGGTAGTATGGTGTTCGTTTGTAGCACGGGTCAATGTCAGAAAAATGAAATAAAACACGGTGTAATCGGCCTATAGCATTTAGTAACTCTGCTGCTGTTACATACTATTGTTCAGCCTACACCTAGATTATACACATATACTCTGTAGCAATGCTTGTTTCATCTGTTGTTGCTCTGTTGGCAACTGCTGCTTCTGTCGTGTCTGCAGATTATCCTTCCTACAATCTCATCAAGACTGATCGTGATGCTGGCCGCTTTACATTTGTGCCCACCACTCGTGCCCAAAAGGAAATTACTCTCAAGAATGCCGAAAATGTGCTTGCTGTAAGTTGAAATCAAGTGTGAATTGACTGTTGATTTAAATTTCCTGTTACCGTTCCATGTGAACCTATATTTACCATGAGATTGGACAATTTGGTTTGCTTGTAATGTGCTTCGAGTACACGAAAGATTTGACTGTTTGGCTCACTCGATATTGTATGTCACATTGCTTGAATATTTTAATAGGCATGGGTCAATTACGATTCCAAGATGGCCAACTATGGATCAGCCGCTGATCCGTTCCCAATCATCAAGAGTGTTCGTAGCAACATTGACAAGATTAGTGATGAGGAGCTCCAGCTTACACTCAATGATGCGTTTGTCAAGATTCGTGACCAGCACACTCGTTGGTTCAAGCCTGGACCATACCGTTGTTTCTTTGCAACCACTGGTCTGACGTATAACTTTATCGATGCTGACAAGGATATCGCCAACAAACCCAAAGTTGTTGTATCTGATATTGTCAAGACTCCCGAGGTTTTGGCCCTGATGGGCAAGGAGTACACCAAGATTGAGCTTGGTGATGAACTCGTGGGTATCAATGGCAAAACCTTTGTCGAATGGTTCAAGGAGAACCAATTCAAATCTGGTGATGGTGCTAATGATTTTGGTGGTCAGCGCACTGCTCTTCGATACATTGGTACAATCTATGGTTCAGTTGATCGTCTTCCCACTGAGGATTCCATTTCACTCGAGTTTAAATCTCGTGCCCATTACAACCACAAGTACACCATCGCTGTTCCTTACGTCACTGGTCATAGTCGTGTGTGCTGGGAACTCAGCAGTACTCTGTACCAGAAAGTTACCAACATTACGCTCCCAGATACTCCAACCAGCAGTTCCAGCTTTGCACCATTTGACATTGCCGAGTATGAGCGTCAAAAGATGATTGATGCCGAGGATGCCATCAGAAACCCAGTTGCTATCAACGCTGTGCATGCCGAGATGGCAAATGTTCAAAAAGAGCTTTTCCAATCTGCAAGTGCAAGTGCCGATACCAATGCATTTGAATGGACCAAGACAAGTCTCAAAGGTGTATCTTGGGGTATCTACAAACCAGAATCCAAGAACATGGGTGTCATCAGACTTGACGACTTTTCTCCCAAACTGGCATCTAACCCTGGTATTGACGGCAGTTCTATTGCACATATAATTGTTCGTCGCTTGCTTACCCGTGAACTCAAAGATACCAGCTCTATCGTGTTTGAGCTTCGTGGTAATCCCGGTGGCAGCATTTTGTTTGCCAATTCGCTTCCCCAATTGTTCAAGCCCGATTTCGAGCCATTCGGTGCCCGCTACCTCAAAAACAACGTCACTTACAACATTTTCGTCAAGGATAAGTATAACCTCAACACTTGGGTTAAAGTATGGAACGAATCACCCGCTGATTCTCGCTACACCAACATTGGTCAGTTTACCACGGTTGAAGTTGCCAACTCTTACGGACAGGCTTACACCAAACCCATGGGTGTTTTCACTGATGGAAACTGCTTCTCTGCTTGTGAATTGTTCTCTGCCAATATCCAGGATTATGATGCTGGTACCGTTTTCGGTGAGGATGGGACTACTGGTGGTGGTGGTGCCAATATTCTGGACGTTGACCCTGCGTTGATATCCTATTCACCAGCCGACTTCAAACAGTTCCCCTTTACCCTAGAACTCACTAACCCCACAACAAAGTCTTCGTATACCAATATGTTGTCTGTTGGTATCCGTGAATCTATCCGTAACGGCAAGTACGACGGTCAATTGATTGAAGATCTCGGTATCAAGACAGATATTGTTGTGCGTGCTCGTTGGTCCGATCTGCAGCCCAACTCTACAACCAACACTCAGTACGATCGTATTGCTGACAACCTCTCTCGCATTGGCAAGGCTAATGGACAGGCCAACACCATGTTTGTTGCCGAGCCTTTCTCTATGGATGCAAACTTGGGAGATTTCAAGTTGGATGCCGAGGTTTCTGGTATTGAGGACATCACCATCACTTCTGATGATGGCAAGAAGGTCTTTGGTACCCAAAAGCTCACTCTTGATCATCACAACGTTACCATCACAACACCACCTATTTCTGATGGAATTGGCACACAGCGTATTACTATTATTGGTTCTACTAAAGGCAAGCAGATTATCAAGACTTACCGTACTGTTCGCGTTGTGCCCACTGATGAGCAGCGCGTCCATATTGCTACCACTCCTTTTACCTTTAATGGAAAGTCTACTTCCGTCGGTCTGTTCAATAGTGCTGAAACTGCACCCGTGGATGGATGGAGCTTGCACAATGGAAAATGGATGGTTGGCAATGGTACTTTGTATAACAACAATGTTGTCACTTCGTTGGAAGTTTTCATGACTGCCCCAGTGGGTACTCATGTAAACTTCAATCTTGATGTCAACTTGGACTGTGAGACAGAGTTTGATTACCTCGGTCTACTTACCAAGTCGGACAACAAGGAAACCCCAATTCTTACTACGGTCTCACGACTTGTCGCTGGACGTATTATTCCTGGTGTCAGTGGAAGAAACACTGTGGTCAAGGGAGCTTACCCCTTCACTACCACCACTGAAAACTTTTCAGTGATTCTTCGTTTCACATCTGATGTGATTAGTGGATTCAAGGGTGCTACTATCAACTCGTTCACGGCCAGTGCTGCAACTGCTCCAGCACCACCTAGCAGCGTATCCAAGGGACATCGCAAGCCCATAATCTTCTGATTTTCTAGATACAGCTAGTTTCTCAGTTGCCACATTAACATTTACAAGTAATTGTTTCCAAAACATTTGCTTGTTGTTCATTATGTTACACTTGATCAAATAAAGGTTTAGATGTTGTTTTATTTTTTGTATGTTTGGTTTCCACTGAAGTGTTTTGCTTTAATACATTCCATACTTGATTAATCTCCAACTTTTCTTTAAATATTGTGTGATTGACATGGAAATAGTAAAGCATGTTCAGTTTCAATGGTTTTGACAACAGTATTATTACAAGATCCAGCTTTTGTAAGTGACAGACAAGTTGGCAACAAGGAATGCGTCTAGATTTTATTGAAAATATCTAAACAAATTCAATATCTGGATTGAATAGACAAATTTGACGATCGTACAATGTATGGCTATACAAAGACAAGCGCAAGATTTAAAAATATAGTCTGATTGTGCATCATATGATGGTTGATGTGTTTGAGACTGGTCAAGGAAGCTGTCAAGGCTGTAGTATTTTGGCTTTCCAAACAACAACATGCACCGTTTTCAAACACGCATATTATTCTATACAGCATTCCACAAGGCAACTGTCTGATCAGAAATGGTTTACTAAAAGCTCAACATAACTGTCTCATACTATATGTATTATTATAAGAATGTCTATCAGGGTGTGAAAGCAAAGATCACAAAGGTGCTCAAGGGAGGTTAGGGCTAGAATGTAAAAGTACTGGCTGTCAACTATCAAGTAGCCTTGTGTAGCTAGCTAGTAGGAAAGGGTTGGTTCATGATGTATTATAGCAAAAATACGGTTCTATTTTGATCAACACTAATCAACTCCACTTTATCCTTGTTTAATTTTAAATTTGATTCAACTCATGAGACTTGTAGGCATTTTAACCATATTAGCTGCAAGGATAACTGTCAATGCAGTAGCAGTTTTATCTAGCACAGAGACTCAATTACTCCAATTATCAAAACGTGGTTTCAATACAGGCTGGAGCGAGTTGGAGGATACGCTAGAAGATGTTATACAAAGAAGAATGTATTTTTGTGACGAGTATCTTAGACGCAAGGCTACGCTAGATGAAAAGCTAGGCACGCAAAATGCTCGAGTGGTGGATTGGATGGTAGAAAACAAATCACAATCCAAGTCTAAAGAAGAAACCGACGAAGTGGAAGAAGAAATACTCGAAGCAGCCGGATGGAAAAAAGAGTGTAAAAGAGCAAAACGGGATGAAGATGCTTTAAAGAAAAGACTTGATAAAAAGAATGGTCCAAGTTGGAGGGAAAGATGGCAAAGACTTGCTGCCAGTTTGAGAAAAAAACAGTATTCTTCACTTGATTAGCCTTGTTCAAAATGAATTCAAATCTCGAGACATATATATGTGGAAATATCAACAGCTTACATTTATGATATGGTATACTGTGGCGTGTATTACATGATGAACCACTTTTTGTATTCCATTTGTCTCGCAAATGCTTAATCTCGTTCATTCAATAAACACATTCATTAGCAATGAAATGCAATGACATGTTTGACCATATTGTACAGTTCGACCATTATACGCTCTTGAACATTGTATGCAATATATAATCCTGTTGTTTTTGTATATTGCTGGACATTCAAATCAACATCTTGTTTCAAAGTAAACATGTGTTTGATGCCAGGTTTGTATAATCGAAACAGATATCCAGTTTGCCAAGTAAACGCTGCAAGACTCTTGATTGCAGGCACGTCAGTATATACGTCAATACATACATCTGGACATTACCAGATTCCTATAGTTGTGCTCACAAACTGGATACATGTATCCATTATACAAATATCAAATACACATTGCTATATGATGCATGATGCATGATGTTGGTGTTGATAGTCGACAGATACCATGCAAAACACCTGGATTGACTATACCAAGTATCGGTTTGAGCAGACATCTGCTAGCTGGCAACTCCAACTTGTTGAGATACTGACACATTGTGGAGTATACAGACTACCATCACAAACATACCACTGCACTGATATACACTTGTTCATCTCAGTGGATTGTTGAACTTGATAATAAAGTCCTGACAATAAAGTCCTGACATGACTGACATGACCGTCAACTTCATACTGCATCGTGCAGAATTGTAGTATAATGGCATATCATTGATATCAATCGTGTCAAAGCAGGGTCATTGGAAATACTTTACTGTTGATGTCTGGCCAGCTGTTGTATGGATAAGCCATCATCTCATATTGACCCTGACTTGAAACTGGCTGATCATGCCAATCGATCTCGACATATTCCTTAGTAAACATATCAGGGTTGCCCAGTCCTTAATTACAAGTCCCGTTTCACCCAATAGTTAAAGGTGTAGTATAAAGAAACCTACACCTTTGAGTATTTGTGTTGAATGTACCTGAACAGCGGCCAAGTTGTCCCTACATAAGCTTGCATATCCCTTATACCCTGATCATATCTTTAGCCATGAAAGCATTTAAATGAAAGCATAGTCTACATTTACAATCAGCCCACACATTATCAAGGATATCCTTACTAATCGACAAACTATATCACATTTATTCTTGTCAACAGCATGAAGTTCATATCGATTATTGTGATGTCGCTATTGTCGGCAACAGTCAGTGCAGTGGTTATTGATCGTTCGTCTACCAGCGAATCAGAGACTGTAGAAGATTGTTCAACTAAAATGCAGCAACACACTGGTATTTGCGCTTCGACCGGAACAGAACAACAATCTACTGGAACCAGTCATGATGTAGCACAGTCAACTGCAAATCCTGATGATTCAGGAAACTCTGCCGAACAATCCAATGAATTACCATCGTCCTCTCAGTCCGATCAAAATCATGACGAAGAGTCTCTTGAAAGCTATGTTCCGGAAAATCAACAGACTGTTACTGCAACTCTGGAGAAACTGGATGAACTCGAGATGATAATGAAGGAGTTGGATATGAGGATTCCAACCAAGATTGGAAACGGGTATCCACATGAAATGGACGAAGCATATGTCAGGACCCTGCTAGATTATGATTCGAAAGGGTTGGACGTGCCTGATGTTTTAAAAGAAGATCAATTGAAAGCTCTATTAGGATCAGAATGGGAGCGCCACATGCTGAAGCTTGAGCCTATTGAAGAAGCATCGATCAGAGTTGTATCTGAACCTACTCCACAATTAAAATCCATCTTAAAATCCGGACCCACTTCTAAATCCCACGGTTCAAAACACGATCATTCTAGAAAGCATCAAGAAAAGTCAAATCACGATACTGGTTCAAGGAAAGCCAAAGTGCACTTTGGGACTCTCACTAGAAAGGTTTTCAAAAAGAAACTATTCGGAGGAAAATATAAAACCACCATTACAGACATATCTCAAAATGAAGAGTCGGTTGATGAGACTAACCCAGGATATGCAACTGACAAAAATGACCAGACCAAAAATAATCGTGGAGCGGCCAAGTCGAGATCAAATAAATCAAAAACTGACGATGATGATGGAATTCAACCTACTCAATCAACGAGCGATGAGGAGGAAAGCCAACCCACTCAACCCACTCAATCAACGAGCGATGATGATGGAATTCAACCCACTCAATCAACAAGCGATGATGAGGAAAGCCAACCTACTCAATCAACAAGCGATGATGAGGAAATTCAACCTACTCAACCCACTCAATCAACGAGCGATGATGATGAAAGCCAGCCTACTCAATCAACAATCGATGATGAGGAAAGCCAACCCACTCAACCCACTCAATCAACAAGCGATGATGAGGAAAGCCAACCTACTCAATCAACAAGCGATGATGAGGAAATTCAACCCACTCAATCAACGAGCAATGAGGAGGAAAGCCAACCCACTCAACCTACTCAACCTACTCAACCCACTCAATCAACACGCGATGAGGGTAAAGGTCGATCCGTTCTATCAATTCTAAAAGACATGTTTAAATTCAAAATTGTCAAACCTGAACTACCAAAACTGAAAGTATATAGTATAAAAATGTTTGGGCATTAGACCGACAGCTCAGCAATTCGATTCCATTATCTGTAAAACTGAGATTGAAATATCAACAGCTTACATTTATGATATGGTATACTGTGGCGTGTATTACATGATGAACCACTTTTTGTATTCCATTTGTCTCGCAAACGCTTAATCTCGTTCATTCAATAAACACATTCATTAGCAATGCAATGACATGTTTGACCATATTGCACCAATTGACCAGTATACGATCACTGCATACATCAACATATGGTACTTGACACACTACAAAGTTGATACTACAACTGATGTGTGTGATCAGTCAGGCTATTGATGCAACTATTTTGACACTACAATCAACGAGTCAAACCAGTCAAATTGGTCGGATCAGATATCAACACACATGACTATTGCTGGTATTGGTGTTGCATGTGCCAATACGACATGTCAAGCAATATCATATCAACACAATACACACATGCATGTCAGTATCATCAATGTGTACAACTATGCAATATACAATCAACTGTATTGTATTGGAAATACAAGTGTCAATGTACACTATGATATCATGTCAACCAAGACTTATATAATGATCAGATATAATGCATGCACATACAAATTTATTGTAAATTAAATCAGAAATACAGTTGAATCAGTTGAAACGAGCCCAGATTAGCACTCAAATCAATTGGATGAATCGTCATTTTTGGATCGCTGAAAGAGTGATTTCAATCCATTCATAAACTTGGAAAAGGTCCACTGTGTACTGGATGTTTGAGTGGGTTAAGCTGTAGGCGTTTCATGATATTGTGATGAACTTTGGGTCTCGCTAGTAGATGCTTGCTCTGATCCTGGCTGTTGGCTTAGTACGAGAATGAGAGAGTTGTAGATGCTTTCAACAAAACTGAGATCTGATTTCAAAAATTCCATGTAAAGATAAAGTGATTCTATATCCAGATTATCCCCAAACAGACGCCTTGCAAGCTTTCCTCTGGTTATATTCAATTCCAAGTTAAAGCCAAAAATATCGGAACCAAGACTCTGACACTTTTTTTCAATCTCGACGAGAATTTCTTGTTCTTTTTCAAGCTCCAGTTTGGCTTTCAAAAGTCTTTCACCGTATTTTGAGCCATTTTCGCCTTGAAATTTATTTAGCAGCCGCTGATATTTTTCATCTAGCCGGCTTACCAATCTTTCTTGATCAAGTTTTGCAGATTCTGCCAAGCCACGCGCTTTCTTCGTTTTTTTACATTTTTCATTCAGTTTTAGGTGCTTTTTGATCAACCTCGCATCATCCTCTGAAAGTCGACTAAGATCAACCGAGTTTGTAATTTCTGCATTAAAAACTGTCCAATCCTCAAATACAGAATTTGTAGTTGCGCTAGGTTGAGCCGTTAAAGAACTAGTTTCAGCACTTGTAGCTGCACTGGGATTAACTGAGCTGACCGTAGTAACTGAGCAAGCAAGCAGGATTGATGCTAATACTGTGACTGCAAGTTTCATTGTATTGGTTTGATCGAGCAAGTTGTATATGGTTGTCATTCAACAATAGAGTTTGTATTGTATTTATATCTGTTATTGAATGGATAATATTAAAAGCATGTCGGATGACCGTTCTAAGGGATTGTCTTTATTGTCAGGGTTGATGGTGATTTGTCATCAATGTCAAAGTTTGAAGGGATATTCATTTATATAACAACCGCAATTCTTGGTTGAACCGCAACTTGACTATATATTCGAGTATCATATGGCTGATTGTGGTTTTGTACAAATAGCTGGCAAGTCAGATATTGTATGGCCAACGTATTTGCAGATGGCATTGCTTGCTAATCATGTCATGTCCAATATTGACTGTGTAGTTTAGAGTTTACAATGTTTGCGAGTATGGTATACAGTGATGATCGGTTCAAAATATTACATTGACTAAACAACCAACTCTCACAATGCATGTAATCATCAATCCGTCAAGTTATGATCGATATTGATCAAGTGATTGACATTCAACTCACCTGGTGTCGATATGCATATAGGCGATAAGAGCATGTACATAGTTGTTCAATCATGAGTATAACTGTGACGTTGAACCCATGGTTGATATGGTTACGAGTCCGATCAACAAGTGTTCACATTGACTTGTTATCGACCGTTTGCAGTTATATTGACAATCAAAATGTATGTTTACAATGATACAATATTGGATCAGTTTGGACAGTGTCTTGTTTTGTTGATTGTATACTTGACATTGAACAATATCATAATATCGACTTGATTGACAACTGAAATCATGCAGTGGTTGGTGGTGATTGTATCAGTTGACATGTATTGGATAGGTTGTTGTCATGACCCAGTAAATTCAGTGGAGTATGTTGATGTGTACACTAGTAGTGATGATTCATTCAACGACATGCGTGGTTTTAATATTATACGTGAAACCACATGCTCATGATTATGGTTATGGGGACATACAGCGTTACAATAATGGGTCAACAACAATGTGATGGAATTGGATGCGTAATATCAAAACCATGCTCAGAATACGTGATATAACAACAACTTGCAGCCATATTGATGTAAATGGATCACTAAATAACAGTGTTGGTGTGTGATAAACAGTTGCATTACTGACATGTGTCATCATTGTTGTTGAACTAGATTGCGATTGTATTCGAGATTCAGGATACAACAAATGTGTGTACAGAGTTGTATTGACAACATTGACAGTCAAACACAATACATGAATATGGGTTCAAACTTGGTGATTGTGCAATGTATGATTACTAAGAGTGCACAAAGTGTAGATTTAACACTATAGTCTGATTGTGTGTCATGATGATAGTCGTTGTATATCAAACAAGTAATGCAGTCAATGTGTAGTAATCATTGTATATTGCAATGCATAACACAGCTACTGCACGATGAATATCAAAGTGATCCATTTTACATGAATACGGTTGTAAAACAAAGCATTTGTGGCTGCACAACACTATTGAAGGGTGATTTTCAATATACCTGATAAAAGGGTCGTAAAAGCATAATTCAATCGACACGATCATCAAATTGATCAATATGATATTGTGATTAGGGAGCAGCATACTGTCTAGTTTGATATTGGCTCACCACAAGCAATCAAGTAGTCCTGTATAGTCGGTTAACCTATAAGGGTTAGGGTTAGTTTGCTATACAAAACATACAAATACAATCGAGTGTGTCCAGTCCTATAATTGACATCAGTTTCAACACTACTTGTATTAATAGTTTAAACCCATTGACCAATCTGATGAAATTGGTTGATATTCTATTCGTACTGACTGCTGCTGCAGCCACTAATGCAATACTGATACCGACTGATAACAATGGTTCACCCAAAGCATCAGGCACTTCTAGTCGAGTGTCTGACCCAACCAATGAGCCTAATCCAGTTACTTCCAATGAATACCAGCAAGACATAATTGATGCAACTAATTTAAGCATTTTCGACGAAGACTGGAAATACCTATTTGATTTGATTGATCCAAGCACATCCAATGAAGACTGGCAACAACCGATTGATCAACCCAGTTCAAGCACTTTCAGCCAAGTATCTGGTACAGCTGATAAACCTGATTCAAATATTCCCAAAGACTGGCAACAACCAATAGATGTAGCTAGTCCGAGCACTCCCAAACGAAGTCGAAAACGGCCGATTGATGAACCCGGTTCAAACATTTCCAAACAAAGTCGGAAACAATCAACTGATCAACCCGGTCCGAGTGCTTCCAAACAAAGTCGAAAACAATCAACTGATCAACCCGGTCCAGGCATCACTGACAAAGACTGGCAACGCCTAATAGATGAAGTCAATTCAGACGCTTTTGAAGACTGGAAAGAACTGTTTGATATAGCTGGTTTAAATACTCCCAGTCAAGTTTCTGACTCAATTGATCAGTCCAGTCCAAGTACTTTTGACAAATACCAACAACAACCAGCTGATCAACCCAGTCCAAGCACTTTCAACCAAGACCAGCAACACCTAATGGATGCAACTGGTCTAAATATTTCCGACCAAGACCAGCAACAGTCAATGGGACAAGGCGAGTCTGCCAATACTGTTTCAAATCAAATAGCTGGATTATGCGAAAAATATCAGGAAACCTTTGATCGTATAAAGCAAAAGTTTGTAGAGTCTAAAGAAATACGAAAGAAAAAACTCAAAGAATATTGTGATTATGAAGCCCTTAGATTCGAACAATGGTCAGCGCTAGAAAGGGGAAAAGAGATATCAGGATCAAGATACGATCCAAAGGTTGAAGATCAATTGAAACAAGAGTATGCAACGGCAGGCAAAAAGGTGTGGGAGTTAAGGTATCAATTGAAAAGGTTTATGAAAAGGCATGGTTTGAAATTCGAAGAACCGAATTAAGATTTGGATTGATGATGTGTCGATGAATTTGATTTTGAATAAATTTAAGCTTTCTGATGTGTTGGTATTTGTCGAGTATTGTGAATGGATCAACAACCATATCATTGATTGTGTATTGTGTTGAGTATTACATCAACAGTTACTGGATTGTTGATTGATACATTGACATGGTTTGTTCCATATACATCAATGACCTGATAACAACCAGTGTTGATTGTAACTATCAATCGCACTTGCAATCACTTGTCAGTTTATGGTTGCATGATACCACCAACTGACCATGTCGTGTATTGTACAACAAACGAAGCAATACACTTGTTCAAAGTCTGTCACAAGCAAAATGTGTTTGTCATGTCACTGTCAATGTTGGAAATCACAACAGACAATGTTTGATTGAAGGATTTAACACGTCATTACAAAACATCATTGCATTTTATCAAGAATATACTAAAACTAACCAATACGTTAATGTCTTGCAATATATTGTGTTTGACTACAATCACATCCATCATTGTGCAGTTGGTGATATTGCTGAATCAAGATATGAAAGTGATCCATCAAGTGGTTCAATTAAAACAAACACTGCAAACCATTCAATCAATGTTGGAAATTGTGTTGGAATACTGAATGGACAACACTTTGAGTAAAATACAAGTCAATATACAGTAATGCTGTCTATACTATGTATACTGTGGTTAGTGGAAATGATTACTCGTATCCAATTTCAGATGATGATCAAATAATTCAGACTTGCAAGTATTATGAATTTGAACACATCCAAATTGCTGAAACGTTTGTTACTGAATCTAGAAACCCATATCCAACAATGACAAATAAGCAGTGTCAAAACAGAAATCAATTGGATGCATTATCAACAATTAGTGAACATGAAAACAACAAAACATATGACATATGACAGGACATTTCAAACAACTTGTTTTCTAGAGCAACTATAAATGCCATTCATTGACTCGATCAAAAACTACAACAATTACTTGCAATGCATCAAAATTTGGCATCCATATTTGACATCCATATCCAGTTCAACAACAGGAAGCGTCAAACAAGTGGTATCATGATTACTATTCACAAAACAAGCAAATTGGACAACAGCGCTGTCGCAACTATTATGCTTCAAACTCGGAATCAGAAACGATGCAACTGAAAAAAGTACACAACGTCGACGAGTATAGTTTATTGAATCATTCAACACCAATATTGTGCACTTGAAAATCAATGACATCAATTCCACCATCTACCAGAAACATGTTTGTTGCGGTGTGTTATTTGATGTGAATTTTGCACCAGTATGTTCATGTCTGATACAATTCATGGCTGCTATTGGACTTTGTACGACTGAACCATTGTTCAAATGTGATGATGTTTATGCCACTGTTGTAAATCGAATGGGTGCATATTGAAATACACGATATTGTTGTAATAGATTGTAGTATGTCTTGTATGCAAAGTACGACAGTCTCCCGAGTTTGAATTCATTGTAAATATACACCAGACATTCATCAAACTGAACCTTTTAGTATTTTTGCTTGCTTGAAATAGCTCCAGCAAACAAACAAGCGTTTCTGCAATGCACATTGTGTATGCTACACCAACAACATCATTGATGGTCAATACACACAAGTATTGTCGATGTACACTTTGAGTTCCAAGACTGTATTTTTTGTAGCGGGAAAGTCGTGGGAAAGCTGCACATTGAGTTGCACTGTTTTGAGTTCCACTTTAAACATCTGTTCAGCAATCAGTCCATACTTTTGACAAGCTCATGTATGAATGATGGTTTATCAGTGTTTTTATCAAGACACGGTAAATTGGTTCATGATCAATGATTTGAGTTGGTTACAATGTTACTGCATTGATGATATTGAGTGCATCTGAAACAGCAACATCATCACTTGATTCGAGTTTCAAACGATAATTATTGACTGTGTTGGGTCAAACTGCAGATTCACTGCTATTGGATTCAGACTCTGTAGCAAGACTTTCTGTGTGATGAAACAGCATCTGAAACAGCACCAATCGTTTGATTTCCAATAATATGAGCATCGTCCATAATAATATCATCAGCGGTTTGTGGTTCAGCATTTACCATTATACGAATCCAGTGAATATGTTGATTGTAGGTTTGTAAACAGAGGCTACAAGCCAGCAGTGACATCATTTGCAGACTTTTGACTTTGAAAGCATTCATAATTTCTGGTATGTTACTATCATACAGCAAGGCACATTGCAGTTGCTCAATTTTTCGACTTTTATTGGCAACCTATTATGTATCAGCCACAAATCTGATATTGCAGACTTGTAGATGCTTAAAAATGGGTTTTCAAATTGACTTTTAAGTTTGAGGATCGTGAACATATGATGGCATATTGATGGTTGTCATTATTGTCAAGTGTGTTGCAGTTGATTGAAGATGTGATGGAATGAATCAATATTTGATTGTGTTGTTTATTAACAAGAAAGTGAGTGTGTTCATAAAATGGAAGAAACCAAGAAAGTCATGTGAATTCCAGTTCAAACGTCATTGTTGATGGTTTTTGATTGTTAAACTATTCAGAAATGTCTCACATTCACACACTACTAATGTCTCACACAATGCAAGTCAACACTCTCACACTAGTAATGTCTCACATTAATGAGACATTAATTCTGGTGTAAATCTGACTAATTTCCAAATATTTAAATCGTGTGAATTGTCTTGAAATATCCCAAAATTTTGTTATTTTGACTCGATTAAAAAGTCGATTTTTGTTTCACTTGACAAATAAATTGCTTTTTTACTCTTTTTCTTTTCATAAAATGCCAAAACGATACCTCAATGTTGAATACGACACTATTTCTACTGAAATCGATGTGACTGACTTTAAAGACCTGAGTGAAGTTCATGATGCTATCAAGGCAAAGTATGGTCCTGCTATGGCTGACATTGATGCTCCTCAACTCCAACTCTACACCAACACCAACAAAGACCAACTAATCAACACCTGGGCTTTACTCGACTCTCTTCCTCAATAATACTTTACTCAAGATGGTTATTGTGTTGTTATTGGTTGTTTACCTCTACCTATCAGGAACCAAGCAAGAGTACCATTTTTGATGCAGGTTCTACTTCTTTATCAACAGCAAACCATCAAGACTTTTCTCCTAAACGACAACGTACCGAACCCAATGATTTGACAACCCAATTCAAGTCGTTTGCAAACGCCCAGCTGGTCAATGAATGCATACAGTCGACAGATCATGTCTTTTTCCCATACACCCAAGACAAAATACAAAAACTATATGTTAGAGAGTGCTATCATGATGTGTTTGGCTTGCTTTTGGATCAAATTGATTGTGGCATGGAATCATTTGCAATATCTGGAACATCAGGCATCGGAAAGTCACTGTTTTTTGTCTACATATTGCATCGCTTGATGGATGACTTTACCACGAAAACTCTGTCTTTGAAGCCAAACCGGATTGTTTATCAAGTGGGATCCTCGTACAAATGCTTTGACTTGCAGCAACAATTCGTCACAGAGCTTGGACTTGAAGTGGCCAATATTGTTTGGAAACAAGACACATTGTATGTTGTTGATGGACACACGACTCCAATGTCATCATGTTGCATTGTATTGTTCATGTCATCTCCTCGGTCTGAAGGATACAAGGAGTTCGTTAAACAAAAGATGGCAAGGCAATGGTATTTTCCTGTTTGGACTTTGGACGAGTTACAGACTTGCCGACGTCATTGCTATCCGGATGTACCCATTGAGACTATCAATGAGAGATATCGCATGTATGGTGGTGTAGCTCGTTCTGTTTTTGATATTGTATCAAATCCAATGGAGAAAGCTTTGACTGATGTTGATGCAGTCAAAGGGGTACGAAACATTGGATTCACAATCAAAATATCTGCAAATACTCATACATTGCTTCATATCATTGTGTCGGACGATGGACAGTACAGATTCCTGCATGCTGATATTGCTTCAAGATATGTTGGAGAACAACTCTGGCAACGTCACTCTGCTCAAATGATTACCAATATGCAGCAAATGTTTGATAGTATTCCAACCGAGATTTCAAGACATTTGTTTGAAATATACGGACATGTGGTTTTTTGTACTGGTGGACAAACTCTCAAATGCAGATGCCTGAAAGATGGTACAGTGACAAAGATTACTTTGGATGCACTCAATGGCCAACGAATTACATTTGGAATAGATACTATTCCTACTGCTGCAGCACTTGATGGCAACTATTACGAACCGACAGATGACGATAGTTTTGCAGCAATTGATTCACTCAGTCGACAGGGAATGTTCCAATTTACAGTTGCTGCTGAACATCTAATTCGCGAAGTTGATATTCTTACAAAACTGTGCAATTTGTATGATGAACCCAAACTTTATTTTGTTGTTCCGCCTCACCAGTTTAAAGGGTTCAAAAAGCAGACTTTCAAACCAATTGATGGCACAGATCAGGTACAACCCATTCATGGATTGATGCAATACGTTATACAACTCCCACTAATACAACCAGATTTGAAGAGTAGAAAGTGATAGTTGTATTTTACAACTGAAATGGCATATTTTCAACCATTCCAACCATTCCAATTATTTGATAATTCAATGTTGTTAATAAAACTGGCATCATGCAATTGTGTCCATTCAAGGGATTGAGATGCATTTAACATGAAAGTTCCAAATTCAAGTTTACTATTGTAACATACGCTTTTTGACAAATAATGGCTCTGTTGACACATCCTTGTACCATCTAATCGTGTCCGATTGAAGCATCAAGTATGAGTTTGGCAGACAACTTGCAACTTTAATCAACTTGTATACGGTAAGCATTTTGATAATGTCGGCATTTGTCAGGATATCACACCTGACAACTTTGAATCAAATTTAGCAGTGATTATAGGTGAAAACACCAATCTAGCACAACAACAATTCCAGACAATTCCAGACAATCCGATTCTGATTAGTTCTAAAACCAGAATTCACATTGTAACCACAACCCAAATGCGTTCAATATCAATCACAATCATCATGGACGAATGTATCAAAGTATGTCGTCAACTTTTGAATATTTTAGCAGTCTTGCTTAAAACAAGTGGTATCATCCAGTGCACTACATATACTACTCATGATCATTGACAACTGATTGTGTAGCAATAGTGTTAGTGTATTGTGAACAAAGTATTGATGATGGAATAACACACATTTTGGGCATGATACTAGAAACACACAAACTTCAAATAACCATGCAACTATATGTTCAAACTCTGCTCCAAATATATGTTGTTGTATACAGCAAACCTGGTAAAGTGTTGTATTTTGTCATGGCTGCATTGTTCCGAGACATAATTCAAGGCTTGTTACAATGGGTTACCGGATTTGATATCCAATAGATTTGATAAAAGTGTTGCAATTGACATTTATGTTTGTGGATAACAATATTTTGGAATCAACTCGTTCAACTTGGAAATCAATTGGATTTCTTGCTGATATCAATGTCAGTTCAACTCAATTGATTGGAGTAGCACTCGAGTGCTTGCAGTATTGACTTTGGTTCAAACAGTAATACACAGTGACACACTGATTATCATTTCAGTGAAAATGATACAGAAATGATCATTCCCAAAACAAGGAATCTGAATGACTGAAACACTGCGCTTATTATGCTGATAATTCAATACATGAAATGGCAATCGAAAATGTACAACATGTACATGTCAAATACATGTCAAACATAGCATCATTTTACAGTATGATTTACAGCTGATACAACTGATACAGTTATTAATATGGGTTGGCTTGTAAATGTGTTTGTGTTGAAATGGCTTGAGCAACAATGTTGAACATCAATTTCGCTGTTTAAAAAGTTGCTCAAGCCACTATACAACAACCAAGACCATTAAAAATGGACATTTATGCATTTATTATGTATTTAGTGTTGTTTCAACTCGACATATTACACGTCTTGATAGTGTGTTATATATCTCAACGACATTTGATCAGTCGGTAGTTTGTGGCAAATAATGAATTAGAGTGGTGTTTTGCTCTGTTTACAGATTGTTTGGCATTTGATTATTTAGTGTAGTGTGGTTAGTATTGGTCAGACAGTGTAATACACACTGATTGAATATCAAATACAACACTGGTGACAATATGAACACACATGCTTGTCAGTTTCAACCGTATCCTAGATATCAACCAAGTTTTGTCCAACAAACTTTGTACAAGTGTCGTGCAGTGTGATGGTAAATTGTCTGATGACAACGATATACGTTTTTTGATGACTTGTATTTGTAACTTTTGAACGATTTGTGGTTGAGATCCGCATGTTTACAGTCTTTTACCGATGTTTTGCAAAAAAACATGGTTTGACTGCATGACAATGTCAAATCCAAAATTGCATTTGGAGACAAATTGCCACTAAACATACTATGTATATGCATGGATAATGACATGACTGATATTCAGTGTATTCATGATACAAGCATCAATGCTGGTTTATTGGATGCAATCGCAACAGCTGGTGTCAAATATTCAGGCTGGGATTCAACAAGATGCGACCTAATTGTCAGATCAATGGTTTTGAAAATATATAGTATTTTCAAACCCAACACATTTTGGATTTGGTGGACTGACTACAATCAAGACCATAACACTGTTCAACAATCACAGACTCGATGCCAACGACATGCATGCAGTATATGATTTGTAGCTTTGTAAAAGTTCCGTTTCGTGAATGTGGTGATATTGTTGACCTCGCGAGCAATCACTCTAAACTATACGACTATTTTTACAATAGAATCAATGCCAATACACATGCTTGTCAACACAATAGTTTTTGGATGATTTTGACAACATTTGGATGTGGTATTGAATTGGTTATAACATCAAAACCAACAGCGACAGTATCTTGGATCATGACTCGTCCAAAAGTTGTGCAGATTGTGCGAATCGATTTTCAAAACAATTTTCAAAACATATGTTGATTGATTATTGTAGCTGCCAACACTGATGAATTAGCAACAACCAACTTGGCGGTGACTTGTCAATGACTTGTCAGCAGTTTGGAGTGATTTTGATGATTTGGGTTATATGATTTGTAATATTTATCGAGTAAGCTTGTTTGGCCAGCTGTAACGACCAATGATGATTTAGTCTTGGTTCAACGATTGATCAAAACCCAAACCTGAATGCCAAAAACTGAAAATTGAAAAATACGCTATACTCGATGGTTTGTTTGTCTGGTGAACACCAATGTGCAATGACTACTCTTGAAATAGTGTCATGACAATGAGTCTTGTATTTTTGTCAAACTCCTGGTATATGAGATCATGCCACTTTTATTGCAGGCAAATAAATGACTAAAAACACGAAACAATTGCCAATTGACCTATCAATCATACCATTGAGTACCATGTAAATCCAACATGTCAAAGTAACCAATCATGCAATGATTTACTGAAACTACCGTGTCCATAAACGTATTGGGCAGGAATATTGCACTGACAGTCATCAGTCATTCAAGATTATGACAACCTGGCGCAAAGACTTGAAGTTGGTTTTCAAAACCTTGATCAAAACCTGTACTAATGATATCATACATTTGTTTGTTCATGTCATTAATATACATATCGCTGATAAGTAGACAATCATGCAATGTTACATTCATCCACTATATAGTTGAACGAGTTTTGTCCATGATTGTTCATTGATGATCATCTCCGATCAACACTTGTTATTGGTCAAAATGTAATCGAAACTATTTGTTGAAACACCTGCCATCACTTGATGATTTACATTGGGTATTAGTCTAGCACTGAACGTTGTCCATTATTCAAACATGCAAACCACCCACCATTGTACACATGATGTTTGGTCTGGGTTGCACATCTTGGATAAATAGTCTGACTAATTTAGTTGTGAATATCGGTTGAAAAACTGGTATTATTTGGTGTCCATATGTTGTTTATAGTATTGGGAATATGGGGAATATTGAATCAACATTGAATCTATTCAACATACCATGTCACACTGTACATTGGTGTTGATGCATGACCAAATGGTTGATAGTTTATGATGTATACACAACAAATAGTTGTTACAAACCATGATTTTCTACATCAAAAATATGAATCTTGCAAAATCGATATGAATTGTTGCTATTAAAACCATTTACTACGCTACCACTGTTATTTCCAAAGCTGTTGAATTGGTTGAAATCGTAACTAACCAAATCTACTGAAATATGTCCAACAAAACAATCATGTCAATCATGTCGAATGTGATTTATTGATCAGCTATCCGTGAGCCATGAGCCATGATAAATAGAATGAAACTTTGCGGCTTTGATTTGAACATTGACAACTATGCAAGTTGGTTTCAAGTTTACTGTGTGCATTGACACATGGCCACACATTGACAGATCAACAGATTACAGCTAGCGACAATCTGAATCAACTTTGGATGATATATATTTATATTTCAACAACCATTTTGACATGGTTTGAATCACTCGGACAAATCAAATACACGACCAATTGAACAATCAGTCAAGTATTTGGTATACAGTAGCAGTAGCAGTATATGCTGTAGTAATGGATTGTATATGTGATGATAATTATCCATGATCAGGGTAATGATCTGACACTACCTGATCACTGGATATATGACCGCAATCGAAGAGATCAACACAGCATACTAGTGAAGTTGATTTTCCACCAACAGCGATGCTTGTTATTGATCCACCCTACGGTGTGTTTTCGGCTTTGTTGACCCTACATGGTGTATTTGGCGTTTTCTAAATATTCATTTGAAAGTGTTGATTATCACCCTTGAAACTGTCGTCATTATAAAACGGCAGTCATGTACCGGATTCAACCCATTTTCATCACACTACTCGGTACAATGTTGATTACTCTAGAATGCGTTATACTTGCGTTACAGGCGGTTGCTGCAGTTCGACTTGCATTACATTCACCAATTGGGATTGCCAGTCAATCAAGCAATAGGCTATCAAAACGATCACCCGTTGAATTGGGTGATGATATCAAGAAATGCTACACAATGAAAGTCAATGTTCATGGAGTCAGTGTATGTATCATGTCATGCCATTTATTGTAGTTTGATATCAATAATATTACATTTAATCAATCTCACTTGTTTAAAATAGTTGGATTTATATGTCGATTCAACAATGTCCGATACAATCTTGCCACTTTCTAGTTCAAGCAGCGATGTGAGTTTGACTCCGCAACACACTCCAAGTGGGGAACCCGTTACTATAGAGTACAAAGGCGAAGAGTATAAAGGAATTAGTTCCGACACCGATGTGACGATTCCGGGTACTAGTATAACTGGCATCAATTTACCAGTAATATCAGTTGAAAAACAATCACCAGATCTAGTTGGTATCAATCCAGAGTTTGATGGAGTATTTGGCTTTGCCTATTCCTCGTTGTCAAAACATCATCCACCAATCACTGTGTTGGATAGTTTGTACAAAGATGGTGTCATTCCTAATAACGAGATTGGTCTTCAACTATGTCCTTCTGATATTCTGCATGAAAGTTTCATCAATATAGGAAACACGGACATAACTGCAAAATGCGGAACAGATGGAACAAGTCTTATATGGGTAGAGTCACCAACAACCGATCGCCATACTGTCAACATCAAGAATATACTAATCGATGACGAACCAGTGGAGCTGCCCGAGAGATTTCAGCAAGTTGTGGAAAACGGACGTACTTTGTATTCATATATACATACATGCTTTATACATATGCGTTTTCCTGAAGCGGTCGTGTCAACGTTGGTCAATGCTATTCTTGATAGTGGTGCGATCACTGTCAAAAATAATATGCTTGAGCGCAGGCACAAGCTCACCCCGGAAGATATTGATAACATATTTTGGAAACTTCATCTAATGATTAGATCCAATTTTCGTATTGATTGGGACAAGCTGCCGTCGCTCACAATCGTAATGTATTCTGAAACCCCCGTAACTGATGACAATCGCAATTCTGTTGTAGCAATCAAATTGGGTCCCAAAGACTACATACAGATAATTGATTCTAAACATGGTAAATAGCTGACAATTAATGTATGCAATGTGTTGTTTGATTAACCTGACTAATATACATGTTGGATTATAGTCATGTTTTCTGTAGAAGTTGGTCCAAGTGACAATGCAATTCTTGGTACATCATTTATGAACCGACTTGGATTGACATTTGATCGAGCACATACACGCATTGGGTTTGGTCCTGGATGTGGATGTGAGACTGCGACTGATGGATATCCTACCATCTCGAATGCTGATCAGGTGCTCTGGCCATTACCACAGTAAGTTGTTTGATATTGATATGTGAATGTGTTAATTGATATACTGATACTGATCATGAATTTGATGCATGCTGTTAGATTGCCTGAACAACCAAGTACTTCAAGTTCAGATGGCACATCTACTCTCGGGATATTGTCGCAACTTGGTAGTGCTCTCTGTGGTAGTAGACGACCAAAGTTTAATTACGAGAAAGCTGGTGACTAAACAGATATAGTAATAAAACTGGTTATTTGTTGAATAAGTGATTATCCTGATTATTTTATAGTTGATATGATGTATGTCAGGACTCTTGGTGTTAACAATTAACTACAGCTGATCAAGTAGTCGTGCCTGAAAACACCCACCACACTGTCAAGAGTCACAAACAGACTCTCAATAAACTCGACTGAATACAATTCATTATAGACAAACTGATATTATATGTATTTTTAATGTGGTGTGTTCATGTTTGATTGTGTGATATGTTCAAGCCGTGCATGTATTGGATCAGTCCAGTGTGTATCGTAGTTGTTTAATACACGATGATCACACATACTATTGCATTGGCAATACATGGTATTGATTGAATACACATCATGATCACATAGCTCAATCATGGTATGGATTGTTGAAATCCATCACTGTATATCTGGATGATCATGTCGATACTGGATGCGCGATATCAACAGTTGGAATATGGTATACTGCTGCAAATACCATGACTATCACACTCCATTAGTATGTGTGATCATATTGCATCAATCGACCAGTATACGATCACTGCATACATCAACATGTGCATAATGACCATATTGTTGGCATTGTATATTCAACATGTGATACTTGACATACGACAAAGTTGATACTGCGACTGATGTGTGTGATCAGTCAGGCTATTGATGCAACCATTTTGACACCACAATCAACGAGTCAAACCAGTCAAATTGGTTAGATCTGATATCAACACACATGACTATTGTTGGTATTGGTGTTGCATGTGTCAATACGACATGTCAAGCAATGTCATATCGACACAATACACACATGCATTTCAGCATCATCAATGTGTACAACTATGCAATATACAATCAACTGTATTGTATTGTATTGGAAATACAAGTGTCAATGTACACTATGATACCATGTCAACCAAGACCGTGTGCAATAATCAGATACAATGCATGCAAATCCAAATTTATTGTAAATTAAACCATAATGACAATTGAATCAGTTGAAACGAGTCCAGATTGACATTCAAATCAATGGTTCGCGATCCTCACGTTTGGGTCGTCCAAAGAATGATCCCAATCTACTCATAAACTTGGAAAAACCTTGACGTTTATTGGAGGGCACTTTCTGTTCAAAGGATCCAGATCCAGATGGTGTATCCAATGACGATTGCGAGTCTTGACATTGTTGATCACTAGGATTCTGGTATTCTTGATCAATAGGATTCTGATATTCTTGATCAATAGGGTTTTGGCCAAGACTCTCGTATTTTGATGATTGTTGTTCAAGGTAATCTTTAACGGAAGGCGTTCCTCTGATAAGCAAGGCTTGGTATTTAAATAATGCAAGATCCAGAGGGGTTCCTAAAATGAGACTCACAATCTGTTTATCGGTTTCCCACTTTTTTTGTACAAGAAGACCAATCTTGAACTGGCACTCATCAAAACTTTTTCGAATTTTGTCAAGTTTGGATAGTTGTTTTTCATGATCAAGCTTAGCCTTTTGAAATTCACCATTTTTTGGATTGCCATTGCCTTTTTGAGCTTCAAATTTCAGAATTTCAAAATCTTTTTCATAGCCCATTACCACGTCACATTGATCGTCATGTCGAGATTTTAACGGCCAATATATCTTGCTTTGCTGATTACGACCATCCTGTATCTCTACGTATTTGTCGAGTAAATACTTGACGTTACCTGGAATTGGATCATCAAGAGCACCCAAGCCTATACCGTTTTCACTAGGAATGAAGGTTGAAGTGCTAGCTCCAGTATTTTTAGCTGCACTGGGATTGACTGGGCTGGCTGTAGTAGCTGAACAAACAAACAGGATCGATGACAATACAGCAACTGCGAGTTTCATTGTATTGGTTTGGTTGAGCAAGTTGTAATGTCATTCAACAAGTCGGTTTTTGAACTGTATTTATATCCATTATTGAATAAATGATATTAAAAGCATATCCCTTGAATGGTCGTTTCAAGGACTAGTATTACTGTCAGGGTTGGTGTTGATTTGTTGTCAATGCCAAACTTTGAAGAGTCTCCCTTTATATGTTGACCCACAATTTTGACTGAATTGCTATTTGACCATACATTCGAATATCATATGGTTGATTATAAAGCTTCACTCTGAAAAGGGTTAGGGTTAAGAAATGAGTACAAACCAAAACTGAAATGAGCCTGACACTCGGATATTAATTGGTCATCAATATGTGCCGTGATATTCCATGTTTGTTAAAATAGCAAGTGATTGGCATGATTCAACGTACAAGTAGTGTATAATGAATATCGGATGATACTGTTTTACTTGAACAAGAGTGCTAAATCCGTTGGAATAAATATAATTTAGTCGTCTATTTCTGTACTACATTTACACCCTCATTGTTATGTTGAAGCAATCAGACATTGGCCGTTTACGTATAGTTTGAATGGTTAGTGTGTATCTGTTGTAATATCCAAGCAAGATATCTAAGCTTCAACCCTTAACAAGCAAGCATTAGTACTTGCATTGGACACTCCCTAATTTATCATTTCCTCATTATCTCCATTATCACCCTTATGTTTCAATACCACTACTCTTACTTTTCAAAAGACCCAGCGTTACCAATATTTTCTATAGCAGCATATTATATTATATTATTACTTGTTGAAAGACTCGGTAATTTTTGTATATCTTGTATACTCTACTTTTTCGATACACCTAAATTCTTTAACATGCTACACAACATCAAATGTCTGCAAAAAACAGCTGGAAATGGAATGTGTTTGTAGAAATAGAAAACATCATACACAAGATGACAGCAGTATTGCGTACATACAAATCAAAGTATGCTATCATGATTGCCAACGGATTAATTGAAAACAACTTTATATCCAACTTGTCCATCAACAACCAACAACTCTGTTGGAGTTTTGTGTAATCTGATTTACATTAATTTAAATGGAGTTGTGTGTATGATCTGTGACTGTTAGTAGTTGACAGAAAATAACAAATCAAAAGTGTAATGGGAGTTGCACAATAATTCAGGATCAGCAGACTTGGGGTTTTCAATGATAATGAAAAGATGTAATAAAACAATAATATGTTGAAATGGTTGGAAGAGTCATTTATTAATAAATATGAGTTATAGTCAGTCTTGTAGTAATTGATTGTTTGTATCTTGGTGACACAAACAAGTAGAATGTATGATGAGCAATCAGAAAAGTAAATTGATCAATAGGTGTAATTCCTATTGTTTACCAAGTCAAATAGTGGAATTATGGCACACAAACATTGGTGATACGAGTCCCTTGGATCATCACATATTACCATTTAGTATTCTGCATGGATACTCGACACATTTGGTAGTCATACATTGCACGATCACCAAGTTTGAACCCACATTCATGTATTGTGTTGGACTGGTCTGTTGCCAATACAACTCTGTACACACATTTGTTGTATTCTGAATCACGGATACGATCGCAATCTAGTTCAACAACAATCATGATACATGTCAGTAATGCAACTGTTGTTTGCATGCCAATCACCACCAACAACACCACTGTATTGTCAACCATGACATGACACTGACTGTTTATTACACACCAACACTGTTAGTATTCCGTTTACATGACTAGACTGCAAGTTGTCGTATTCGTTTGTGTAGATTTGAAATTGTTAGTAATCGAGTTTTGACATTCAATTCGTGCTGTTTTTGTATATTTTTGTATATTGCTGGACATTCAACTCAAGGTCTTGTTCCAAAGTAGACATGTGTTTGATGCCATGTTTGTATAATCGAAACAGGAATCCAGTTTGACAAGTAAATGTTGCAAGACTCTTGACAACCAGTCATGTACAGTATTGAGTCGGATGTTCATACTATTGATAGCATGACAATTGACAGTTCAAGAGTTATGTTGAAGCTTTTCTAATCATTGGCAATACTTTGAGTTTGCGTATTGAAAGTATTACAGTTGGCATAAAGTATTGATATTGCTGATATGACCATCAATCCATACTGCATTGAACAGGACTGCAACACAGTATCATATCACTAGATCAAGTGTTGAGGCAGAGCCGTTTGAAGGATTTTACCACTAATATTTGACCAGCTGTTGTGTGGATAAACTGTTACTCTATACTGACCGTAACCTGAAACTGACCGACTATGCCAATCGATCTTGACATATTCTTTAGTATATGGGTCAGGGTCACCAGTCCTTGACTATGAGTCCTGTTTCATTCAATGACTGAAGAGTTGTGCATAAAACAGCCTACACATGAGTATCTATGCTACATATACCTAAATAGCAGTTGCGTTGTTGCTGCGTAAGCTTATATAACCCTTGTGTCTTGATTATATATTTAATCGCTATGAAGGTATGGTTCATATCCACAACTGACCCATTCATTACCAAGAATTGTCCTACTAGTTGACAAGCTTTATCACATTCATTTTGGTCGACAGGATGAAATTCATATCGACTATTGTGTTGTCACTGTTGTCAGTGACAGTCATTGATCGTCCGTCTATCAGCGAATCAGAACCTGTAAAAGAATGTTCAACACACATGCAGCAACACACTGGTATTTGCGCTTCAACTGGAACAGAACAACAATCAACTGGAACCAACCATGATGTAGCTCAGTCGACTGTAGATCCCGATGATTCAGACAGCTCTGTTGAACAGTCCGATGAATCACTGTCATACTCTGAGTCCAAACAGTCAGATGATGATATATTTGACAACACACTATATGACGACGTCTGCCATCTCCCTAAAAACTATATTCCAGAGAACAAACGGCCCATTCTCACACATCAGCAAAGGCTGGATAGAGTCGAAAAAATAATGAAGAATATGGGTATGGAAATTCCAACTGATGTTGGAGACGGATATCCGCACAAGATGAGCACCAAGGCAAAGGAAAGAATACTAGAAACTAAACAAAAGGAGCGTAGAATAAGCTCATCTGATAAAAAGAAATTCAGGAAACTGAGACTAGGAAGATTATGGATGTGTCGCAAGTTGGCTCTTGAACCTCTCGAAGAAGAATCAATCAGAGTTGTATCTGAACCTACTCCAGAATTAAAATCCATCTTGAAATCCGGATCTACTTTTAAACCCCACGGCTCAAAACACGATCATTCTAAAAAACATCAGCAAAAGTCAAGTCACGATGCTGGTTCAAGGGAAGCTAAAGTACACTTTGTACCAACGACTAAAATTGCTAGATATTCAAGTGAATCTAGTGTACTGCAAGAATATGATATTCAACTTCTTCCACCAGAATCAAGGTTTAATAGATTCAAACGACAGATGCTGAGATTCATTGGATATAGAAGGCATACTTGAACATTTCTACGCAAACCACCATAACTAAAAGTGTATAGTAAATCAATGTTTGGACACTCGACTGTTTGGTAATTCAATTTCATTGTAAAACTGGAATCACGCTATCAACAACCTCGTTTAGAATATGCTGTACTGCAGTGTGTATTGTATGATTTATACTGTCAATTTGCATTTGTCATGTAAGCATTCAGTCTTGTTTGTCCAATAAACACCTTGCATTATCACCACCATTTCAGTGTAATAGTATGCTTGAATTGATCATATTGCACCAATCAGCTACTGTGCACTGAATGTATCAGATGGTGTCATGAAATGGTGGATAATATTCATAATTGAAGTATTGGCAGTCAGTGATTGAATGATACGATCGAATACCGCTGATCACTTTGTTGGTGACCAGTATCACATGTGGTCAATACCAATATGTTGCACAGCTGTAATCCAAACAGGTTGGAGCATGCCATATTGTAGCAATGCAATCAAATTGGTACAACACATGCCAACATACATGTAGTGTATTGTAGTATACACTAGTAGTGATGATTCAACCAACGACATGCGTGGTTGTAATATTATACGTGAAACCACACGATCATGTCCATGTCTATGTTTATGGTGACATACAGCGTTACAATGATTGGTCAGCAACAATGTGATGTAACTGGATGTGCAATACTAAAACCATGTGCAGAATACGTGATATAACGACAACTTGCAGCCATATTGATGTAAATGGACCACTAAATAACAGTATTGGCATGCAAACAACAGTTGCATTACTGACATGTGTCATGATTGTTGTTGAAATAGATTGCAATTGTATCCGTGATTCAGAATACAACAAATGTGTGTACAGAGTTGTATTGACAACATTGACAGTCAAACACAACACATGAATGTGGGTTCAAACTTGGTGATTGTACAATGTATGGTTACTAAGAGTGCAATGTGTAGATTCAACACTATAGTCTGATTGTGTGACATATGATGATCGTTGTATATCAAACACGCAATACAGTCAATGTGTAGTAACTATTGTGTATTGCAATGCAGAATACAGTCATTGCATGATGAATACGATTGTAAAGCAAAGCGTTTGCGGTTACACAACACTCATGAAGGGTGTGCTTTTCAACATACCTGATCAAAGGGTCGTAAAAGCATAATTTAATCGACATGATCATCAAATTGATCAATATGATATTGTGATTAGGGAGTAACATACTGTCTAATTTGATAGTTGCTCACTACAAGCAATCAAGTAACCCTGTGTTGTTGGTTAACCTAAAAGGGTTAGGGTTGGTTTGCTATACAAAAATACAAATACAATCGAGTATGTTCAACTTTATAATCAACACCAGTTTTAACACTCTACTTTTGTACTATTGTTTAAACCCATTGACCAATCTGATGAAATTGGTTGATATTTTACTTGTACTGACTGCAGCAGCAACCGCTAATGCAATACTGATACCGACTGATAACGATCGTTCACCCCAAGCATCAGTCACTTTCAACCAAGTGTCCAGCCCAACCAATGAGCCCAGTCCAGGCACTTCCAATGAATATCAGCAAGAACCAGTGGATTTGAGCCTTTCCGGCAGAATCCGGCAACAACCAATGGATCAACCTAATCCAAATACTCCTAATCAAGGTCAACGACCGACTGCAACTGTAACTGGTCCAAGTACTTTCAAACAAGGTCGAAAGCGCATAATGGATGTGATTGATTTACTGATTTCCAGACAAAACCAGCAACGACCAATTGATGAAGTTGATCCAAACGCTTCCAAACAAAGTCAGCAACAGCCAATGAGTCAACCCAGTCCAAGTACTTCCAAACGAAGTCGGAAACGGCCAATCAATGAAATCAGGCCAAGAATTGATAACCAAAATCAGCAACAACCAATGAACCAAGGCGAGTCTGCCAAACGAGATCGAAAACAACCGATTGATCAACCCATTCCAAGTACTTCCAGACAAGACCAACAACAACCAATGGAACAAGGCGAGTCAGGCAATGCTGTTACAAATCAAGTGGCTGTATTAGGCCCAAGATATCAGAGAAGCTTTAATCGTATAAAGAAGAGGCTTGTAGAGTCTAAAAAGATTGCAAAAGAAAAACGCGAAGAATATTGTAAACATGCAGACCTCAAATTCAGTCAGCAGTTAGCGTTAGCAATGGGCAAAGAAATATCTGAACCAAGGCACAATCCAGACACTGAAAAGAAATTGAAGCAAGAGTATGAAAAGGCAAGCAGAAGAGTATACAGTATCAGACATGATCTGAAAGTGTTTATGGAAAAGCATGGTTTAGAATTTGAAGAACCGGGTTCGGATTGATGATTTGCCAATGAATTTGATTTTGAATAAATTTAAACTTTCTGATGTGTTGGTATTTGTCGAATATTGTGAATGGGTCAACAATCATATCATTGATTGTGTATTGTGTTGAGTATTACATCAACAGTTAATGGATTGTTGATTGATACATTGACATGGTTTGTTCCATATACATCAATGACCTGATAACAACCAGTGTTACTTGTACATGTAACTATCAGTCATACTTGAAATCACTTGTCAGTTGCATGATATCACCAACTGACCATGTCGTGTATTGTACAACAAACGGAGCAATACACTTGTTCAAAGTCTGTCACAAGCAAAATGTGTTTGCCATGTCACTGTCAATGTTGGAAATCACAACAGACAATGTTTGATTGAAGGATTTAACACCCCATTACAAAACATCATTGCCTTTTATCAATAATATACTAAAACTAACCAATACGTTAATGTCTTGCAACATATTGTGTTTGACTACAATCACATCCATCATTGTGCAGTTGGTGATATTGCTGAATCAAGATATGAAAGTGATCCATCAAGTGGTTCAATTAAAACAAACACTGCAAATCATTCAATCAATGTTGGAAATTGTGTTGGAATACTGAATGGACAAACCTTTGAGTAAAATACAAGTCAATATACAGTAATGCTGTGTATACTATGTATACTGTGGTTAGTGGAAATGATTACTCGTATCCAATTTCAGATGATGATCAAATAATTCAGACTTGCAAGTATTATGAATTTGAACACATCCAAATTGCTGAAACGTCTGTTACTGAATCTAGAAACCCATACCCAACAATGACAAATAAGCAGCGTCAGAACAGAAATCAATTGCATGCATTATCAACAATTAGTGAACCTGAAAACAACAAAACATACGACATATGACAGGACATTTCAAACAACTTGTTTTCTAGAGCAACTATAAATGCCATTCATTGACTCGATCAAAAACTACAACAATTACTTGCAATGCATCAAAATTTGGCATCCAAATTTGACATCCATATCCAGTTCAACAACAGGAAGCGTCAAACAAGTGGTATCATGATTACTATTCACAAAACAAGCAAATCGGACAACAGCGCTGTCGCAACTATTATGCTTCAAACTCGGAATCAGAAACGATGCAACTGAAAAAAGTACACAAAGTCGACGAGTATAGTTTATTGAATCATTCAACACCAATATCGTGTACTTGAAAATCAATGACATCAATTCCACCATCTACCAGAAACATGTTTGTTGCGGTGTGTTATTTGATGTGAATTTTGCACCAGTATGTTCATGTCTGATACAATTCATGGCTGTTATTGGACTTTGTACGACTGAACCATTGTTTAAATGTGATGTTTATGCCACTGTTGTAAATCGAATGGGTGCATATTGAAATACACGATATTGTTGTAATAGATTGTAGTATGTCTTGTATGCAAAGTACGACAATCTCTCGAGTTTGAATTCATTGTAAATCTACACCAGAAATTCATCAAACTGAACCTTTTAGTATTTTTGCTTGCTTGAAATAGCTCCAGCAAACAAACAAGCGTTTCTGCAATGCACATTGTGTATGCTACACCAACAACATCATTGATGGTCAATACACACAAGTATTGTTGATGTACACTTTGAGTTCCAAGACTGTATTTTTTGTAGTGGGAAAGTCGTTGGAAAGCTGCACATTGAGTTGCACTGTTTTGAGTTCCACTTTAAACATCTGTTCAGCAATCAGTTCATACTTTTGACAAGCTCATGTATGAATGATGGTTTATCAGTGTTTTTATCAAGACACGGTAAATTGGTTCATGATCAATGATTTGAGTTGGTTTCAATGTTACTGCATTGATGATATTGAGTGCATCTGAAACAGCAACATCATCACTTGATTCGAGTTTCAAACGATAATTAATGACTGTGTTGGTCAAACTGCAGATTCACTGCTATTGGATTCAGACTCTGTAGCAAGACTTTATGTGTGATGAAACAGCATCTGAAACTGCACCAATCGTTTGATTTCCAATAATATGAGCATTGTTCATAATAATATCATCAGCGGTTTGTGGTTCAGCATTTACCATTATACGAATCCAGTGAATATGTTGATTGTAGGTTTGTAAACAGAGGCTACAAGCCAGCAGTGACATCATTTGCAGACTTTTGACTTTGAAAGCATTCATAATTTCTGATATGTTACTATCATACAGCAAGGCACATTGCAGTTGCTCAATTTGTCGACTTTTATTGGCAACCTATTATGTACCAACCACAAATCTGATATTGCAGACTTGTAGATGCTTAAAAATGGGGTTTCAAATTGACTTTTGAATTTGAGGATCGTGAACATATGATGGCATATTGATGGTTGTCATTATTGTCAAGTGTGTTGCAGTTGATTGAAGATGTGATGGAATGAATCAATATTCGATTGTGTTGTTTATTAACAAGTGAGTGAGTGTGTTTATAAAATAGGAGACAAGAAAGTCATGTGAATCCCAGTTCAAACGTCATTGTTGATGGTTTTTGATTGTTAAACTATTCAGAAATGTCTCACATTCACACACTACTAATGTCTCACACAATGCAAGTCAACACTCTCACACTAGTAATGTCTCACATTAATGAGACATTAATTCTGGTGTAAATTTGACTAATTTCCAAATATTTAAATCGTGTGAATTGTCTTGAAATATCCCAAAATTTTGTTATTTTGACTCGATTAAAAAGTCGATTTTTGTTTCACTTGACAAATAAATTGCTTTTTTACTCTTTTTCTTTTCATAAAATGCCAAAACGATACCTCAATGTTGAATACGACACTATTTCTACTGAAATCGATGTGACTGACTTTGAAGACCCGAGTGACGTTCAGGATGCTATCAAGTCTGAGTATGGTCCTGTTATGGCTGACATTGATGCTCCTCAACTCCAACTCTACACCAACAGCAACAAGAGCCAACTAATCAACACCTGGGCTTTACTCGACTCCCTTCCTCAATAATACTTTACTCAAGATGGTTATTGTGTTGTTATTGGTTGTTTACCATCACCTACCAGGAAACCAAGCAAGAGCGCCATTTTTGATGCAGGTTCTACTTCTTTATCAACAGCAAACCATCAAGACTTTTCTCCTAAACGACAACGTACCGAACCCAATGATTTGACAACCCAATTCAAGTCGTTTGCAAACGCCCAGCTGATCGATGAATGCATACAGTCGACAGATCATGTCTTTTTCCCATACACCCAAGACAAAATACAAAAACTATATGTTAGAGAGTGCTATCATGATGTGTTTGGCTTGCTTTTGGATCAAATTGATCGTGGCATCGAATCATTTGCAATATCTGGAACATCAGGCATCGGAAAGTCACTGTTTTTTGTCTACATATTGCATCGCTTGATGGATGACTTTACCACGAAAACTCTGTCCTTGAAGCCAAACCGGATTGTTTATCAAGTGGGATCCTCGTACAAATGCTTTGACTTGCAGCAACAACTCGTCACAGAGCTTGGACTTGAAGTGGCCAATATTGTTTGGAAACAAGACACATTGTATATTGTTGATGGACACACGACTCCAAGATCATCATCTTGTATTGTATTGTTCATGTCATCTCCTCGGTCTGAAGGATACAAGGAGTTCGTTAAACAAAAGATGGCAAGGGAATGGTATTTTCCTGTTTGGACTTTGGACGAGTTACAGACTTGCCGACGTCATTGCTATCCGGATGTACCCATTGAGACTATCAATGAGAGATATCGCATGTATGGTGGTGTAGCTCGTTCTGTTTTTGATATTGTATCAAATCCAATGGAGAAAGCTTTGACTGATGTTGATGCAGTCAAAGGGGTACACAATATTGGATTCACAATCAAACTATCTGCAAATACTCATACATTGCTTCATACCATTGTGTCAGACGACGGACAGTACGAATTCCTGCATGTTGATATTGCTTCAATATATATTGGAGAGCAGCTTTGGCAACGTCACTCTGCTCAAATGGTTACCAATATGCAGCAAATGTTTGATGGTATTCCAACCGAGATTTCAAGACATTTGTTTGAAATATACGGACATGTGGTTTTTTGTACTGGTGGACAAACTCTCAAATGCAGATGCCTGGAAGATGGTACAGTGACAAAGATTACTTTGGATGCACTCAATGGCCAACGAATTACATTTGGAATAGATACTATTCCTACTGCAGCAGCACTTGATGGCAACTATTACGAACCGACAGATGACGATAATTTTGCAGCAATTGATTCACTCAGTCAACAGGGAATGTTCCAATTTACAGCTGATGAACATCCTATTTGTGGAGTTGATATTCTTACAAAACTGTGCAATTTGTATGATGAACCCAAACTTTATTTTGTTGTTCCGCCTCACCAGTTTGAAGGGTTCAAAAAGCAGAGTTTCAACCCAATTGATGGCACAGATCAGGTACAACCCATTCATGGATTGATGCAATACGTTATACAACTCCCACTAATACAACCAGATTTGAAGAGTAGAAAGTGATAGTTGTATTTTACAACTGATATGGCATATTTTCAACCATTCCAACCATTCCAATTATTTGATAATTCAATGTTAATAAAACTGGCATCATGCAATTGTGTCCATTCAAGGGATTGAGATGCATTTAGCATGAAAGTTCCAAATTCAAGTTTACTATTGTAACATACGCTTTTTGACAAATAATGGCTCTGTTGACACATCCTTGTACCATCTAATCGTGTCCGATTGAAGCATCAAGTATGAGTTTGGCAGACAACTTGCAACTTTAATCAACTTGTATACGGTAAGCATTTTGATAATGTCGGCATTTGTCAGGATATCACACCTGACAACTTTGAATCAAATTTAGCAGTGATTATAGGTGAAAACACCAATCTAGCACAACAACAATTCCAGACAATTCCAGACAATCCGATTCTGATTAGTTCTAAAACCAGAATTCACATTGTAACCACAA